TGCAACAATAATAGTGGACGGCCATTACCTTCCGGCCATCTTCCCTTGTGCTTATCCACCAGATAAAGAAGGAGGTCATTTTCCTCATTGCTCCATGGCATCGCACTAAAATAATCTTAAGTTTACAAAAAAGAATCCAACCAGCAATGAGCGAAATGGATGTCGGTCCGGATGGTTTTGAACACATCAAAAGCCGTGCGGTCAGTGTTAAGAGACTCGGCGAAATCCTTCCAGCACTGCTCATCCTCCTTGTTTTTGTAGGCCTTGTACAGATCCCTAAAAAGGAATCATGCTGCATCGAATAAAAATTACATAAGTTCCTCCTCGCTCCATGGTTGCTTGTTAATATTCGGAGAATACATATTCTGCCAGCGCAATCGACAATCCATAGCAGAACGGATGCCGTTCTATAAAAATAACGTAGGAAGCCCCGCCAATAACCCTACAAAGACGTGGCTTGCAATGCGGTTCCAGTTGATTTTCGCGTAGGATTCTTCCAAGTCCAGTTTCGAAACATCGGCCGTACTAAAAGTAGAATACGAAAGGCCACATTTTCGAACCGCAGGTGATTAAGCCGCAGATCAATTCGGGCCACCTCATCCTTCCATAGCGTCACGCATTTGCGTGAAGTCTCTTGCCCAGAGTTGCGGATCTTTTCCGAAAGAAGCCGACGCCTGAATTTACAAGATTTCATCAGCGACGTATAAGCTTACTTGGTCTCCAACTCCGTCGACAAACTACGCCGGATTTCTTCATAGACGGATTCTTGCAAGAGCCAGATTTCCTTCTTGGTCCCTAAACAGAGGAAAAGCTCTTCGAATCGCAGGTTCGGGGGGGGGGATTTTGTCAAAACAATAAATGGCGGAAGCGTTTCTAAACGGATTTCACTATTCCTAAACGGAAAAAATTCCCAACATTTTTAATAAAAATACATAAATTACGGACTTATCGAGTAAAATAACGACTTTTTAAAAAAATTTTTAAGTAGTTTTTTTTAGTTGAAATAAAGTGTTATTTTACGAGACATTATAAAACACTTAATCTTTAGTTATTAAGCATTTCTAGAACATTTGTTCCCATGACCCCGATAATGACAAAGAACCGGGACGCCTTCTTACAGCGCTTGTTCTCTTTGTGAAGTGTGTCGAAGAGCTTGTTGGAAATTTTTCGCTGTCCGGCCTCCGTCAGCGGATACGTCTAAATCTATATAAAAAATATTTTAAGATGAATTACGTTGCCAGCGATGCCTTTGAAGTACGGGGGCATAAACTTCAGGATCGGCATCTTGTGCTCAAGTCCAGCCTTCACATTTGAGCGCAAGTGATCATCGATTTTCGATTGGACGTGGCGCTGAAAATGATTATAATAAAATCCAAGCAATGATTACGATATTGTCTTCAACGTCGTACATCAATTTGTCCACAGCGGCGATGGCATCCGTGATGCGACGAAGCCGTTCGAGCTAAAAACGTATAGACACAGCACAACATTTTATACCCGCTCTGGCTCAGGGGGCCCAAAGTCGAAGTAATCGCCCTCGTCCACCATCAATGGTATCTAAACTATAGTTTTAGACAAAAAACGAAAGTTATATCTATAAATTAACTCCAAAAACGTGAACTTTATTCGCCTTCTCGAAAACTGCGCACGAATATGGCAATTGAAAATTGTAGCAATCTCGGAGATAGTGCCAAAACGAAGAGTTTTTACATAGAAAAAGATCAGAAAAGTAACATTTCCTTTTAAACTTTCATTTTAAAAGTTTTAAAGCAATAATGAGCAAATAAAAATAAAAATAGTAATCGAAAAATAGAACGCAGTTCCTACTTTACACTACGATACATGTCGCTGCGGGACCCTCGCCGCCCAGGCAGAGTGAATCTGCAGTTTCGCCTCGATTTTTCTAGTATTTTTTTATTGTGAATTTCTAATACCTATTTTACACCCGCTGAACCTTGATCTCGCTCGTTTCCCACCGATAATATTTCTCCATTTCAGCAAAATGGCTGAAAAGCGAAAGCTTCTCGCCGAGATTGACAAGACATTTAAAAAGGTAGGCTACTTTCTGCCGAGCGTTTTCACCTCGTTTAGATCGATGAGGGACTGGATGATTTTCAAGACATCATGAGCAAGCTGCTCGATGCCAACTCGGACAATCAACGCGACAAGCTGCAGGATGACCTGAAGAAGGAAATCAAAAAGTTGCAACGGTACTTTGTTGGGCGTTTTGTCTCTAACCTTTTTTTAGGTTTCGCGACAGCGTGAAAGGGTGGCTAAACAATCCCGACGTGAAGGAGAAAGACAAGCTGTTGGACTACCGCAAACTCATCGAGCAACGGATGGAACAGTTCAAGGACATCGAACGGGAGAATAAGACGAAACCCCACTCCAAAGTGGGCCTTTGCGCCGAGGAGAAGGTGGACCCCATCGAAAAAGAGAAGCAAGAATCCGTAGAATGGTTTCAGGTAAATATTTTCGCGTTGCTAGACTGTCCCAAGAGATTTTTGCACTGCAATCTGGAGAAATCCGGACGGTGAACGGCATGTATAAAAAACAGCGATAGTTTTTGTTAATGAAAACGTGGTCGTGTAAAAACAATCTATTAGACCTTGTTTATAAGCATGAAATAATATCATAAAATTGATGAGCCATCAACACTGAAGCAACCGCACCGCCTTTGTTTTCGCATGTCGGGGCGCTCATCGTTGCTTACATGTGTTCGGCTTATTTTCTTTGTTTTTTTTCAGGCCATGATCGCTGATTTAAAGCTGGAAGTCGACCGAACCGAGGCCACCATCGAAAGCCTTCAACAAACCGAAGCCTCTGCCCCGAAAAAGGGGCGGAAAGGCAAAGACGACAAAAAGGCCATGTTGCTGCGAGTTGAAGAAAGCCGGAAGCATCTTGAACGGGTGTCGTTCCACATGCAACAGCTCGAGGTGAATATTACTCTCCAACTCTCCATTGTTTTTTTTAGCTTTGTCTGCGGCTGTTGAACAATGAGACGCTGAAGCCAGGGTCTGTGATGGAGATTTTAAGGGATCAGGTGGAATTATATGTCCAGAGCCTCGATCCCGAATATGATGGCCAGAACGGCGCATCAAGTACACTGGATCCGGAAGGTAATCCTGCGCATCGTTCGAGGAATGTTTCTGTTTAGCAGCCTATGAAGAACTGGGACTCGATCAATTGGCTGCTACATTGGGAAATATATTCAATCTCTCCGAAACGTCGTGCAATGAGTTGCAGAATTGTAAGCGTTTTTTAGTTTGACTATATTTTTGTGTATAGCGTTCGACATGAAGCGGACAGGCGATGATGGGCTAAACCGATCGCGGAGAGGCAGCTCCCAGTCGCCAATGATGACCCGAACGCCACCCACGAAAAAGCCGGTCGCAAGGTAAGGAACTTGCGTTTCCAATTTATGTTTATTTAGCTGGTTTTGTTTGGTTTATACACGCTATATCACTCCGGACAAGTTTTGACTATTTTTTACATGAAAAACTTAAAAAAAACTATTTTGATTTGGAAGACAAATTAGTAGGTTTTTGACGATACTAAATGGCCCATTGCCGCTTTTGGTAACTATGTTTTTACATTGCTACATAGGCAGCCTCATTGGCAGGGATAAGCGGAAATCGGCGAAATAGACGTTTACGGCTTCTCATTTATTTCTGACCTTTTTCAGGATAATCTCCGAGCCACAGCCAAGCAAGGCGGCCGATGAGTCCCGCTCATCGCCAACCCCCACGGTCTCTGCGCCAACGATTCCCTACAATTCCATTGTGGCTGGCGTGAAGTGCTCGTCGGCGAGTGGTAACAGCCCTCACAACTTTTTGTGAAAATTCCATTTAGAGCTAAGCGAACGCGCAATCACCGAGGTCTCGGCCGAGCCGATTGCACCTGCGATCCAGATCTCTACTACCGAATACCCGACGATTAATGAGAATTTGCCGCCGCCAGCTCCTTCTGTTGCCCCGAAGGCGCCTATCGGTACGTTGATTTCGTGCTGATTAGCTTGGGGGCCCTATCGTCCCATTGGTCTCAAAAAAGGCCAAATTATATCTTTGGGAAATTTTTGAATTGTTTTTGGTGATGGCAAAAACCTACTAACTAAAAGTACATCATAAAACGCTGTAAATGTTACCTGATATGCGTAAGCTAGATCAGTTCAGAGCCGTTGATTTCATCTGGTCCTCTGAATAATGTTGTTGTTTAGCGCCGCCTCCGGTCGTTGCGGAACCAGAACTCCCTCACCGTGGCCACGAATCAAGGGCGCGAAGTCAACGATCTCCGGTCCGTGCCAGCCCGGCCGCCACGCCGATAATCCCGAAGGCAAATAGTGCCGTCGATGGCGTTATTGTGGGGAAATACTTTACTTTCAATTATCCCTTTTTTTTCTAGATCCAAGCGTTGTCACGGATGGGGAGTCAAGCCAACTCGTTGCCCACAATGTCTTCTCCATCGGTGTCCGACGAGGTGACTGGGTTCACCAGTGCTCCGCCTCCTCCTCCCCCTCCGCCCCCTAAGCCGCCAGCCGCAAGTGTACAGGTCGATGGTGACATGAGACCGGAAATGGCGCTCTCTCCCAAGGCTCCCGAACCAGTGAAACAAAAACGCCTCCGTATTCCACGTATGTTTTTTATTCTGTCCTTCCATTGCCTTCTTTCAGCACCGGAGAGAGCGGCCATAGATCGCGTTTTGGGTCGTTCTACCGAGTCGAAGCCGGAGCGGACAGAGAACTTGAAGGCCCGCCTGGTCGGTTTTGTCTTCAGATTGGCTTGTGGGGATTAAAGATTTCACCCAGTTTTTTCTCTGTAAAGCTAGAATGAAACCAAAACCAAGTGATATTTGTATTTTGTGGTCTTTAATCTTAGTTGGTTGTTTAGCGTTAGTCATATTTGTTTCAGCATCAGATTACTCCTTCATTGGGCGCGTGTCCGCTTGGCCCTGGCTCGCTCACCGAGGGCTTGGTCCTGCAGCTAAAGGCGATCGAAGCTCAGATGGCCCGCCGGCCGATTCAATTCGATTGGAACAAGTCGACGTATGTTTTAGTTTTGGGCATGTGAAGGATGATTTTTGTGCGTATCTTATAGTAATCCACTTTTTAGGCCCCAATTTTCCTCGCGGCCAACGACCATCCCGACGTACTTCCCGTCTGCTCCGCCGCACGTGTCCAGCTCCCCTGAATATTTCGATCGTCTCGCGCCGGAGACGCTGTTCTTCCTCTTTTACTACTCGGAGGTCAGAAAATTGTTTATTTATTGATTCTTATTTTTAGGGCACAGAAGCGCAGCTGCTATCGGCGAGGGCGTTGAAGAAGGCTTCATGGCGGTTTCACTATGGCTACCACACGTGGTTCCAACGCAAAACCACACCTCACGAAATCACGGACACGTTTGAAAAGGTAAGGATTGTTTCGAATAAAAATGTTAGCTTTCTTTTTCTGCGAATTGCGTTCAACACTCATCTTCAGGGTACGTACATCTACTGGGACTGCGAGGCATGGAACTACGGGCAGCGCGAGGACTTTTGCTTTGAGTACCGCTACCTTGAGGATGAGGATCGTGAAGCAAGAAAACTCGCATAGATGCCCGCTTGACCCCTTTCATTTATCTTACGTGTTCCGGATTCGTGATCTCTGCTCTTGATTTTCCAATCGTTTCCTTATAAACATTGTTCTTGCTTGGAAATGTCATAAATTGTTTATAGTCCTTGATGGCTTGTACTCGTTTGATTTTCTGGGAAGACACACATATATACACGGTTGGATGCGACTTACTTTAGTCGAGTTATCTCCCTAGTTTCCTAGTAGTAGATCTAATTTACTTTTGCATACAATTTACCATGCAAGGTCGTTAGATTTCCGGATATCTGACAAAATTTACATTGAAACCCTGATATAAAATAGATAGCGGCGCGTCTGTAGTCATTTACCAAAGGCAACATGGCGGCCGACGGCAAATCGACGATGACGACCATCGGTCTGAATGGTCAGCCGCCGCCACCCATCCCGGCCACGCCGCCGCCCGCCACGACCCCGACCGGCACGACGCCAAAGCGGCCGCCCGCAACCCGGAAGAAGAGCTCGGTGGAGGTGCAGCTGAAGAAAGGAAGAAGTGGAAGCGGAGGAATTCAAAGGACGCGATCAACACCCGAGGTCCTGAAGAAGGTGCCGTCGAAGACTTGCTCGGTCGACTCGAACATCGCGCCCGACAAGAAGACGCAGAGGGCCAAGGGAAAATCCGGAAAGAAGGACAGAAAAGAAACACCGGAGAAGAAAGAAACACCGGAGAAGAAAGAAGCGCCGGAGAAGAAAAAGAAAGGTACGAAGATTGTTTTCGTCTGATTTTATGTTGTTTTTTCAGAGTTGTTTTGTGCCACGATCGCCGTCACTGGAGGCAAGGCCGACGTGCTGGCGTCGACGACCGACTTCATTCGGTCTACGAAGTGCCTGGGTAACATTTAAATTCGTAGTGATAGAGCTAGAAGGATATGTTTTCTTGCCAAGCCTGTAATTGCCGCTTTAGGCATCGACAACTTGTGCAAGCAGTTCGAAGAGCTGAAGACCTACGTGCCGGCCAACCCAGCGGCCACGGCGTTTGAAGCGAACCGCGACAAGAACCGCTACATGGACATCCCCTGCCTCGACGAGACGCGCGTCAAGCTCACCATTGAAGATAAGGAGCGCGAAGGCGATTACATCCACGCCAATTGGTGCAAGGTGCGGCTCTATCCTCATGCTCCCTATAACTTCAATTTCTAGTTACCAGACGGGCCGACGTTCATCGCTGCCCAGGCGCCGCTCGACACCACCATCGGCGATTTCTGGCGCATGTGCTGGGAGCATGAGGTCGTCAACATAGTCCAACTGACGAAGTTGCAGGAGGGCGACAAGATCAAGGTAAATACCCAACGCCGAAAAAGATTATTTTGACATTTTGCATTCCTTACATTTATTTTTCTAGTGCTCGGCGTACTGGCCCACGGAACCCGGCGATCACATGAACCCGTCCGGCTGGTTCGTCAACAACAAGAAGAAGGAGGACAAGGGCGGCTTCAACACGCTGACCATCGAGCTGCTGCCGAACGGCTGCTCGAACAGTCGGATGTTGCGGTACTGTTTTCGTTGTCCTCCTTGAACATATCGATTGTTCAGCATCATCCAGTGCCTCGATTGGCCGGACAAGGGCGTGCCGGCTGGCCACCGCGAGATCCTCCGCCTTCTCCGCGTCGTCGCCGACGGTGACGTGCTCAATCCGGGACAGACGTTGATGCACTGCTCGGCGGGCATAGGCCGCACCGGCAGCCTGATCCTCACCAGCTGGGCCCTCTCCAGGCTCTACGCCGGCAAGCGCATCGACATGAAGCAGCTGCTGCAAACACTGCGCGACCAGCGAGCCCTCGCCGTCCAGAGCACCAGCCAATATCTATTGGTGTTCCTCAGCTGCGTCGAATACATCACGGTTCGTCTATTCTTTGCCTGCCTATTCTGCCATTTTTTTAGAAGAAGGGCACGGTGCCGGCGAGCGACACGGCCACCCTGATCACGGACCTGCGCAACGCCATGAACGCGATGCAGACGCTGCCGGCAACCAGCCACTGAAGAGCCCACCGGGGAAGAAGAATTACACAAGTCGATGAAAACAAAAAAAACCGAACTCATATTATGTCTCTGTCATTGGCCCATTAATGCCTGTTAATAAAGTGTTGGCTATGCATTCTGTGATCTATTTACCCGCACGAGACTTCACAACTGATCTGCACAACATGCACGAACATCACAACGAACGGAACAGGTTGAGGGATAGCATTCATCAACTTATTTGCTTCATCGTCAACGTCGAGTCTTTGAAGGTAATATACGCGAAGCCTTGGTCGCACATTGTCGCACCATAGAGCAGAGCATCGCCTAAAGAAAATTGTGCTGAGACGGTGATACCCCTAATTTGTTGGCCAGGAGTCGATTTTAGGTGTCATCGGGGATTATTACTTTTTATTCGATAGGGTTTGAAATTCTGAACAAGTCTCATCTTTTAAAAGGGCTGAAGGACGACTTGCGAGAAGTTTTTTTCAATCGTCGATCTCCACTTCGCCTTGCAAAAAAATTTCACGAAGACTGCCCTCGATCAGCAGGTTCACAAAATGCGACTTCTTCAGAATGCAGAATCAACTAAAAGAGACCGCACCAGGCTTTGTTTCGCAGTAAAATGGCTCCAAGTTCCGATCCAACATTGCCCAGCCGCCATACATGCAGGACACGACCATACATTCCGGATGTTGTTCAATGTTCCAAACGCCGCCCGCCAACTGAAAACTCTCATCTATTGCATACGGTATTTATTTACCATTCTCTCATTGACAGCCTGCGACGGGTTCCGTTGATCGTAAACACGAATGAACTGATCGTAGCTTCCCGTTAGCACTTGGCTAGCATTGCCTCCATCGGAGCTGAACTAGGAAAATCTGCACCAAAACACGAAAACACACCTGGGGCCTACGAAAGTACAGCCAGAACCATCTGTCGACACCTTGATGCGACTGATACGATCCGTTGTTCTCATATCCCAGAGACAAAATTGCGCATCTTCGCCGCCGGATGCCAAGGTATTCGAGTCGACGTGCGCGCAAGACCAGACCTAGAATCAGGTTTTTTAAGAGATGACCCGTCCATTACATTATAGATACTGGGCTGTTAGCGCGGGGGTTGGGGGAGGGGTGAACACGGAGGAACCAATTTTTACACACACATTTTACTTTTTGATCAAAATCTACGAAAAATTTAAAAGGTTTCATATTTTTGAGAATTCTTGTAATATCCTAGCATTTAAAAACTACTCAGACACCAAAAATACACTACTAGAATGCTCGTGTAGGCGCAAATGTAGAATTTGGCCCCCGTTGCTACTCCCCCACTAACAGTCCGGTACCCCTTTCGGTTCTGTTCTATTTCGCGTGGGGGAAAAAACTGTGCGGGGGGGAATTTTCTTCGTTTTTTTATAACTCTTTTATATGATGATATTTTGAGTTGTCAATAAAACTCTTAGTATATTTTTTGACGCTTTATCGAATGGCATTAAAGAAATTTTTGAAAGTTATTGAAAATGTCGAAAACTAGCTTTCGACTCCACGATCCCATGTGGAAACACCGAATAAACCTTCTTTTTTGCTATAACTATTTTATAAAACGATACTTTTAGATGAAATTAAAACTCTTAGTATATTTTTTGATGCTCTATCGAATGACGGGTTCAAAATATCGAAAAATTGGCGAAAATGCCGAAAACTAGCATTCCGGAACCAGTTTCGATAGTTTTTTTTTTGTTTTTGCTATAACTTTTTTATATTACAATATTTTTAGCTAAAACAAAACCTCTTAGTATATTTTTTGATGCTCTATCGAATGGCGTTGCAAAAATGCCGAAAAAATAGCGAAAAGATGGAAGGTTCCGCGAAGCATATTTCCCCCCCGCACAGTTTTTTCCCCCACGCGAAATAGAACAGAACCCCCCCTTTCTATTCCGATTGTGTGATACCTCGCAATTTTCCGTATATCGCGATTGATGACCCTTCCACGAGCGTATGATCGCCTTCGTACTCCCGTCGAGGAGGCTCAACTGGCCATCGCCATGCGACACGGCCACATAGTCACCGCTCGGGGAGACATCCAGAATCATTCTTCCGACGTCATCGCCCTCTAAAACTCGCATTTAGCAGCAAAACAAAACCTAGACTACCTGTGGTAATCTGCGTTTTGCTTTTCAACGAGCGATCCTCGAGTGAAATTTCCGCCAACGACCCATCTGATAGCGCGGCATAGAGCAGGGCGCCTTGTTCGGCAAACTTGAAACGGTGCACACCAGCCGGGAAGTCGATACGTCTAAGCTAAACCGAGATCACATTGAATGAGCGCTAGCCCGTGAGTGTTCATTTCGCCGAAATTAATGGCGCCAAATTTCATTTAGCCGAACCGTGCTATCGATTTTGAACATTTGCTAATGATTGTATCTGGTTCCTAGCGTTGAAAAACAAGTCCACTAGCAGAATCCAATGTTTTCCTATTGCAATCATCAAATTCCAATCTGCGGTTCTACCTAATGATCGAAAAATATAGGTTGAGATCAGCTAGATAAAAGCTACTGAAAAATGACAGAAAGCAAATTAGCAATCGTAACATTTGGTGAAATGGTTCTGGTTCTTTAACGGGGGACTTCAAAAAGAGCCGAATAGGTGAGTCAGCGTGACTTCCCCCCATTACTGAACCAGAGCCGACGAAATAAATCTAAATCCCGCCATACCTCTTTCGCTTCACCATGCTTGAAGAACCGGAATGACCCTTCTCGTGTGGAGCCTTCAATCAGTTGGTACGTGGCAACGACCAGTAGAGAATTGTCCCAAGAGCGTGCAAACGACGGAGATTGACCAAGATCGATTTTGACTTCATCAATGGCCGGAGGATGCCGTTTGTATGCTTGGACCCAAGGCGACACTTCAGTCATCTATATAAAACGACTTATCTTCCGCAAAATGACAGAATGCAATAATCCATCTAGACCAACAAACAATGGTCGTGCAATTAAAGCCAGGTACCTTTGATGACGTGTATTTCAAAACGTTTATTCCGGAAAATAGATTAAATACCGAGTAAAGACATCAAAGATGAACAAAAACGTGGTGGTACTGTAAGGTATACAACTTAGAACAATGCGTACATGTTTCCGTGGGCTGATCGGTGGAAGAGATGAGGATCCGAGCGGTTGGCCAACTATACATTTTTTTTAAGAAGCAGCAAAATGCTTACCTCTTCTTTCGGATCACGTTTGACGCCTCCAGAAGGTCCATCAGGAGCGGCACCAGATACGGCAACCTTCTTGATTCCCTTCATTCTTTTGTTGTTCGCCTTGGTGTTGAACTTCTTCCAGTCGTTTTTCTCGGATTCCTGGAAGCGTGAATTAGTATGGCTTTCGAGGCAGAAGCCAGCGAGTTTTAGTAAGGTGCATCGGAACGTCTTTTTTTGTTTCTACTGTATTTCCTCCAATTTAAGCCAAGGGTCTCTATATTTTCGACACCTGAAAGGGTGATTCGGGGCTTAGATTGGAGATAATACGGCAATAGATAAAAATTAGAAGTTGATCAAGAGTTAATTACTAAAATCACCTTGGCATTGTCCAGTTCTTTCCGCTTCATCTCCTTCTTCTGAGACTTCAGCCGCTTTCTTTCTCGTTCTTCCTAAACAATGTGTGAAAAACAGTATGTACCCTACCTGCTGCGTTTTATTTAGAAAATTGCGGCCACTTCCACCCGGCAGGCCTCCTTTCCTTTTATCTTCGAAAACGCCCTTTTCCTGCACCGGCGCCATCTTCAACGAGTTCAAGTCCGCGAGAATTTGTTGCTTATTGCCTAAAATAAATTTACAAACAATAGAGAAAAACTCAAACCTAGGAAGGTCACAGACGCTGTCGTTCCAGAAATTCCGTCAATGATTGCATGATAGTACTGGCCATTATTTCCCTTGGCTTGAACACGATCTCCGACCTAATGAAAATTGTTATAAACAGTTAGAATTTGCCTTCCATTGCACCGAACCGTCGCCATCACCATTCCGTGCATCGTTAGCAATAATTTCGAGCTAAAAATAGTTTGCAATCCAGATATCCAATGTACCTGTAGGTTGATAACTTCCTGCAGGTCACCCTTCAGTTTTAGGAGTTCCGGGTTGTTCCGATCTTTTAGTAGAGCCGCTTCCACCTAAATTGTAATTACCGGAATCAGAAAACCAAGATACCTGCTCAAGCTGGAGTTTAAAATTCTCGAGTTCGTCTTGGCCGGACATTCTAAATCTTCAAAAATTAACTTTAGAGCAGGAATGAAAGCAAACGATAATTTCGGCAATCGAATGACGCTATGAAAACGGCAAGGGCGAAACCGAGAGAGAGTGAGAGTGCGGAGAGTCTAGACAGATGTTGGAGGGAGCGCAGAAATAGCAGCTAGCCAATACCACACTAATATCACACACCGTCGTAGCAAATCAGAAAATTACAAAAAATTATCAAAGCAATTTGAGATAGTTATAAACTTCATCATAGACCACTAGCATAATAGCGCCACCCGGGCCCAGACGCAAAATCTTGGGGAGAAGCCCTTTGTACAGCGCCCGAATTCCTTCTTCCCTATAAACAAGGGCTATCGATTGTAGACATCCGTGGTACTTTCGAGTTGTCGGGTCAGGTTGTGGGCCTTGGATTCGGCTTTTTGCCACATCAGTTGGTATGTTGACGACTGAAGCCAACGACCCGGCCAGAAATCCGAGTAAGACCCGGAAGCACAGATTCAGTGACGGGCTACCCTGCGCATCGGGGGCATAGGACTTCATGTTGTGATAGAGACCAAAGTAGACCATATTCCACGTGCCGTTTCTTGCGATTGTCGCCGTAAGTCCACGAAAGATGCCGCTCGTTCCGTATCCCTCGGAGTTGATGATGGTGCGTGCCAATTGTGTGGCTGACGGGATTTCCTTGGGGCCCATATTCCGCATGGATTGCAACCGGACCTTGACCAATTCGAATGGGCACACCACGACAGCCTCGGTCATCCCTGAGCAGAGCCCGGCCAGGCTTAGACTAATGACTGGCGATGTCGTCGGACCACTTAACAGGCTTTTGTACTGTTCAAACGTAAAGAACTTGGTTGCACGCTTCGGCGTCTCGGCGAGCATCGGCGGCAGAATGCCCTTGTAGAAGCCGGCGACGCCTTCCGTCCGGAACGTCTTGCCGACGAGGTCGACCATGCCGCGATCGTGGGATCCAAGTTGTAGCCGCGTCTTGATCAAGTCAAGCGGGTGCATTATGCAGACTTCGACGAGCCCGGCAGAGCCACCGGCAACAATTTGGCGCCCGCCCTCGCGCCAATCGTGCATCTCCTGAAAAAGAAAATATAACGGACAATTGTGAAGGGAAACCAGAAAAAAAGGGAAATCTTTGCAAGGTTCCAAAAAAAGGGCGGGGAAAGCGTAATCTTCTCCAGTTTTTTGTCTTCCAGCAACTCGAATGGGACGAAACAATGTGTGATCGATAAAGGTAATGAGAATTTATTATCAGCATCGTTTAATAATCTATAAGGGTGGTAGATATGTTGGTTTGTTGCTTGAAATCGAGTGATGAAATCGTCTCCGTTCAGGGCATGTCCTCATCGTATTGCGTAGCCTGAAAATGGGATTTCGATGTAGCTCAGTCATAAAGTGTCGGTCGACGCCCTCTTTCCTGTCGAATTACCATAAAAAACAAAAGGTTCGCGACCTGCTCTTCAATGTCAAATCCGAAATCAGGTGCGGAATCGTCTGGCCGCTTCAACCCCTTCAAGTCAGAGAAAAAGGGATGCGACAAGATCTTATGGGCGGGGATCCTACAATGCTTGTCGTCTCGTATTTTTATTGCAAAAGGCTGACCGTTGTTTCAAGCTATAGACGAGGATCCTTTCGAGAAGGGGCACCATGTCCTTCGGGATCTGTGGGAGGTGCTAAAAATGAGTACCAATGCTTTTCATGGCCAAGATACCTTCAGCAAACCGAGTTTATTGCCCTTCCGGACGCGCGGTCTGCCAACGTTCATCGTCTGCCGCAGTGGAAATTATTAGGGCCGGTTGCGTTAGTATACCTTTAAATCATCTTCACTCGGGTAGCCGAGCACCGCGACCAGCAAATTAGCTTGAAGTTTTGTGCTGGTTGCGCGGAACAGGACCTATAAAAATGGCGTGCGGCTACCCGAAGGGCAGGAATGTTACTTTTCCCGTCGCCATCTCGGCCATCACACAACCAGCCGACCAAACGTCTGAAATTTAGGGATTTAAGGCACTTCCAGTCTACCCACCTATCCCACAGGTGAAACGCCGAGAGCCGAAGAGCAACTCGGGTGGCCGGTAATAACGCGTTACCTGGAAAGCTAAAATTAAATAAGTCAAAGTGGCAAACAACCCCAGCAAGCAATTATAGCTCACCTGATAGGAAATATGCGGGACGTCATAGTTGATAATTCGAGCATTTCCAAAGTCTGCTATTTTCAGCTGCATCGTTGTCTCGTCGAAGATCAGGTTGGCCGGCTAGTAGCAACTTTCGGAGGCCTCGAACAAATACCCACCTTTATGTCGAGATGAATGATGTGCATCGATGAAAGATACGCCAAAGCGTTGAAGAGTTGCCATGAAAGGATCTAAATCATTTTTTTGAAAGCCAAACAACCCTCACCTTCGTATTTTGTAGACCAAAACCGTTCCGCGAGGCCTTCAGTATTTTGCCAATCTCCTTGGGCAAGTAGTCGAGTATAAGATTGTAGCCATCCTACAAGAGCAAGACAACTACTAATACCACTAATCCATTTCAAGGTATGATGCCAGTTACTTACTGCCGGTGTGCCGGGGGTTATCCAGTAGTAATAGAGGAGCGTGACACAATTCTGATGGTGCACCTTCTTGAGCACGTCGATCTCACCAAACTAAAGCCAGAGAGAACAAGCTCGTGAACAATATCACCAGGCTACCAATTGAGACTGTGTCGGGCAGTCAGCCGGGGCGCCATCAGAATCGGAAGTCGTCCCGTTCGTTGGCGTATTCCTGAGAAATACATAGAGATGAGAGGCGCAATCCCTAAAAAAAACCAACAACCCCCTCGAATCAAAAACTACTCTAGAATTTTGCCAGGGAACGCCTAAATCTTCTCTTACCCGTGGACTCGTTTGAGAGCGACGAGCCTCCGTTCCGGACCATCGATTTGCCACAGTTCGACGGTGGCAAAGCGGCCGTCACCAAACTTCAGTAGTCTTTCTGAAATAAAGACTGTTATCCTCAACGTCTAATTCACCAACCTGTGAAATCTAATTGCGCGCTGGAAGCTGTGCCCTTGCCGTGTACTCTGGTCGCGAGGACACGCGGCATTTGGACCGGCGTCCGTCTTCAGAATACTATCAAATTTTTTTTGTTGAGAAATGTGGAAACTGCTTACCACACGCGCAGGCAGGTACCGCGGGTGGTCATAAGCACTCTTTGGTATATATCGCAAACAATTTAAATAAAAACTATATAACTAAGTCCGATAAATATGTAGAATCTATTATAGTATATTAAAACGCATTAAATAATATTATAAGACGTTTATTAAGTAGTATTTCTTCATAAATTACGCCGCGGCCGATAGTACCTGCCTGTGTTTTTGGTATGCCGTAATGTGGAATACCTGGCACCGCCCGTCCGGGATTAGCAAGCTGTAATAGCACCCTTTAAACGAGTAAAAAACGATAAAATTTATGCAAAAGGTGGATTCAACCGTGCAGAGCGGGCCTTCGAAGGCCGGAGTTGGACTAGAGATGTTTTTATTCAGATACGACTAACCCGGAAATTCAACTAAGTCGATTCGGCTCATTCATATTCAAATAAGCATACTTTAATCGATTACGGACATCCGAATCTGAATAAGGAATCCGTAATTCGACTAAGCTTAGTTGAATTAGTCGAATCTTAGCCGAATAAGTTCAGTCCTGACTTTGCTTTGCTAAAATATGGCAAAGCAAGATTTCCATCAACAGAATTTCCGGGTATTTCCATTTTTTTCATAGCAATTCATCGTCAAAATCCTCATTAGCATGTTATTCGACTAAACTCGGCTAATTCGACTAAAACGCGCCTATCTGAATAAGATTTTGCTGATTTGGTTAAGCTAATCGGAATTGGATCAGGAAATTTGGCATTCGGCGAACCTTTAGTGCGAGAACGTTAGTTGCTTGCATATCTTAGTTGAATAATAACATCTCTAAGTTGGACCGCAGGGGCCTCATGATCAACGATTTCGGTTTTCTAACCGGAATTCGGACAACGGGGCGGCTTTCCAGCTTCTTTACGTCACATGAATCAAACGCAATTATATTTTTTTGCTGAAGATTGTATAAAAAGTCAACAATAATCGATTTTTAGCTCAAAAATTGCTAAACACCATCATTGATACAGTTTCCTAAAACACGGTTCGCTACTGAAATACCGTAGAATGTGTGAACGCTGCGAGACCGCGTTATTTTTGTCAGCCGATCACTTTTTCTTTCATCAGAGTTTTTGCACAAGAATTTTTTTGGATTTTACGATGTCGAATGCTTGAAATGCAACCCTGCACAGAAACCGTACAAATTGAGCGGTACTTATCAAGTTGGGGGGGGCCACTTTGGTTTTCGACTTTTTGAGTCTTTCTAGGCTAGTTTTTTGTGCTGTTTTCGGATATAACAAAATCAGAGTAGTAAAACACAATTATTTAAACGTTTTTAAGATTTAGAGATGCTTACACCCAATTTGAGCCTAAAAATAAGGCTTCGTGCCACCCGGGGCCTAGTCGCTTCGGATGGGTGCGAGCTCGTACAGGTTTTCGAAATCGGGGCGCCCGAGCAGCGCGAAGCGCCCAGGCGCCCCGATTTCGGAAGAGTGGAGCGGCAGCCCATCCGAAGCGACGGCCCACCTTGCCTGACAATGCGGCAAGCCTCAAATTGTGCATAAGTACACTTTTTATTAATAAAGTTTTACGCAGTTTTTCTGGATAAACCCAACGGTTTGGCATCCTATTGCCACCCTAATCGCACTCAGCGTAAAAACTACCCCGGAAAGACTCGAAAAAGCGATAAAAAAGTGTCTCCTAATAGGTACCCAAAGTGGCCCCCCCCAACTTGATAAGTACCAATTGAGCTTTTATAAGAAAGTCAAGATTCTGAGGGCTTTCTGTGCGGGTTGCTTTTCGAAGTTATTTTTCTCATTTTCAAAATGCGTCGAGTATCCCGAAATAGCGGCATTCGTTTATTCAACTGTGTTTCAGAATATGGGTCGAAAGTCGCAAGAGAAGCCGCCGTTCACGCAGCCCGTCGAAAAAGATCAGCCGGCGTGGCGGTCTCAATCTAGAATGCTGCGCTCATCTACGCCAAGTCCCGCTGTAGCTGCAACCCCCTTGCCGTCTAACAAGAGCTTGACGACGAACGGTAAGCTTTTCGGTGCTAATGCACTTGGGGGGGGGCAGTCCGGATTTTGACTACAAGACGCTCCAAATGCCGTTTTTTAAACTCGAAACCTCTGGAAAAGCTAAGCCAAGCCTAAGCCTAGGCTTAGCTTCATACAAACGAAGTCTAAGCTTAGCTTGAGCCAAGCTAAGCTTAGCTCTAAGCTTAGTCCTAAATGACCCCATTTTGACCACCTAAGGCAATTTAAAGCTCAATTTAAGCTTAGCTTGGGCTTAAGCTTAAGCCTAAGCCTAAGCTAAGCTTAGTTAAAGCTAAGTTAAGCCTAGGCTTAAGCAGAAAACCAAGTAGCTAAAGCGGAGCGTCTCGTAACCCCTTACTACCAATTTCGGACTGCCCCCCCCTAACTGCATTAGCACCAGCTTTTCGTTTTCTGGGCGATATGGTCTATCTGCTGATTTGTCGAGTTTTGCTTCTCGCTCTTGCCCGACTATCATGTTATTCATTTAGTTAACAACGGCAGTGCCGTTAGCAAGCCGCGCGGCCGTCCCAAGCGCGCCATGTCGGCAGCCCCCAGCAAGCTGCGCGGCCGTCCCAAGCGCGACATGTCGGCAGCCCCCAGCAAAGAAATCAAGAGGTCAAGGCGATGTACGTCAATTGGTAATCCATTGATGGGTTTTGCGTTATTTATGGTTTCTAGCGCCAGAGTCAATGATGTCGGGAGTCAAAACATCGTCTCCGTCGCCTACCCGTGCGCGACTTCCGCCTAAAGGTTTCGTCGTACTTGGTTGCTTAGCAAATACTGTTATATTTAGTGGCTGCGACCGATCCAGGCCCTGCCGACATGTTCACCCCAAGGGCTGCTCCGCGTCTGCAAGAACCGGCGGCTCCGGCAGTTTCGCGAGATTTCATGCGGAATCAGTTTGCCGCGCATATAGGGCGCCTTGAGCGTCACATAGGCCACCTTGACCGTAAGGTGGAAGAGGTATCTTGGTTGTTTTTTCCACTCACGTATCTTTAGGTGTCGCGACAAATAAACGACTACCTTCCCCGGATTGAGGCAGCGATCGCTCGAGGGCTCTACGCCCAAGGTGCCGCCACACCGCAATTTCCGTCTTGTTACGGTACCGTGGAATCTCTTATTAATTTTTTTCAGGAGGTGCTTACGTCTCGCAAACGTGCTTTGATCCAACTCCACAACTGCAGACCGAACAATACAACCAAGGAAATGTTACACCTCAGTGTATGCGGCCGTCCGGCGGGCTCAATTCACAGGTTCGAATTTTGTTAAGGTTTTTACCAGTCTCCTAGAATGCGCCCATTACCCGTGACGCCATGTATGCGGAATACCCAGCGCCTTCCATGCACAACAATTCTGCTATGTACCCAGTTCAGCGTACACTGCAAGGCTATGAGGAGGTGCAACAAGATTATTATGACGTTGACGAAGGCACTTACAACATTAACCAAGATAATGTGTCATCAGTGAACTCGGACCTTTCCTACGCCTACAACAAGCACCAGGCGGTAAGGAGATTTTTTCGCATTCACGATTTTTGCTTAGATCGCCCTTACCTCGCAATCTTATGCGTCTCCGACTCGTCCGCTGGCTTCAGCCCAGTCTGTCGATCAACCAGAGGTTCCTATTATCCCGAAAGCTTTATCTCTTTTTGTTAGATTTTTCAACAAGTGAACGAACAGCCGGGGCATGCGCAAATCGACGTTCGCGGTCCGGCCGACCTAGATGAAGGAACTCCCACTGAGCAGCTCGTTGAGAACCTCAAGTACTTCAATGACAATGAAAGTAAAATGGGCTTCCCGTGCGGAGACTACCCGGATTATTAGGCCACTACATAACCATTTTCCACATTGCTTATGATGAATTGCTATGATCATGACTGATGCATGAATTCATGTTCGCCCGCCCCGTTTGCCCCCCTTTTTGTTCAATAAATTTACTGTTTTGTTTATGTTGGCTGTCACCATGCGCAGGGGTTTCGGCTAAAACTGTATCTTGAGACTGGTGCATTTTCGCGAATAGCTGCTTTTTTCTAATTCCGATGTAGGCGGCGAGTGCTTCCGGCTAGCTTTTGGCGGTCAGAGGGAACTCAGACAAACAGCGCGCTGCTATACACGCGACACTTACGAGCCTCTATTCGCTTAGTTTTGAAAGGCGCCTTTTCATGAACATTGAGATGGAATATCCGCGCTGACTGTATAATACTTCAGTTCTTGTGATATTTTGCGAACTGAAGCTTTTGCCGTTAGGATAGCAAATTTTTCTTTCAAGCGCGAACCGGCAACCCGGCGTTCAACTTCTGTTTTACAGTTCAATGGATGATGAGCTCGAGCTCCATGCAGAAGGACTTCGGGTCGACAACATTCACGGGACCATATTTTGGCCCGGGCCTCTCCGGCTACGAAAAGATTTGCCATTGGATAAGGTGGGACGTATGTTCGATAAAATGGAACCTCTTATTAGATTATTCGATTCGGCCATCGAGAAGTGGAAGTTTACTCAAATGGTCATGAGCCAGCCGTTGGCACTGAGCTGAATCAGCATGCTCAGATTGTCCTCAAAAATATATGGCCACCTGCGGACAATAACGACGAGGTGCTTTTGGAAATTCAGGCATTCGCTTTTTTAGAGTAGTCTCGAAGCCTGGACCTATGATCTCAAGCAGCGTCTCGGACGGCTAGATGCCGTATTCCAATCATATGACAGCGCCGATGGTTTGCTCCGCTTCGAGGTTGAACATTTTTCCAAATATGGACTGAATGTGGGTTTGCTGACGTATTTCTTATCCTGCTATGAAATGATTTTATCCTATTATGAAAAAATGTATTTCTTTTATTCTCAACCCTGGCCCCGTCTAGCCCTATGATGTTCTTCGTTTTGCATAATTGTGCCCCAATTCCGATGACAAAAATGAAAAACGCTCCCTTTGAGCCTTATATAGGCACAGCGACTTCCGGCGATGCTAATTTTATCCAACAAAGAGGTGTCGGAATTTTAAGAAAAACTTAATTTTAATGTCGAAAACACCATATTTTACAAAATCTGATATGTGTGCAGTCATCTCCAGCTCCTTACACATCTAATGACGTATCAAAGACCTACTCAAACCCATCTCCTCTCGAGATATCCTCTGGACACCCTGACGGAAGTTGCATGCAAATGCACACACACACACAAACACTATTTTTTATATATAGTAGGATCTAAGTCCGATAGCTCGGCTATGTTTTGTTTTTCGCTTATCGATCGCGGACGATCGCTGCTTATGCATTTATTTGCAGGATGACGAAGATGGTGAGGTTGAGCTCCCTGCTGCCGATGCCAACAGCTCTCTCAGCGAGTATGAGCTGCATTTACAGGTGCAAAAGGCCAAGATGCAAGGCATGCTACTCGATCCGTCCTGTCAAGAGGTATCCTGTTCACCGTCATAAATATTCGCTTCAGATCCCGCAAACGCCGCCACACATCAGAAATCTGGCCTTCAACACACCGCGCTACAATGCTGTTGTACGTTTTTTTATCGGCAACACCAGTGGGATCCTTTAGTATTGCTGGTGGAGGATCCGAACGTTCCAAAGTAATTTACTGGTCTTATTAGCAGTTTGGAAGAGAAAATGTTCAAAAAGAAACGCTCAACCGTAATTTGAATTTTTCATCCAAAGACCAAAATTTTGGTAGTTTTACAGATTTTTGCAAAGTTTTACGCTTGGGAATAGTTTTGAAACACTTCATCCAGTTATGTTAGAAAAATTAGTTACTAAGGAAGATATTCGGATTTCCACCGGACATCGTTCCCCCCTTTCCACGAAAATTAAAGGACCACCAACCGTTTTAGCGCACGCCAAACATGAAGACGAATATGACATTCATCAACCAACCCGCCAAGTTGGCCCTCTCGTTCAACATGGACGAGCCGTTGTTTCGCGAGAATACGATACCGCACTTTGAGTAGGGCATCTACGCGTTCCATTGAATGTTTTTAGTCGATCCGTGCTCTCTGAACGCTCCCAGAACGACCTGTCCTACAGATCTCAGCACGAATTGTGAGCGTTTATTTTTGATTCGAAGGATCGGTTTAGAGCCATGGACACGGATGACGTTTCTGCCTCTAAGAAGCGCTGTGTGGAGGGCAGCATTGATTTGGTGGACTCGTTTGGGTCAGTTTTTTGTCTATAATTTCCACACATAAGGGCGCCTATCACGTTTTTATGTGAGATAAGATTTGAAGGTCCAAAGTTACCTTGGCAGCCGTACGTCAGTCGCTAATTGCTAATTTTTAAGTTTCAGTGAATTGGAGCCACGCCGACGGTCTGCGAAAGTTGAGCGTGAACCAGTGAAGAAGTTGCCTGACACCGAGCTGCGTTGGTTGTCGCCGGGAGAGACAATTCGTCCTCCACATGGCGGTCCGGTGGATATTGTGGCGCAGCGCGGGATGGCCTTTGTTCATCGAGGTCTGATACACGGGAACTGTCGATAATAAACTATCCTAGGAGAATCTGGCAAGATGGTGCTGGCTGACGGGCCCGAAGTTGACGCGATTATGGTGGCAGCCAACGAATTTGAGCAACTTCCTGTGGTTTGCTATCCTTAATTTTTTTATTGTCATTTAGGATTTCCTGGAAGACGTCTTCGAGGTTACGGCCAAGAATGCATTGACTGAATCTGGCGACGAAAAGCAGGCGCCACTTGTAAAGGCTGGAGACAATTTTGCGGCGCTTTGCCAAGATTATATCACCGTGCACGCCAGATGTAAGTTTCCCTGGAGTGACTTTTTAAGATGCGCGAATTTTAGACGACCGAGCTGCCGAGGTGGGGCTTTGGAATCTGGCCGAGCTGCTCTTCAAGCCAAACGACATGGACCAATCACTATGTGAGCGCTTTTTAAGACTTCTTGGTGTAGTTAAGGTAACGCTTTTCAAGCGTCGATCACGTATGAAAACGACGATCAACTAGATTAGACATATCTGAAGGCACAAATTTCGACTTCCTTTCCAGATGACTGGGATCGTGAGCGTTCGTACCAGCTGGATTTGTGGCTGTGTAAAATGCTGGAATTTGAACAACCGGTGACGCTCTGGGACTACGTAACGCAAGGAAAAGTCGACATGGTCGGTTGCAACTATGCTTTATTGAATTTTGTTTTAGCTGGTCGAATCGCCAGAATTCTCACGATATACCGTCGTACTGTTCCTGCAGTTGAGCAACGACATCGTGGTGCGCAAGAAGGCCCAGAAGCAGGTAAATTGGGTCCCGGTTCGGGGAAATATTGACTGACATTTTTCTAATTGTATTCTTGAAAGCAGTTTTCAAGCATGTTTTCGAAAACAAGTTTTTTGAAAAGTCATTAAGTTGGTTAGTTCATATTAAGTTGTTGCTTCGAAATTCAACCCATGAAGGATTGAGCCACTATTTCTGATCTCCGGTAGCCGTCTCCTTTTGGGAACTCGATCCAATATTTTGGGAATCAGATGAAATGTAAGAAATCCTATCTTTAGATCGCTCATTGGCGTGAAAGACAACAGTTGGAGCTCATCGAAGAGAACGAGCTCAAAGTGTATATGGTCATTGCCGGGATGCGCGTTCTGACATGGAAAAACGCCCGCGGCGCGTCCCACAGTGTCAACATCTACGACGGCCTTAACTGGCTTCAGGCATCGGCAGATTTAGGATTTAAACAAGTTTTCAGGCCCTCGGACTCCAAGTGCGTTACCTTGGCGCTGAACTGGAGCCCATCTCAGAGTCGGTCCAGCGGCTATTGGTGTGTAAATTGCGGTCGTTCAATTTTCTGCTTTTAGAAAGACAGCGAGGACGGGCATTTCACGTTGCCCAGCAAAGAGGTCGCCTGGGAATTGATCCGGTTCGGTTGCCATGAACAAAATCGCGCCCTTGACGTCACCGTACGGGCAACAATTCCCAGCCGCAGAGTGTCGAATTATTATCTTGGGTTAGTGCTTCGTTTTTTTCGGCCGCAGCGCAGTCAACTTTTTCCCTTAGGAGCCCCTTTTTGCTCGTAAATGGAGGAAATTTTGATGGAAGATCATAGAAAATAACAAGAAAAGGAAAACTAGCGACCAAAAATGTCCAAAGAGTTTTTCGACCTTCTTAAAGATAATTTTTCCGTGAAATATAGCTACATTTCGATCAAAACACTATGAAAATACACACTTTTACGTTGCCGCACCTAGACTTTGCAAAGTGCGCACCTGGACCTAATTTTTCCTGTAATTGATCGGTAACATCTTGACTTTTCCAGCTGGCACCTCTGGACGGTCGTTCGAACATCCGGTGATTGGCGAATGAAGCGCTCCTATGAAGACGAGCTGACGGTGGATTACGCCGAGCAACTCGCCAGCTATGGAGCCCTTCATCTGGCCGTTTTCGTCCTCTGCCACATAACTGATTCGGCGAGGTACGGCTTTTTTTTATGGAAATGTAACGCTCTTTCTAGCCGTGAATCCGCCGTCCGTTCTCTGCTCGAGCGCAACGCAATGAGGCTGAACGAGCGAATCGTGGGCAGGCTGTGTCGATACGTGAATATCCCATTAACATGGATTCACTCGGCACTTGCCCTCCAGGCTAAGGTACTTTTTCAAGAAGAGTTAAATTCATAGGATTCAATCCGGGAATCAGAATTGGTGCATAGATAGAGGTGATGACGCTAGTTATTTGTGTATTTTTTAAGTTTTGCCACGGACGTAATCAACCACAGAAAATGTACACTCGACGTAGAAAACACGACATTTTGCCGCATTTTCTCTAGCGTATATATCTCGAGTTCTAGCCGTCGCTAGCAAATTCTAAAAAACGGTAATATTACTGCCGTTGAACCTACATTTTTGCTAAGTTTGAGCTCGGACCTTCTAATTACTTTTCTCTCATCTTTATGTTTTAGAGAAATCAAAACCCTTTCAGCAGAAGGGCCGATCAGCCTCGTATTTCGAGCATCTGGTGCACGCCGAGGAGTGGATCGACGCCGAGCACGTTTACACCGAAAAGTTGGCGCCGATGGCCATTGAATTGGGTATTTGGCTGATTTTGATGATGACGGTTTTCCAGATGACTACAACGCCCTTCGACGGTTCACCAGTCTGCTGCTCTCGAACAAGACACCGCAAAAGGTTTGTTCTTTAGGCGGATTTTCGATTCTTTGCCTTTATCGGGGGTTATCGCCAGCTTCGCTTTTTCACGCTATGCATCTTTTTCCAAAAAAGTGGTTTTCTAATCATTTAGGATAATAAAAACCTAAAAACGTTTTAAAAGATCATTTTTTTTGGGTTTTGCCCACTTTTCATACATTTTCGACCAAAATACTCAAAGATTGCTAACTTTTTAGGGTTATATCCAAAAAATATAATTCATTATGGCTACCATAATGACGAGGATTGCGTGATGCCCTATAACTTTTGCATTGCCCAACTCTTTTCAGGCTCACATCCCCGTCACGTCGTTGTACTCTGAATACTGCCGTCTGTACGAGCTGATCTCCTCCCACGGCGCCGCCCGAACCCCCGAGGTGAGCCTGTTCACAGCCATCATCATGTCTGTTCGTTTTTAGGTGGAACAACTCTGCGACTCGATCGATGCCCGTCTCGACAATGAGGAGCAGTTGTCGCCATTGCAGAGGTACGCGGAATTTGCGCGCTTCCGCAACTTGTCTTTTGTGTTTACAGCTCGGCCCGGTCGATGATTGGGCTGACGATGATGCGACTGCGGCGGCGGATCGGGGCTCAGCCCTGGGTGGACGGCGGTGAGCTGGGCAAGCGGTGCTACCGTCTCGGAATCTCCATCATCGATATGGCCATGTGGTACGGGAAGTTGTTGCACTTAAAAATAGAGTTGTCTTTTTAGTAGTTTGGAGGATAAAAAGTTTTTCGTTTCGATTGTCTTGATATAAATAAGAGATGTGTTGCTAGACGGCAATGAAGATAAAAACGGAAAAAGATACAGGGTGCGGAAAAAGTTTTCGGCGGCGCACCTTTTATCAAAAAGATTTGTCAAGATGAGCGTTTCGACTACATTTTTTGTGGTGTCATGATAGATTGGGACAATTCTCATCCAATTTCATGAGCCAAAGATTTTTAATAAGTGCTCAGCTAAAATAACCGAGCTCGGAACACCGATGCGCAGGCGAGTTTCGAAATTGGCCACCATTTAGCCGATATAGAAAGCGCGGTTAAAATTTTCCGTGGCAGACTACCAGGCTTCCGAGTCTACGGATTATAAAGAACAACCCCTTAGCATTATTCCATATCAATATTATTGCTTTGTCAACAGACATGGCTGAATTCTCAGGGGTTTTGGCTGCAAGGCGGCAGCGTGCCAAGGCTTTAGAATGTTCAGCACCGTCTAAAAGCTGTTTCCAGCGTTGGTATCAAGCATCGTTTTTCTTTTTTAATTTAAGGGGTGTCGGTTAAAAATATCAGTACGCTAAATCCATTAGCAAGGCCGTTCTCTTCGGATTTTGTGATTACTGGCAGGAGATTTCCCGTCTCGACCAAAAATTCACCAAAATTAGGAGCGTCATAACTCTTTCGAATTGAAGCAAAATTTCTTGAGGTTTTGTGGGAAGATAGACCACAGGTTTGGCAACATCTCTACAAAATTTTGTGCCTTTTGACCAAGGATAGCTCGCAGGGGGTACTGTAACATCAACGAAACAACAGCGTGCCGGGGGCGTTTCTAAGATGATCTTTTCGGTCGTTCTAATCGGGTAAAATCTTTGAATTTGGGTAATCCAGTCGTGACTTATGATACATGAGTCTTCACTTTCCAGCCTCGAATCCAAAAAATCTGAATAAACCTCTAGGTTTCGAGTAACAGAGTTATTTGCCCCGCCGAAAACTTTCTCCGCACCCTGTAGATTTTCCGGTTACGAATTGACAATTTTTGACCGATATTTCAAAATTCTAATAATTTTTGAAGTTTTATAAAGTTTTCCACCACTTTAAATATAGTTCCCTTTTGCTACAAAAGTTATTAAAATCCTACGAGCTATACCGGGATGTAGGAAAAATTTGGGTCCGTCCGATAATACGAAAGAACTATTTTTTTTATTCACGGGGGCCTTATTCTTTATTTTCCGGAAAGTTGCGCGTGGAATCTCAACTTTTCAGCGACCGCGGCGGCCCGTCGATCCTCTGAAGCCACCGGCAAGAAGCCTCCTAACGCCCGAATGAAGCGCAAAATACGGGTCCTCCTCCCATCCACATTCGTTTTATCAGTTTTTAAGTGTCTTTCGTTGTCATGCCCCCGGTTGGATTGTATCTTCTCATATTTATCACCGTTTCGTTGATGACCGTTCGGCACGCATTTGGCTGATCGGTGTTGATAAATTTGCTGACAGCTTATTAGTGAAAACCAGCCGGTTGTCACAATCGAATAAAATACACGTGTATTGTGGCGGGATATTTATATTTTTTCCGTAGGATCTCCCGTGTAGATTTGATTGTAGAAACTATAGATTTTTGAATAAAATTTCCAATTTTGTGACAACTGTTCGAAGGTTTTGGGATAGACTGATCGTTCTTTTAATAAAAAGACTATGAAAACGCTTCATTTTTGCTTTAGGAAAAAATTACCGATAACGCGAATGATCTCCAGTTTCCAATGCTTCAAAAAAATCGTTTGGAGTAGGGCCCCCTCTAGGTTGGGGCTCGGTGGTGTCCATTAATTGTCTGGGGGAACTTTGGCAGCACAGGGGGGGAACACATTGACGAATTGAATCACTTTACAGGGGGATACGGTGGAATTGTGGAGAGGAATGAGATGGAGAACTACAACTTTAAAGGGATAAGGAAGGCGCCGTCATGGATCCGCTATAGGATATGCGTCGCCCGAACACGCAACGCGTTGAGCTACGCCGAAACAGCCAGGTTTTCGAATTATTTTTCCAGGTCATAAGTTTGCGATTGGTCACGCAAAATTCCAGGCGGCACTTTGCACTATCGCCCTCTTTCAAAATTTCAATCAATAAATACGCAGATTTATCTGGCTTTATTTTATCTAAGATATTTATAGAACTTTTTAACATTCAAAACATCAAGAAAACAAAAAATACGCTGAAACGGTCGCAAGTGGGTCTCGGGATTCTGCGCTTAGCGGCGTCGGAAGCTTATTTTTGGTTTTCACCTTTTTTTGCTATACAATTATCAAAAATACTTTTGAAATTTTGAGCTTTTACGGTCATTTTTCACATGTTTTTTGACCAAGACGCCAATTTTCGATGGGTTTTAAAAATTTTATGTGCTTTTTAATGGTATTTCGGTATATGGGCGGTGCGGGATAACTGAAGAAAAATCCTCCCGCTAACAGTCCAGCACCAGCCAGTCGATTTCCAATCTCAGCTCGAGCTCAGGAAAAAGCCGGCCAGTCCCGGGCCAGGGGGAGATTCCAGGCTCTTTTTTGCCGGGTTCTCAAGGTGTATGTGTGTGTGCTAGAGGGCGAAAAGGGGAGGATATGGGGTGGCAGATTGTAACAGCCCTCCTCGGCTGGGCCCTTCCATGAGATGCTTCTCCCCTCAACTCAGCAGGAGAGGGAGGGATTGAGAGGGAGCACGAGGGAAGGATGGAGCAAGACCGAGTCTCACAGCCACGATTTGCCTTTGGGGCCTCATGGCTGGCCACTGTTTGAGTCGTCGTCGTCTCTCGCGTATAGTACGTCTCGCTAATAAACCCCAGATGGCCAACTAGGTCGCGTTGGCTGGCCGCCAACGCCGATAATTTCGGGGCTAGATATGTTGAACTTGTTGAAGATCCCGAAATTTGTCGAGAGAAGAGTCTTCTAGCTATTTGGATGTTGCTTGGGGGCTTACGCTTTTGGCTTTTTCCGGCCTCCACCGGCCGCAAAAGTCGAAAAGTAGATGTTAGGAAACGGTCTCTTCTAGCTATTGCTTCAGCTTCTAGCTACTGGTGTGTTAGCGGGGGGGGGGCTAACTTTCCTATATTCTCTTAGGCGTTCTATAATGGAATTAGAACCCCTTTTAACAGCATTTGACAGCCTCTTTCGTGATAAAAATCCTATAAAAAATTAGTAAAAGTTTAAATTTGCCCGGTCGATTCCTTTTCTTCTTTTCTTGGCAAAATTTTCAATGGTATCTTCGATATCGGCTTGCCTTTACTGCGCTTCCGGCTTCCACCTCCAATTCTAAGCCTACGTTTAACTTTTCCGTCTTAATAATCTGCAAACAATTGTATTTTTTAGCTCAATTTTGGCCAGGTTTTTGACGCTCTCGACGAGCTTATTTTTGCGGTTATTTCCGAAAAACGAAGTGCTAAATAGCAAACTGTAAAGCGCCATTTTCCACTATAATTGCCTTTTACTAGGATTGCCGTTTAGAATCTGCTTTTCTTCTGCTTGATTCCGTTGCGGATCAATCGCTAAGGTACAACTTTTGAGGGAGGGTCCGATTTTTTGGGAGATAATCCATTTTTCTGGAGCTCAGAAGCAAGAGCTTTTGGAGCTCACGAGCAAGAGATTTGCAGCGAGTGAGTAGGAACCTCTGTATCTGGCGCCCACTTTTGTAGCGATTTTTCTGGTCTTCCTACCCATTTCTGCCCGTGTTCTTTAATCGATGAATTACCACCAAGCTGCTCATTCCGCTCATGCTCCCCACCAACCACCGCCGATCAATATCGATTTTTGAGCCTGGAAGGGCCCCCTGGGCTCTGTTTCCAAGAAGTATTTCCCCTGGGCGTTGGCTTGTGGCTGGGCCCCTCCTCCCCTGATCCGGCTGTCACTTTTTAGCATGGACTTTTCTCAAGGCCCCCACCAAGCTTTCCCCTCTGTTTCTCTGCCATACTGTATCTCTGCATCTCTGCCCCCTCTCTCTATCTCTCGTTCGTGGAGGCCGGGCCGGGGGGTTGGTGCTCAGTGTTGAGTGTAACACGCCTCTGCTCGGATGGGGGGGGTGAGGGGCTTCTCCTGCTCAGCCTCCTGCTCAGCCTCCTTTCCCCCCTATCCAACACACCCACCCGTAACGGAGACCAGGAGGGGGAAAAGCCTTGTGGCCCTTTTGGCCCTTCCTTTGTCACAGCGCCCACCCTCCGCCCTAGAGCAGCTACAGTCTGCCCCAGCCGGCCGTCAAGTAACGCCACTTTACCTTCTTATTACCTCGATTACTTCCTTATCCTTTCCTAAATGTCATAATTAACGTACTTTACTCATTTTCTTATTAGCCGATTATTTTTTAGGTTTTTTCATATTTACCGTACTGTCTACACCCCTTTTTGCCGCGCTATTTATTTGGTACGGCACAATACGTGTCATCCGTACCTTACAGCTACATTACGCTCTTACTTGTATTTTTTTAGTTTTTCCGAAGTTTTCCGTATGGCGCGTTTTGGTGGACCGAATCTGACGGCGTTTCAGGCTTCACCTGCTTGGCTAGCTTGGCTGGCTTCTACGTTGAGGATCTGTTTTCACAAGACTTCTGCGCGATTGAATTTCGTTTTCAACATTCTTTACCTAATTTGGCGCATATTTCTACCGTATTTCAGAAGCCAGAGGCTAACTTCCGCTTCAAAAAAACTGGTTCGCGAGCTTTGCTCAGCCCCAGTAGGGCTATCGTGGCTGCTGCGAGCTTCTATCGATTTTTGTATGAAGCCTTCCAAGCAGCATTTCCAGCGCTTCCTCCGACACTTTCGAGCAGTTCACCCTGCCCGGCCGGAATTTTTTGCTTGGAGACTGGCTGCTATTTTAGGCTACAGTCTGATAATAACTTTTTATTCAATTTACGTCTGGGGATCATCGAAATTCTCGTCGATTACTTGACAAGGTTTTGAATTTGAGAGCCTATTCTCAATTTTTTTATAGCTAACGCCGGAAAACAGGAACGATAAAACTAGAGAACTGCGCTTTGCTGCGTTCGCCTCATTTTCTCTTTTTTATTATTAAACGCGCTTTGTCTTCTTTATGTCCTTTTCTGGCGGTCTTTCTATCTTTGTATTGTATTTGTTTCTAGGTACGAGATGGCCCCTTCCCCCGATCAGCTCCGCGAAATCTTCAACCTCTACGACGAGGAGCTCGATGGCAAGATCGATGGCACCCAGGTGATTTAGGATTTTTTCTAGGATTCGATACATTAAATTATCTTTATCAAGGGGGTTCTAATTTTTCCGCATCGGTTTTTAGCCCTTCAGACTTTTTAAAAAGACGCAATTTTTCTGCGCTTTTTCTTTCAAAAAATCGCTAATGCTGCAAGTTTCGGGATTTATTTTTTTAACTGGTTTTAATGATCGCAATTAACCTTTTTAGCTAGGATTCAAGTTAAACTTTGATAAGGATAAGCCCACCGCTAGACCAAGATTTTTGGATGGATTTTTGCAAGTTATTCGCTTGTCTATATTTGCCTTTTTGTGGGTTTTACTGGGTCAGTCAACCGAAATATCGAAAACTCGAAAATAAAAAGATTTGTCATGAAGTCAAAATTCTCAGATCGGAGCCGTGGCCCGGGCAGCTGGCCTCAAGATCACCAACGCCCAGGTGAACAAGGCCGCCGGGGAGGAGTACAAGGTACGGAAGATAACCTGATAATTAACGAACGTAATAAATATTAATATTAATAACATTCAACGAAATAATGCGTTAATCTTTTGCCCTAAAGACAGCAGAAAACAATTGATCTATCAACTTTATCGTGGAGATTTTATCAACGATTTTCACTCGGGTTCGGGTCTGAAAATTGGTTTTAATTCTTTGAGTCCGATAAGCCATCAGACAAACCCCCGATAAATCGATAATTTGCAGCGAGTGGGACAGAAGCGACTTCCCTTCGAAGAATTCCTGCCCATCTACGAGCAGCTGAAGGGAGAGAAGGCCCAGGGAGGACAGGCCGACTTTGTTGAGGGATTGAAGGTAGTTTTATTCGAAAGTTTCTGCATGATTTACGTGTCTTTGGCATTACCCAGTTGTTTCTGATACCGTTTGACAAAAAGCAAAACGTTCTGCGGCGAGTGGGAGTCGAACCCCAGTAGGCCGTCTGGAATTTCAGCTGAAAACCATTTAGCCATCTTATTTCGTCTTTTATAAAGTGAAGAAGCTAGATTAATCGAAACGCGAAAAAGTACATTTCTCCTCGGAAAACTTCTAAATAGCTTTTTTAGTGTTTTAACCATAGAAAAACACGGGCTAAATTTCACTTTACGGTAACTAAATAAAATGTCGATTTTTCGATTGGAATCGATAGATCTCGTCGAGTTCTACCATTTCCAGTTGAAAAAACTATTGGGACTCACTCCTAAAAAAAGTTATAAACATTTTAAATTGGCTAGTTCACTTTACGGTAACTAAATAAAATCTCGATTTTTCGACTGGAATCGATAGATCTCATCGAGTTCTCGCGTTTCCCGTTGAAAAATAGATTGGGACTCGCTTTTAACAAAAGTTATAGATGTTTTAAACCAATTCACCCCGCAACGAAAAAGTCGGTTTCGACTACGAGGGACTCCTCTGTACGGAAAAAACGTAATAGTTGTGAACGTACTGGGGTACCAAATACGGGGCCCCGGCAAAAGGCACAGGAAAAACTTTATTAGCACATTATTTTGCACTCCCTCCGAATTTCTGAATTTCTGAAACATCAAAAAGACGGGTTTGCAACGGAAGTCACTCAATTTGGAGGGAAGTGACCGCTACTTCCTCCGCTCTGCGACTAGAAAAAGGCTTCGTGCCACCCGGGGCCTAGTCGCTTCGGAGGGTGCGAGCCGTACAGGGTTTCGAAATGGGGGCGCCAAGGCCGGCGAAGCGGCCGGGGGCGCCCCCATTTCGAAAGAGTGGAGCGGCAGCCCATCCGAAGCGACGGCCCGCCTTGCCTGACAATTTCACAGTCAAAAATGTCAAAAATACAGTGTAGCTTCCTCCGAACAACTTTCCCAAAGGTTTTTACAACTGTAAATGCTAGAACTCAACGAGATCTATTTATCGCAGGCGAAAAATCGCATTCTTACGAGGTTACCGTAAAGTGAACCATCCACTTTAAAACGTTTATAACTTTCGTTAAAAGCGAGACCCAATCGTTTTTTCAACAGGAAACGCGAGAACTCGATGAGATCTATCGATTCCAGTCGAAAAATCGAGATTTTATTTAGTTACCGTAAAGTGAACTAGCCAATTTAAAATGTTTATAACTTTTTTTAGAAACGAGTCCCAATAGTTTTTTCAACTGGAAATGGTAGAACTCGACGAGATCTATCGATTCCAATCGAAAAATCGACATTTTATTTAGTTACCGTAAAGTGAAATTTTCCCAAAACACGTCAGTTTCTAGGCGATCACAAGGTCGAATTTCTAGAAAACATTTCTAAAATTGAACGAATCTTTTTAACCGTGTTTTTTAGGAAGAGAAGAATAAAAAGTCCGATTTTTACAATGATTTTGCAATCCGATACTTTGTAAAAGCCGTCAATTTCCAGGTATACGACAAGGAGGAGTGCGGTAAGATCCTCGGCGCCGAGATCAGGCACGCCCTGATGGCCCTCGGAGAGCGGCTGTCCAAGGATGAGGTTCGTCTAATTATCCCACTCGCTCGATCCATATTTCTGACTCAAAATTCTTCCCATGTTTTTTAATCCCTGAAAGCGCGCATTAAGGCATTGAAACCAATCGATTCTCGCACTGACTACCCCCATTTACATAGCCCTTAATTTTTCCGCTTTTCGTCTACCGCTCGAGCCCTTGGAGTTCTTAGGATCATTTTATGGCCCGTGGCTTCCCTGACCCGCAAGGTGTCGCTGTGTGTATGTTGTAGGTATGTCGGACTCTATCTCACTCTCTCTCTCTCTCACTCTCTCTCTCTCATCCCCACACCCATTCATTCTCTGTTGTAAGTCGAGCGGTTCCGCCCCCCCCCCCGTTGTTTAGAGGTGAGCTTCGTCTCGTCTCTCTTGTCGGGAGATGGGTTTTGTGCGGAATCCGCAGCGCGCCACCTGACGCCCCATATTCCAAGTAGCACACAACCAGGGCGGCCAGGCGGGGAAGAAGCCGGTGCCCATGGGCCCTAGGCAAAGATGACCCAGGAAAAAGTGGCGAAAAAGTAAGGGGGGGGGGCTTGATGGATCCCTGCCACCGCAGCAGCCTGCCCCCCCGAGGCTTCTCCGAGATCGGCCGCCATCGATTTGCTGAGACCCGGGAAACCTTGGGGGAACTGCTTTGGCTGGCGGGGGGGACGCTGGCCCTTTCCAATGGCATACGGTGCTTACAGCGAACCGAACATCCGGGGCTAAATGGAACCAGAAATTGGGAAAAACTAACCCGAAACAACCTTGGGACTTGTGCATTAAGGGCGGGGGATGGGGAACGAATACGGTTTTCTGTCGCGAACTAAGCGTCCAATGAATCGCAGAAGCTTCTTATATAACGCCAGCGCCTATTTAGGCGGGAGACTAGGCCAAAAAGCGAAACAGGGGCGTAAATAGGCGTCCTCCTCCATATAGATTGATCCTGAAAATGCGCTTTAAATAAAAATAAACACGTTTGGTAGAAATCCTAGTATTTCTGAGTGATTTTTCTCGCATTTTTCAGATTCAAAAACCTAGCAGACCCAAAAAACTTTGAGAATTCCCTAAAGTTTGTCCATTGGATCAAAAAGGCTCCTAAAATCTTCCAAATAAACTTTTTTCCCAATTCTCCATTTTGTCTCCAAAGCCCCGCCATTCAAAAATTTCTGTCAAGTACGATAGGCAAGTTACGTAGCTAAAGAAGAAGTCATGAGTTATACGTCCATTCAATACGTAAAGAAGTCGTAGCCCCGAGGTCAGTAGGGAAAAACACCCATCACAAAGCTTACAATTATACAAACAAACATTCTGATATCAAACCTAGCGTGGTATTGCAGTCCTAGACATCCACCAAGCCAAACTTCATCTCACTTCTCGAAGTTCCGCCTAAATGCATCATCTCGTAGTCCCTACCTTTCCTAAAAAACGCTCTACCATCTGCTCATATCAATCAACGAGAATTTTGTTAGGCAAAAACCTATAGCATTTACAAAGAATCAATTAAAACTCTCCTAATTCCAGGTTGACGAGATCATGAAGGGTGTCGAGGACTCAGAGGGCATGGTCGTTTATGACCAATTCGTCAAGAAGGTGGGTCTTATCGCTAACTGCTAAAATAACGTCGCACTTTCCAACTAGCGATTAAAAATCGACGATATTTTTCGATCAAAATTTATAGTCGGTCACGACTGGCCTAAAAGTTACAAAGCTATGAATTAAGAGCTAGCATTAGGTCGAGTCAGCGTGAAAAATACGTACTTTTCGGCTACGGTTTACTTTCCCCCGGCGGAATGTTTTGGCTATAACTTTTTTATTTTACATTATTGTAGGCTCATAATAAAACTCTTAGTATATTTTTCGACGCTCTAGCGAACGCGAAAATCCCGACAAAATAAGCGAAAATACCGACAACTTTGAGACCCTTCGGCTGTGGGGTAAAGTAAACTCTTACCACGGAATGGCAGCGAATCGGCTAAATACTTTTAAAATACATTTATCGCTAACGACGACTAGCCAAAATGAAATTTACAAAGCTATATGTTAAAAGCTAGCAGCCAGTAGAAAGCGTGAAAATACAAAGCTTTAGACTTATAGCTTCAGCCTAAAATTTAGAATACAGCCAATAAAAATCCCTTCAAAACAGAAAGCAAAAAAACGATCAACCTTGCAGGTTCTCGCCGGACCCTTCCCCGACGAATAATTTTGCTGTGAGGACGAGTGCAAACGGGGCACCCCCACAGGAACGCCATCTCTTTCTTCAAATTTGTGTGTCCTCCTCAGGGCGGTCGGGTCTCAGCGGTCCCTCGTTACCGGGTATTCCCCGCCAGGGCCCCTCCGCCCCAAGCCAGCTTTCTTTCATCTGTAACGACCCCCACACTAAAACAACACCAAATTTCTATTCACCGCCCACCCCCGCTAATTCCTTCCGTCTAGCGCCCCGGCCCTCTAGTCCACCCCCAACAACAACATGTACCAAGCACCCTTTTTCTATTGCTCTCTCTCTCGCTCTCTCACGCTCTCTATCATCTATCTATCACAGACCCCCCTTTTTGTGATGCGGACATTGCCACAACCAACCAGTGAGAAGATAGCGTCCAACACCCCCAACCCCCTTTGGCTCCCCCAATTTAATCGATCAATAAGTTCTGTTCATCATGTTTCGATAAAGGGAAAAGGCTTTACAAAGAATCAGGGACTACCGACACTCGAGTCGCATTGTAATACTTTTAAAACTTGCAACACGCTTTAGAACAGCTCGTTGAAAACTATGCAGCTCTTTTTGAACTTTCAAGAATTCACCTCGAAGATAAGGTCAAATTATCAAAGCAAGGCTAAAAAAGTGCGAGTACGCTTTGAAAAATCCCTCAGCTTGTTCGAAATTTAGATTACTTCACAGCGGACATAGCCGACTAACAACTGCACCCATCCCACGACGTTTTCAACAAGCAAAAAACGCTAACAGAAACTAGAACGATTGCCTCGTTTACACTGTAGATCTCATTAGAACTCTGGCAGGATAGGACAATTTATGAAGAGCAACTAACTATACACAGCAACCACCCAAAAAAACAGCAAATAATTACTCAATCGTATCCTGCATGAGAACAGGGGCGAGTGCGGGTGGATTTGGGGTAGAGGGGGGTGATTAACGCAACATGGGAAACTAAAAAAATTACAGATGGCACATTTAGAAATTCACAGGGGGGAGGGGGAGGGCAAATTAAAAATATGCATAGGCACTCACGGATGGTACAAAAAAAAGGGGAATGGGGATGAGGGGGAACAACAAGCACTCACAACGATAGAAATTTGTAAAAGACTATATCAGGGTCCGCGTCGGCGAGCCCGGACTTCATATCAATCCGGCCTTGCGGGCCATCGAGTAGAATTCGGACCGCCGGTCGGCCAACAAGTTCTGCGGCGAGTCGAATTCGGTGATCCGTCCGTCGGCCAGCACGATGATTCTGAAAGACGTAAATAGAAAAAAAAGAATAATGATAATCATTGTCAGGGGCTGAAGCGTCAGATTTTCTCCTAATTCCTGAACTAACTAGTAACGTTGTTCCCCTTGATAATGCCACAATACCCGAAACCGAAACTCACTTGTCATAATCCATGATCGTGTTCAGGCGATGGGCAATGGTGAGTACGGTGCTTTGGGCAAACTCTTCGCGGATAGCCCTTTGGATGAGGGCGTCAGTGCCCTGGTCGATCGCCGCCGTCGCTTCATCCAACACCAGGACCTTCGTTTTGCGCAGCAGAGCTCGGGCGAGGCAAACGAGCTGACGTTGACCAACACTACAAATTCGCAAATCCAAAGAAATAAAGTATAAAAATACCTAATATTTTCACCGCCCTCCGTGATCACGTGTTCCAGTCGATCAGGTTGTGCAAGTGCGAATGGCTTGAGGTTGGCCATCTCGAGAGCGCGCCAGATGTCTTCGTCCTTGGCTTTGCCGAATGGGTCCAGGTTGAAACTAAATCAAAATAAGGGAACGGAGAACAACAATACCGTAAAGTTCCAGAGAAAAGGACCGGATCCTGGGGGATAATTGTCAAATTGCGGCGAAGATCGTGCAGTCCAAGCGTGCTGATGTCGATTCCATCGATGATGATGCTGCCTTCAGCCGGTTCGATCATTCGAAACAGCGCCAACGTGATCGACGACTTCCCGGCGCCAGTTCTGCCAACGATTCCAATCTAAACAATTTTGATAGAAATCATCAAATCAAATACCTTTTCATGCGGACCGATCTCAGCGCTGAGCTGGCGGATGACAAGGTCTAGCCCGGGGCGATATCTGGTGCTGTAGTCGCGCAGCTCAATTTTTCCTTCCGATGGCCAATTTTCGAGCGAAGTGAGCGCGTCGCCAGCAGTGCCATCCTTCTTCTCGCTTGGAGGTTTGCGTTCCCAGTCGGCTTCCGAGGGCGTTTGCGAGTATTCCTTCACACGCTCCACTGACACGATGTTTGTCTCGAGCTTGCTGATCGAACGCACGGCAAAATTGAGCACGAAAGTGATCTAGAGAAAAATAGTTGAAGGCAAATTAGAAACGTACGTTCAAGGAATAGGAGACAGAGAGTCCGATCAGACCGCTCGAGACGCTTCCACGAGCCAGGGCGGCGAACAGCGCAGCAAAGAGGACGACCAAGTTGCCGATCAGCTCCAGACGCACAGACAGCCATCGATTCGCGATGTAGTTCAAATAACGGCACTGCACATGCGTGTCCACCTTCTGTTCAGTCGACTTGATGAAACGGTCGCAGAGTCGATAGGCACGAATTGTAGCAGCGCCCTAAGCATGGAATACGAAGATAAGACAACTACAGACCTGGATAGTTTCCGAAAGGTGGCTGTAGATCGGGGAGCGCGTGATGGATTCTAGACGCTTTAGTTGCCTTGACGTTGCCAGGTAGTAGCGCTAAAGACGTATTTTAAAAAATGCGGCACAAGGTTACCAAGATGAAAAAGTACATCAAGGCGAGCGGGATGATGCTGACGGCAAAAATTGGCGTGCTGTAGATTATCATGACGAGTGTCGACAGAACCTGAATAAAGTCATAAAAAGGCACTAGAGAAAAGGATACCTGTAGAATACATTCGACGAAGAACTGGACATCGGATGGAAGCTGGATGTCGATGGTCTCGATGTCCTTGCCAACACGATTCAAGATCCGCCCAGATGGAGTGGTATCGAAGAACGACATCGGTGCATGGAAGATGGAGCGCACGAGCGGAGAATGCAGATTTTGAGAAGCAGCGATGCGCCCGAACAGGAAGGCCAGCATACCGAAGAAGAGCAATGCAACTAAAAACCATGAATTTAAAAATGGGTAAACCGCCTACTTTCAGTGAAGCCCAGCATTGCGTAGACGCCCAAGCGGACACCAACGGGTTCGACCTCCTCGGCGTTTTTCAGCGATGTGGCAGAGTTATCGTTTGACCAGTCGGTCAGCCACAAGTTGCGGCCCATCGACACCACGGTGCTCAGAGCCATTCCGATCACGAAGAGTCCAAAGAGAACGAGGCCCATCGACTTGAAGTACTCGGTGTAGATGTCCACTTTCACGTGGCCGACTTCGACGCGTTCAGCCTGGGTCAGTTGGCGGCTGTTGTCACCGCGGAACGAAACGTATCTAAAGGCAGTGTTTTAAAAATCAAAATCAAATCACCTCGAGCCGCTGACGAAACGAACACGCTTGGTTGTGACGCGAGTGTTGATCATTGTCGAAACCGTGGAGATGAGCGAGGCGCCGAAATGCTAGGAAAATAAGATTAATGCGCGGTTAGAAAAATTACCCGCTCGATCGGCTGACTAGTGCTTAGCTCTTCGTGCTCAAAGATGTCTTCCTCATCCGTGTCATCGATGTAAATTCCAGCTTCATGCTCAGCAGCCTCTTGGCGTTCCCTGTTCTCTCGGCGTAGCTCCTCTTCAGCCTGGCATTGTTCCATAATTTGCTGCAGTGCTCCACTGGCGGACAACTCGGCGTATGTTCCATCAGCGATGATCTTGCCGTCTTGCATGAGGACGATGAGATTGGCATAGGGTAGAACGCCCAACTCGTTGGTGACGAGCACGCGGGTCTTATTGCGCAGCATTCCATCAGGACCGATCACTGACTGGAACAACTGCTGGCCGACGTGGGCGTCGACGGCAGACATTGGGTCGTCGAGGAGGTAGACGTCGTGGTTTTGGTAGACGGCACGCGCAAGACTGATTCGAGCCTTCTGTCCGCCGGACAAGTTGATACCCTACAATCGAAAATACAGAAAATGAAAACAGCAATACCTTCTCTCCGATTTCGGTCTGGTCGCCAAGGGGCAACATCTGAAGATCCGGGAACAGCGCGCAAGCGTCAAGGACTCGATTGTAGAAGTACTCGTCCATCTTCTTTCCAAACATGATATTGCCGCGGAGTGTGTTGTTCTGCATCCACGGCTGTTGTGGAACGTAGGCGACCCGGCCGGATAAGCTCACGTAGCCCGTGATGCGCTCCATTTCCCCTAAAAAAAGTTTAAAATATCTACAAAAATGGTCATACCTAGTAGCGCCTGGCAAAGACTGGTCTTTCCGGACCCGACTCGACCAACGACACAGATGAGCTGTCCGCGGCGGGCTAGTAGATTCACGTCCTTGAGGGAAATCGTGGGCTCCGGCTTCTCCCATGCCAAATCGGCTTCGTTGACGAGGATCACATGATCATCTAAAGAAAAATCTAGGTAAGATTTAGGATCCTTACTGTCCCTCATCCGACGATCGACGTATTCATTCAGCTCGTCGGCGACAAGGAATTCCTTCAACCGACGATTCGAAACCATCACCTAAACAAAGAATTTGATGACAAAACAAAAATTAAACCGACCTGAACCGTAACCGCGAACAAATCGGACACAGTACTCATTGGAGAGCGCAGCTGATTGAAGAGAGCCAGTGAAACGAAGGCGATAGATGGCGTCAGCACGTTTTTAGGGTCGATGAAGATGAACGTGGCAAACGTCGAGAGAGCCACCTGCAAAGAAGAAATTCAACAGTTTGTTCGACGGTTACCAAGAATGGGGCAGCCAGGTTGAGCATGTCAGAGAAGGTTTGCAGGAAAGCCGCCTTTCGGATCAACGCCAGCTCCTTTTGGCGCAGCTTCTCGATAACGTTCTCCATCGGGGGCTCCCATCCATATAGCTTGATGATCTAAAAACCAGTACAAGATTTCACAAAAATTTTACCTTTATGCCGTTGAGAACCTCGTTGACCATCTTCGTGCGCTCGTCCTTGTATCGCATCTGCTGCACATGCCAACGACGCATCACGATGGTGATCAAGAAGTTGACAGGGATCAGAAGTACCATCACCGCAACACCGGCAAGCACCGAGACGCCGATCTGGCCCCAGAGAAGGTACAGCGAGAGGCCGATCTGGAAAAGATTCAAAATTTGACCAATAGTTTAGTTATACCTGCATAGGGGTGCTCCAGTATTGAAAGGTTTGCGGCGTGATTTTTTGGAAACGGTCCACGTCGATGGCCATCAGGTTGACAATCTCGCCCACGGTCTTGTTGCGGCGAGCCGAATTCGAGAGACGCAAGGTCTAAAGATCAATATAAAGCAAATTCCAACAATATTACCTTTTTATAAACAGCCGACGTTAACACAGACTGCACACGTGTCCCTACGCGGTACATTATGTAGTAGTACTGATTGAGCAGCAGCGAGGATAGTTCCGAAGAAGTAAACATGACCAGTGCGTAGAAAACGCCAAGCCACATTGGCTTCGAAGGGTCCTCGGTGAACTTGATCAGCGACGCCAGCACGACGGGGCAGACGAAAGTCAGCAGGTCGGATACACACTTGATCAACATGGCCACAGTGATGTCGACTCGAAACAGCTTGACGATTTGGTAGATGATCGAGGGCGGGGCTTGCGTGTAAGTGGAATCCGGGTTCTTCGGGCAATGATCATATTTGTAGTCTAAAGAAAATTGAGAACCATATCAAAATCACTACCGGCCATGGCTTGGTCCCATTGTGTATTCCAGCGGGCCACGAGAGGCGCCGATTGATCATTCGGGTTGAGGCTGTATAGGTCGTGCAGTTCGAGCGGTTTGGAGAAGCCACGCGAGCTGATCCCATTGAACCACCACATGAACTGCCGGTTGAGGTAGGAAGAGTAGCGTTCGGGCGATGGATTCTCAACAAAATAAATATATGGAAGAACCGTTTCCAAAAACCTCTTCAAGCACGTGTTCCGTGGCCCCCTCTTCGTCATCGTGTAGCTTCTCATAAGGTGCCGGTCGATCGGCGAACGCAAAGAGCACCGTCTGCATGGCGACAATGGCGTACCAAATGAAGTAGAGGTAGAAGTGCGCAAACTCGTAAGGGTTTTTCTTTTCCTAAAGCGAGTTGCGGAAATAGGGGAACATATACCTCATAGCTGATCCAATAGCACAGTTCGGGGAGACCGCAGACGGCAAAGAGCAGCCAGGAGATGAAGATGCCGCCGGAAGTGACTTTGCCGTACCCTTGGCAGGCCCAGATCAACAGAGGCATGATAGACTGGAAAAGAAACATTGGATAGAAAGAAAAGCGGACAGTTACCATCGATATAAGCAGCAATGCGGAATGGAGAACATCAACCCAGGGACCGGCTCCAATGAATACTTGATAGTGGGAAAGCAGCGTAAGCAGAAACGTGTCGACGAAACAAACGATGGTGAATACCTAAAAAAAGAAATAGAATATGGAGACCAAATAACTACCATTTTCAAGCACAACAGTGGAGACCAGGGTAGCGCGGGCCCTCGCTTGTAATAGGCTTGGGCGGCGACGATTGGCGCGGCGAGGAAAACGAACGCGCATGGCGCCCATGTCAGCACAGTGTGCATGAAGCATCGTGAAAAGGTGGGTACCGAGGCAGCGTTGAGTTGCTGTTCATCCTAAAATACACAAATACAAAAATGATGGAAGACATAGAAACGAAACCTAGCAAAAGCTAAAGGCGATCAGATATTTGCGAAAAAAGCGTGCGCTTACCCAAAACGTCTCGCCGCAGAAGGCATCTAGACGCGACGGTTGCGGCGCCCCAAAAGAGTCTTGATCCATCAAAGGATGGCCCGGGGTCTGTGACTGCCGTTTATAGCCCTGGAAATCACAAAAATATTTTTATTCAAAAACTGCAAATTTTACACAGAAAGCCTTCGGAAAATTTGATAAAAAAGAAATCAAACAGTGAAAGGCTGAAAAAGCCGAAAATTGCGAAACGAGCGTTCAGAGCTCACTACCGTAGGACAGGGCATCGAATAGAATGCAGGGCAGCAGACGGTAGCGTACTGTGTACAAATCGTACTTTTCATTTTAACTTTTTAAAATTAAAAGGTAATTCTATAATCAAAATTTAATATAAGGTTTTGCAGTGCGGTTTGATTTTAAATAAAATACATTTTTTTCACGAAATCGGGGGCAATAAGTTGGCGAAAATCTACGGTAACTTATTGATACTATGGAATTAGAAAGTTTACCATATTTTTCTACTTGACCTGAATTGTTTTTGCCATTTTGCATCCCTTTTTCCGTTTTTTTTTGTAATGGGCGGTTACCGGGGGCGGGAGTTTTTAGGGGGCCCTCCTTTTTGCTCTTTTTCCTACTTACCTGTTTTTCTCATATATAATATTTTTATAGTGTTTTATACAGTTATAAATAAAAAATTAAAGCTATTGATTTTGAGGGCTAGACTTAGCATAAGCTTAGCTTTAACTTCGCCTAGGCTTGTCTTAGACTTAGCATAGGCTTAGGTTTGGTTTTGGCGTAGGTTGGGCTTGGTCTTGTCTTAGCTTAGGCTTAGTCTAGGCCTAGCTTAGGCTTAACCTAAGCCTAGCCAAGCGAGACTTGGGCTTGAGCCTAGGCTTGGCTTGGTTAGCTTAAGCTTGGAGCAGCAACTTTCAGCTGAACCCTCAAAAAAGATGCCCCCCCCCCAACATTAATAGCTCCAAAATATTTAAAAATTTTATTAGGTTTTTACATATAAAAAATATTCCTGGTCTACATTTCAGCTTTGGCCCCTCGTATTATTTCTGAAAATTTTAGGCTCCGTATACAGGGTGGCGATTAATTACCTGCGCGAGAGAAAACGCTCGCTCCGAATTTTCCTTAAAGCAATCTCTGATCCACTGCATTTATGAAGCACAAGCTATCTAATACTTATTGTACAGAAAAATTTGGGTCAGTGGCCCCTCAACTTTTCCAGCCCGAAAATGTCGTCGAGCAAAACGCGCGCCGCGGGTATGTACCGATCAAAAGGCCTGATATTTTTTTCAGTTTGATAGGTAGTGCCCGCAAATTATTGTTAGTTCGATGCCTCCGATTACCCTCCAGATGCTCAAATCCATTAAAAGCATTTTTATTGGGCCCTAGCCCTACCAAATAACAACAATTCTACCACCAATTTCCGCCTGGAGTCGAATCGGCCAGAATGAGACACCTCAAAAATAAAAAGATTTTTCGGGGAAGTGCAATTTCGTTGATGTAGCGTTTTTCTTATTGGTTTGATAGGACGCATTGTTAAATTGAGGCTGGGTCTGAAGAATTTTCGGGAAGTTCTGGGCCAAAAATGATGCCATCATTTCAGCCCGCGGCGCACCTCAAAAATCGTCAGTAATTTCTAGTATTTCTGGATTCTAGTATCCTGATAAAGCCTTATGAACCCAAGAATTTTTGGCATATGGTTGTTGTAAGGATTTTACATATTTTCTCATATCGTACCGATAGATTCACGCGTAATATCGAAAGGACGCGCGGTTTTTATTTCCATTTGACCGATGTCGTTCTCGATACTGTATCTTTTATTATCTTTTGACTTAGGTCGGTTTTCGAACGCTTACTACGTTTGAAAAGAAGCGTGCAACATATCTGAGCTGTTTTAGAAAAGATTAGCTACCACCCATGGCTACAGTAGGCTTCTAAAGTGTGACCATGCGATCACGATCCGCGTTGTGAAGCCGGAATTTATGTTTCTTAGCTCGTAGTTTTTCGTGATTGTTTAACCTGGTTAAAATTTGGATAGGATGCAACTAAACAACCACCAATCTAGTAAAACCACTCTCTCAAAGAAAATTTAAAGCCTGATTTTTGGGGGAACGGGCGACGCGCAGGTAATTAATCGCCACCCTGTAATGGCCACTTCACTTTTGATTTTTTTTTGCGGGTTGTGCGTGGGAAGATCCTTTTTGCGCGTGCGATATGATCAATTTCCCGGCTCGTATCCTTTTCCGACTCTCTGCCATCGTCCGTTCTGCCCGGGTCGACACTCGTTCCCGCGTGTGTGATATCCATTTTTGAGGGCATCCGTGTTGAAATGGGTGGTTTTCACGCGCTGGCTGTATCTTTTGCGGTGTTGCACCTTGTAGAAGGCGGAAGAGACATCAGGTAACGGTTGCACGTGGTGGTTCTAGAATCACAGAAACAAGTTTTCTGACTTTCGAGCGTCCTTTTTGTGGCCCAGCTATTGCAGTTTTGCAATCCTATGTTATATTTAAGAGTTTTTCGGAAAGCCAGAAATTTTGCTAATAAGCTTTAGAAAATCCAGAACACACGATAATAAATCCCATTTTCAGCACAGCAGCCATCGGACCATGCCGTCTTTTGATCAACGGCATGAAGTGCACGCCGAAAGGTCCGTTTTTTTCATTGTATGGAAGCGGACTACCCCAATTCCGAATTCATCCAAAATTATGCTTTATTTAGGCTATTTTGAGACGGTTCAGTGTGATAGCAAGGCCTGTTTCTGCGTGCAGCCCAATAACGGGGAAATTGCGATCGAGACACGGACGGAGAGCCCGCGAGTATGGCCCAGCTGCTCAGGTAAAGAAAACGGATATAATTTGATACCTTAAAAAATTGACAAATGGCGGTGTTTCCAGAATGTTACAATCGTCTGGCAGAGCTCTACAAAGATGGACAACCACCAGTGGACTCGTTTCTGCCGTTGTGTGACAATAAGAAAGGTGGGTGTTGATTTTCGACTCGTGGGAAAAATGTGTCTCCCCCGGATAAGGCATAAGATCCATTTACGGCTTTCCACAATTCAGGATTATTCCAACGGACACAATGCACAGCCGATCGCACCGTATGCTTTTGCGTGGATCCTGATACCGGAAAAGAGGTAAAGATCTTAAATTCAGTTTTTTTAGGTTAACTTTATGCTTCTTAGGTCCCAGGCTCCAAAAAGAAGGTATCGGAAGGCATGGCAAAGTGTGACGACTCCAACTACGGTGGGGTCCAAAGGCTGCCAGATAGTTAATTGGGGGTTTAGGAAACGGCAACCTACTTCCGGCCGTATCTAGGGGAATTGTAGGTTCCTCGTATTTTCCAAAATATTTAGAATATTTAGGATCTAATCCCCATCGCAAATGCTGCGTGCAAACTGCCGATGGACCGGGGCAGCCGTTGCTCCGGCCGATATCCGGTTGTCGAGGTAGGAAATAAGGAGTAATCGTAGTTTAAGTACCGTCATAAAATGTCATTGTTTAGGCTAGAAAGATGTATACCGATGAGTTCGTGTGTTGTGAGTTGATAAAGTCAACGACTAAAAATCATCACTAAAAACACGCGAAATCATCGAAAATCGGCTCATTTAGCAAAGTGTCCGGTTGGCAGAAAAAAATAGTTTTTAGGACGCTGCCGTAGGAACGGCTTTAAATCCTTATTCAAAAGCCATTTTAGTGGCATTTTGACCCGGAAACGTTCACCTGTCTGGCCTTTGAGTATCTCGGCTGCCAGGGCAATGAGAACCGTTTTGGGTCGTCGACCGAGTGCCGTTCCGCCTGCCTATTCGGTACGCGCTTTTAAGAATCAGGATTTTTATTCCAGTTGTTTTTGATACAAAAAGCTGAAAATTCTTTCAGCTGACACTATGGGCTGCGCCGGCATGAATCCGGCAGCCAGGGGTCCACTCGGAAAACCGCTCGTCTGCGGAAAGGTAGCCTTACGCAAAAATTGTCGGGCACAGCGTCCGGCAAAAATCGGAAAAAGAAAATCAGTTTCAGCCGTTCGTTCCGCATCTGCCGGAATTGCTCTCTCGTGTCCTGCCGCCTCTTCCGGAAGCCATTCCATGTCCGCCGGGATATCGTTGCGTTATCGGATCATCCCACGGCTTCTGCTGCCCACAGGATAAACAAGATCTGGTTACGAACCGGAAATACCGATATTCCAAAATGCCGACAATCGAAAATGCCGACAATCGAGCCATATCGGTCTGAAACCACTATTGATACCGAATAGACCGATTCTAAAAAAAAAATACCGATTTAGACAAGCCGATTGATCAAAATACCGACAGTGCAAAAGCACGATTTTTGCACTGCCGGCATTTAGGCATAACGGGGGTCTTTGCGAGGTCGGCATTCGGCATTTCAGTATCTTGACATTTCGGCACCTACGGCCCAAAATCCAATCTTAATGCCGGGGAAAACCTTAGTCACTTTTCCGGCCAGATAATGCTTGGATTAAATTAGTTTCGTTGATATAATAACAGATCCTAAAAATCCACGAAAATCTTGCAGATCTCTACGATCGATCGATGCAGCCACGGTGCCACCGGTATGGCCGCGAGCCGGCGAAAAGCGACGCTGTCCAAGTGCTTTTAGGTATAAAGCAACGATTGCAAAGGGTCAACAATCTAAATCCTACTATCCTACTATATATAAAAAATAGTGTTTGTGTGTGTGTGCCACTTTGCATGCAACTTCCGTCAGCGTGTTCCAGTAGTATCTCAACAAGGGGGGAATTTAGGGGTATGTATGATACGTCATTAGGTGCGCAATGGTCTGGAGATGACTGCACACTTATAAAATTTTAGAAAATCAGCTATTTTCAACGTTAAATTTAAGTTTTTGTAAAAATTTCGGACACCCTCTTTGTTAGGAAAAAATTAACATACACCGGAAGTGATGATAGCCTATATAATGGGAGAGAGGCCGCGTTTTCATTTTTTGCCATCTGAATTCGGGAAAATGATGTAAAGTGAAGAATTTCATGGGATCAGACGGGGCCAGGGTTGAAAAGACGCGAAGCGGCTTTTCAATCCTGGTAGTAGCTAAAAGTTCATTCCCTGATTACAGGCAAAAACTGCTCGTCAAATTTCTGCCCATCGTGGGCACAATGTGAGCAGAACGATCTCTTCGCTTATTGCTGCTGAACACAGCGACCACTCCGAACAGAGACCCCAGCTTTAATTTTAACTTGTTCTTCTGCGAGAAATAAATGGCTTTACAAAAATAGTTGGATTTGTCCATCCGCGGGTTACAACAACATTTTCGAATAGGTGAAAAACTGGGGTTTACCGAGCAGGAAATCCGGCTTCATGCCGTAAGCGTGACCTTGACCAATGCCACTGTTACGGTCTGTTTCCCCCCAGAGAAATATAGATCAGTCGAGAAAATTTGTACAAAAACCGCCCAACGCTCCGAAACCATACACCTTACGCTTGGGGGTGGCCTGACCTCTTCCATTCGGGACCCACAGTCAGATGCGGCGGATAAGGTGTTTTGCAATTTAGCCGTTCACAACGCAATCATTCTTTTCGGCGACCCTTTCGATTTCTTCCTCTCTTCGTGTATTGCCATATTTTCACGTCATGTTTTTCATTTTTCTAACCGGTTTTCGTTATTTCACTCCCCCAGCTGGTCCACACTTCTTTTTTTCAGAGCATAATGCGTGAAGTCATTTCTATCCACATCGGTCAAGCCGGAGTCCAGATCGGCAACGCCGCCTGGGAGCTCTACTGCCTCGAGCATGGTATCCAGGTGTGATTTTGTTGTTTTTTTTCTGGCCCTTTGCCTTCGAGTCTTTTAAATGGAAGACGATGAATTGAGCTGTGTACTAATATTTTATCTTTAGCCGGACGGCAAGCGAATGTCCGAGGAGAAGCGGGAGGACTCGTTCACCACCTTCTTCAGCGAGACCGGAAATGGCCGCTACGTCCCGCGGGCTTTGATGGTCGACCTGGAGCCGACGGTGGTTGACGAGATCCGAAACGGACACTACAAGCAACTCTTCCACCCGGAGCAGATGATCACCGGCAATGAAGATGCTGCCAACAACTACGCTCGCGGACACTACACCGTTGGAAAAGAAGTGGTCGACTCCGTTGTGGATCGTGTCCGTCGTCTCGCTGAGAACTGCCGCGGATTCCAAGGCTTCCTATTCTTCCACTCGTTTGGCGGCGGAACCGGCTCGGGATTCACCTCGCTGCTGATGGAGCGCCTTTCAACCGAATACGGCAAGAAGAGCAAGCTCGAGTTTTCGGTCTACCCGGCTCCGCAAGTCTCGACTTCCGTCGTTGAGCCGTACAACAGCATACTCACTACACACTCGACGCTCGAGCACTCTGATTGCGCCTTCATGGTCGACAATGAGGCCATCTACGACATTTGCCGACGCAGCCTGGACGTGGAGCGGCCCAGTTACACCAACTTGAACAGGATCATCGCACAGGTATTTGAGTACTGTCGTCTATATCCTTCCGTTTAGGTCGTCTCCTCAATCACGGCCTCGCTGCGCTTTGACGGAGCCCTCAACGTCGACCTGAACGAATTCCAGACGAATCTGGTGCCATATCCACGCATCCATTTCCCGTTGGCCAGCTACTCGCCACTGATCTCTGCAGAGAAGGTAGCGTCCTGTTTTTTTTACGAGACTATTTGAATCTTAGGCCTATCACGAGGCCAGCTCTGTCAACGACATCACTTCCGCCTGCTTCGAGACCGGAAATCAGATGGTGAAGTGCGACCCCCGCAACGGCAAATACATGGCTGTCTGCCTGCTCTACCGTGGCGATGTCGTGCCAAAAGACGTCAATGCAGCCATCACGGCGATCAAGGCCAAGCGGTCGGTCCAATTCGTCGACTGGTGCCCAACTGGTTTCAAGGTAGTTTAATTGAAGTAGCATTTACGATCTCTGATAGGTTGGCATCAACTACCAGCCTCCAACGGTCGTGCCGGGCGGCGACATGGCCAAGGCTCACCGCGCCGTCTGCATGCTTTCCAACACCACAGCTATCGCCGAAGCATGGTGCCGTCTCGACCAGAAGTTCGACCTCATGTATGCCAAGCGCGCCTTCGTCCATTGGTAATATTTTTTCGGTCTTTCCAACTATCTTTCTTTTTTCAGGTACGTCGGCGAAGGAATGGAAGAGGGCGAGTTCACCGAGGCCCGCGAAGACATGGCCGCTCTGGAGAAGGACTACGAGGAGGTCGGCCTCGACGGCGCTGATGGAGATGATGGAGCGGCCGAATATTAAGCCATTTTTTATGCTAGATTTTACTTGTACGATCCACAATTTGTGATCTCCTGTGTTACTTTGTGTGCTAAAATAAATGCCTGGATCCGAAAAACCACTTCGTACAACGCAAATTACGGCCTTCTTCCAAGACAGATTTTTGGTTGGAGAATATCTTCGATGGGTTCAAGCTGGAGTGGCGAATCTTTGTTGAGAGAACAGCGCACTTTTAGATGGTGTTTGCCTTTCTTTGTAGTATCGGCTCGATCGTTATCGGTACGCTACTCCCCTGTTATTACGCATTCCGTGCTTCGAAGAAGCGTGATGCTGTTACCCAGGTTCGACGTTACCGTTTTCTAACGCTGCTTAGGCTTTCTACCGCAAATACTGGACGGTATATGCCTGTTATACGTCTTTGGAAACTGTGGCCGACACCTTCTATCTTCTGCACCTTGTACCATGGTATGAGGTCGGTGCGTTTTGTCGTCTTTTTAATAGCTTTAGATGTGGAAATTCGGCTTCTTCGCCTGGACAGCAACGGGTGGTGCTCCTTTCATCTACGATCGGGTGAGTGGTTGATTCATCTGTTTGTAACGAAATTTAGGTAATATATCCGTTCCTGACGAAACACGAGAAAACTATCGAATATGCCATGAGCCAGACTGGATCGTTGGCTTTCCAGCTTGCAAAGCGCACCGCTCAGCGTAAGTGTCATTAGACCTTTGTGAGGAACTCGGTTGTTATCCAGATGTTGCCGTTGCCGTGGTCAGCTCTATGTCTAATATCTCGGCGGCGGTCGTCTCGAGCGCATCCGGCATCAACATTGGAGAAGCTGTCGGTCGTCATTTGACACACAGCCAGCCTACGCAAGCCACAAGCTCGAATTTTTCAATGTCTCGTCTGTTCCGCTTCTCTGACACAGCGGTAACTTTTACCCGACAATATCTATTCGGCTGTTTTCAGTCGAGCGGCGTCACAAATCGCTCCGTTTTCATCGAAGAAATGGACGATGATTTCGACGACGATGATCAACTTCCTCAGAGCTACGCTAGCACGTCGCGCAATAGAGTTCCCGACTGTATGCTGTGTTTTTTCTCGCAATAACTTTGTTTTTTTCCAGTGGACACGCTGCTGCGGGCTGAACGCGAGATCCAGGTGAAACAAGAGGTCGTGGATGATTTTGAAGATTCGACCAACGATTTCATGGCGCCAGCTGCGGTACCCAATGTTTTGGCCGCGCCGTCGGATTCTGGAGGTTCTTTTGAGTTTTCGATTTGTACCACAACGTAGACGAGGCAGACTGGGTGGTGCCGCATACCCGCCGCGTGCTGAGACCTCGTATTTCGGTAACTTTTTTTGGCTTATGTGTTTGCTTCCGATCCGAGTCGACGAATTTAATACTGCTTTTCAGCCCCAACCATTGCCAGTCATCGTACCGGCCGCCGCCCCGCGCCGCCGAGGACGACCTCGCAAAAATGCCAACTGAACAGAATCTCATCTCGCTTGCTATGCTGTTCATATTGGCTTCCCGCTTATTGATACGACTTATTGCAACTATTGATTTTGTTAGTCGTTTGGATATTGTTGATTCTGTCGTTCATACTGATTCGCACCTTTGTGATTGTCAATTCGTCCATAAATGCATCCACTTTTCTTAGCGGGCATTTCCACCAAATAGCAGCCCACAGTTCGCGGCCAGGAGAGTGTTGAATGACGCGCTTTCGGCAGCGGCGCTCCCTGAAGTAACGCTGTTGTGACAAAATTGGTGTTACAGGGAAACTAGCGTGTATTTAATGCCTAAACTGTTTATTCCAGATAACAGAAACCAGTAATGCAAACGAGCATTGTAAGACTAAATAAAGGAATAGATCACAACAGTTTTTGAGAGGATGAAACAGAACATAACAGAGCGTTGAACAAATGAAAGCACACGAGTAGGCGAGAAAATTGTTCAACAAATCCGATTCGTCGTCGATGAAGTGGTGCTTGTCCCCCATATTCATCGACCGCTCACCGGCATGATGTACTGCAACAGATACTAAAACATATTTTGGCTTCCATAGCAAAATGCCACGCACCTCGTCACCTTGCTGCAATAGACGAATGGCGGGGTGTCCGTCCTGGTGGCGCACGAGTGCGAAGACCGACGGCCAATCCGCGGCGCCAAGTTCGGACGGATGAACGCCACAGCAGCCGCGGGGCAGCGTCGTTGTCAGATGGTGAAGCAAATCGCGCAACTAAAACCAGAATCACAAGGAATGCGGGAAATGATGGACTAGAGCTCAGCAGCGTAAAAAAACCAGTAGAAACGGGGTCATGGTTCGTTAGCGGGGGGGGGGGGAGGCGGAAGAAGTTACTACTTCTATGCAGGTCAGTCGCCATAGTAATAGAAAGTAAACATTTTCATAGTGTTTTAGTAGTATCCGATCACTCAAAAGTCATAAAACGTTAGTAAAAATTGAAAATTTTATAAATTCTTAAACAAACACATTTCTCGAACACTGTACGAATTTATTATAAAAAGTGACATTTTCGAAAGGCTATTACAAAATTACCTATCTTCACGACCTGCAAAAACAACAAAAGTTCGACTTTCCCCACCCGCTAACGAACCAGCACCAAATACGACTTACCGCCAAGTATTGCCCCGCATTTCCGGCTTCAAACACCGCTTCGTAGATCTTGGCGATGAAGTGGTCCCTGTACGGCAAAAGCACGTGATGCGATGCGGGCACTGGCTGGCTAAAATAAGGTTTTACAAGTCAAAAACCGGCAAGTGATGAAGCTACAATTCAAAATAGTGGATACCTCATGTAAACTGGCGCTGGTGGGTGCATCATATGCATAGCCGGATGACCGTAATGGGGGAATGCCGGAGGATATTGTGACTAAAATCAAAAATAAAAAATGACAACGCAACGCCAACCGCTGGCATCCCATAATAGTTGGTCGGCGGATAGGGCGGCTGGCCCGGGAGGTAGGCATAACTAAAAGAAACGGTTGCAGGCGGTTGAAATGAGACGGAAATGTGGGTACTGGTTTGTGATCAGGGGGTGGGTGTCAGCGGAGGTCGCTAAATTTTTCCTGTTCCCACCTTCAGCGCGGAATAATGAATTAGAAAACATTTCAATGGTATCTGATGCCCTCTTTAGATCAAAAAACAGTTCATAAAAAATTACTAAAAGTTTTAGAAATTAGGCATCTCCGCGAAAAAAGGTCGAAATTTTCGATTTGCTCAAAAACGCTATAAAATGGTTTACGTTTTATTACGGCGGGGGTTCCTCTGACAAGAGACCCCCCCGCCGATCACACAAAGAAACAAAATGTGTTTCAATCAATTGCGTAGATAATACCTCGGATTGCCAGCAATTCCATGTGGTGCACCAAACTGACCGTCCCAGGATGGCGGAATTTGCGGCGGGTACTAAAATTGAATTTTGAGAATACCTATCAATAACTTTACCAGGAGGCCCATGGTTGGCGTGATGGGGCGTGACGGCGGGATGTTAGCTTGAACGGGGATCTGCGGCCGCGGAATTGCCTAAAACAAAAAAATTAAAGACATCGCGGCCGTGAAGCCCAAAATCAAAATCTAGGAAAAAAATCCCACCTGAGCATGTGGAAGTGTTGGTGAGGGGCCGCGCCAGCGATCCGGAGCTGGCTGCAAACCGGGCTGTCCCTGGTTGGCTGCAATCTGAAAAATTCCTTCAAAAAAAAGAATGTCGTAATTTTACCGGATGATATCCCGCCACTTGTCCACCGAAGGGTTGTTGGTCGTACTGGGGTGCCATCGGTAGATGTTCCTGCGTCGTGCCGGGATGCTGACGATGCTAAAAATGTCACCAATATTGTGGTCGGCCCGAGAAAGAGGTCACCAAATGGAGAGTAGAATGCGCGGCCGCTGCCGGCACCGCAGGTTGATCATCGGCCCATGCGTCCGCAACCGGCTCTTGCTGTTTCTGTCGCGGCTCACCACGGTCGGGTATTTTACTAAAAAACACGTCAATAACAAATACAAACATACTCGTCCCAGTAGCTTGTAGGGAAGTTCCGGTGTGGCGATTTCTAAAAAGAAAGTGTGTTTTTACATCTAGTTCAGCTTCAGAAACAGGTGAGTCTTGTCAATTTTTCATGAAACACCTTTGAAAATGAACAGTCCGCAATTTTTCGGCAAGATGACAATAAATTACCGACATTTAGTATCGATAAATTAGCACCAATATCAAAATTCGAAATATTCTGCGTCGCGAAGCCGAACTAACGCCCTTGCAACATCACAAAAAAATTTTTACCGCTGGGCTGCGATGACTTTTTTCCTCGTGTAGGTTCTTCTTTTCCTGCTCGCGGTGCTCCTTCTTCTCCCGTTTCGGCAACTTGTCCTTTGCTCCCGGCGCCTCGTCTTCTGTATAGCACCCATCTTCTTCCATCGAGTCGGAAATCGATGGCTCCACCGGAAGCTGCGCACGAGCTGGCGAGCGGCCAACGGGAGCTGACGTTTCCGGGCGTTGTTGAGTTTTCGGGGCTGCCGGTGGCTCAGTGTAGGGGATACGCTGAGGTGGCTTGAACGGTTGCGTCAGCGTGCCTACAAAAATTAATTGATGGTTATCAGTTGCGAATTAAAATAACTGCGCTTTAAGTAATATGGAGTTTTTGCGAGGTAGCATACCTTGTTTCATAGAGCTAGAATTTCTGGACGAGGCCCAAAGGAGAAATATTACCAGACAGATAAGCAGTCTGCGCGAAAAATTCTACCAAAACGAGCCGAACTGCCCAAACACGCCCAAAGCGCGAACTTCCTCCAAGAATTAACTGTTCAGCGATTTTTGCAAAATGATACTTGCTCAGGATTTCTAGCTCTTGAATCAGATTCAGCACATCGTAAAACGACGAATTTTACGTAAGTAGACTAATCAACGGCACCTCTAGCAACCGCAAGAGCGCTTTCGTCGAGCTTTACCACGGGCGCCGGTGGCTTCGGATTCTGAGCGATGGTCTGGAACGGGTTGTTAGACCTAAATAAAAATCACTACCATCTTTTTTAAATTCTTTGTGGGATCGTAGGGTCGACGTACAGGCGGACCCATGAATGATCCTTCGGCCTTCTTCACCTCTTCATCGATTTCCTCGGGGGTCATTTCTAGAGCTCGGTTTGAGAATGTGAATGAAAGCGGCATACTTTGCACTCCAGGTTTAATGGCGATATAAAATATGCCGTCCTTCGGTCCCTCCGTGTATTCGAATCTTGACGCGAAGAAGGCGACGGAGCTGTCTTGGAAGATTTTTTTGAATGATGAACGACCAAACCGATCCGAGAGGTACTAAAAGAAGAATTAGTCTTGTTTCAAATTCCGAGGAGTCGGAGACCGACAAACAAAACTCACTTTTGCATTAAGTACCACATCAATTGATAGGTATGCTTTGGCCAGGTCGGAGTAAATGACCCGAGACGTCGGCGGCTTGCTCTGGCTTGTGTTGATTTGTTGTAGGATGTCGTAGAGTACATTGTAATTCTGGGAAAAACATCGTTATCATAATTTAGCGATTGGCAACCTGGAAGTAGCGTCTCAAACTTTGCGGCTGGCGGTTTTCCTTGCGTTTCCTTGCCACGCCATCTTTGATCCTAAAAAAAGAATTATCAACAGCCATTAGAAAAGGTTTACTTGTGAGCGTGGAAGCGGCTCATCTCCTCCAGATCGGCGAAAAGGCCATTTTCGTCATTCGGGAGCGATTTGAGGCGAAAGCGGTCTCCACTGAAAAACTGTTTGGACTATAGCATCAAAAACAGATACTAATAATCGTCATGATAACGTCATAAAAACATGATCCTGCCGGCAATGCATTCAAAAACTCACATTTTCATGATGTGTGCACCGAAATACGTATCGAGATAATGCACAAGGGAGTGGCATTCAGGGAAGAGAGCCCGAATTACATCCTCGCTGATTGACGTTTTGCACAATGCCGAAGCGGTTCCCAAAAATTCTGCGGCCGTCACTCCTTCTTCCTCCTCGTGCATGGCTGCCAGAAACGGCAGCACCATCGTTCGTACGAAATCCTAAAGCCATAGTAGACAGGCGTAAGTGGTCAGTTTTCTGAAAACCATTCCCAGGAAGCACTAATCGATTTTCTCTACCCAGGCGGAGCACCCTATCACCTGAACTTACACTGAATTTAGTAAAACTAGAGCTATCAGACGTAGCTCAATTGTAAAAAGCTGCCCAAAAATCGTAAGAATATAGAAATTACCGCATGGGCTTCGCCGTTTGTCGGGAGCTTCAGGGACTCCGGATCGACACCGAGCTCTTTGAAGCCATAATCATCGTCAACCACTTCAAATTGCCGGACGTTCATTGAGGCTGGGTCCTGAAACAGAAACCTAGAGAAAAAAAACGGACAGGCAGCTTCGTGACTTTGGAATACCCATGACAGAACTTCTGAACTATAATTTTTTGCTGGCGTTTGATTTTCGAGACTGAATTGAAAACTGAGATTAAGAAATTAGCCGAAGACTTGAATGCAACAATCGACCAGAATAATTTTTAGAAAGTTCATAAAGAAAATTTTAATCGAGTAGAATCAGGTTTAGACAAATTAAAAATATGAAGTGGAACCAATTGTTCCGACCGGCTCCAAATCCGTCTATCGTTCAATGGTGTACTCACATTACGGTGAATTTCGCGGCGGGATGGCGTCCTAATTTCAGAATCCAATAGATTTTTGCAAAAAAGAGTTACTTCTATTTTTCCTGGTTTTTGTTGTTATCTTCTCTGTGAAAAAATGTGTTTTTTTAGAAATGGCGAAGACAAAGGCCAAGCCCGGCACCGTCAAGCACCGCTCGAGCGACACGGACCCGAACTTGCAGGATGAGGCGAACTCACAAGTTGTAGCTGAGGTGGCTGATGGAAACAAGGCTGGAGCCCTGCCTACGACCCCAACTGGACCCAAGGTAACTTTATGACTTTCTATGACTCTTGACCGTGCTTGCCTTGCCTTGCTGGTTTTTTTTAGGAACACAAAGTTAGCTTAGAAATTCGTTCGCAATAGGTTGTGCTGGATATAACATTGGTTTCAGATTCCGAAGAAGAAGAAAGCTGGCGCTGCGAAGGCTAAGAAGAATGTGGACAGTAACTTTGGGGGGGCCAAAAAAATTTTTCGACCAAAATTTCTCATTTTCGATTATTTTGTTCAGTTTTTCGTGCTGAATCCAATGAAAGTGTTCCCAGATTTTTTTATATCATGTTTTCTAGTAATAATTAACTATTTATATTACAAGTAATTTCAATAGTTTTCAGTAGTATACCGTAGCACAAGCCGCAGATAAGCCTAAGCCGAACCTGAGCCTAAGCCAAAGCAGGAGCCAAAGCCTGAGCCTAAGCCTGAGCCTGAACCTAGGCCAAAGCTTAAGCCTAAGCCTCAGCCTAAGCATGCGATCCATTCGCAACTTTTGGTCGCATGTAAAGGAGATCCACCCCTACTAGTAATTGTTATTGTTGCCTAATTGTTATGTCCTAGCAAAAATAAAAAATCTGGAAACACTTGCATTCGATTCAGCATGAAAAACTGAACAAAATAGTGCAAAATGAGAAATTTTGGCCGAAAAAATTTTTTGGCCCCCCCCAAAGTATACTAGTACCAGAATGTACAGGCGCAAGGAGACGATGGTGCAAAGGCTGACAAAAAAAGCCCGGCGAAGAAGAGCCACGCAGTCGCCCCGCCAGCCCCGGTGAAGGCGACCGGCAAGAGCCCAGCCAAGAAAATCCAAAGCAACACGATTCCGAAGAGCCCTGCAAAGAAAGTTCAAGGAAAATCTGCTATCTCGAAGAGCCCCGCCAAGAAACCTGCAGTGAAGGCAGTCAGCAATGTTTCGAAAAGCCCGGCCAAACAGTCCAAGGGCAAAGCTGCAATCTCGAAGAGCCCCGTCAAGAAAACTGTCGCAGCAGCTCTGAAAGGCCCGGCCAAGGTTCAAGGCTCACATGCCACGCAGTCGACTCCTGTTAAGAAGGTAAAGAAGAACACGAAGGCTGCGTCGGCTGATCAGGCGGTAAACAATAATAAATTATCTCCATCAAAGATTTGTTCTAGGGGCCGAAGGCTGGAGAGAAGCGCACGGCCGACGCTCATCATGAACAAGTTATCATCCCGAAAAAGAAAGCGAAGGCTGGAACCGTCGTTGCTCAGGCCGAGCATACACCTGTGAAGGTACATACCAGCGATTCGCTCAAATATTTTTGTGAAGGTCACTGCGAAGAAAACTAAGAAGAAGAAGAGGTTGTCGGTGGCCGCTCCGTCGCCTAAAACGGTTAGCGATTGCTTCGTCTCTAATCTTAGTTTAGCTCGCCAAAGCTGACGAACCGCCGCCGAAGGTTGCCTCGAAGAAGAAGAAGATGGCTGTCAAGAAACATACAATCCTCACGACTCCTACGGGAAAACCCGGACCAAAGGTTAATATGATTTTTTTTTGCAAAAACGTTGTTTTAGTTGTCGGCTGGAAAGTCTCCCGCGAAGTCGCCGAAAAAGAAAGCTATTGCCAGCCATCCCGGAACTTCAGCGCCGGTAGATGAATGCTTCATATAAAACTGTTATTGTTGGTTCAGATTGCCAAAGCCCCCAGCTCGCCCCAAGCCGCACCAGCCAAGAAGGTATAATTTCGTACATTTGGTGAGATATAGTTTTAGATTCGCTCTCAAGCTGCTACCGGCACTGCCCAGAAATCGGCCATTACGAAGCCCGTTGTTGTCACCAAGAAGAAAACTACCAAAAAACAGAAATAACCAATGATTTGCCCTTGCTCTTATTCACATGCACATTGTCACTATAAATTATTTTGTATGCGCGGTTACACTACCTAGTTTGCACTAACCACAACTTTTTTTTGAAGACATTCCTGCGTTGGGCAAGATGATTCGTGTTCACTACTAGGATAATGGTAGCTGCTGCGTCTTTTGAAGACTCGTGTTTTGGCATCAATTCTATTTTATCGGAGTGAAAATGTACATAGAATCAAATACAATCCGTTAGTGAACACTAACTGGCGAGCTAATATTAAAAACTATCATTGTAAAGAAAAGCGCAGCTCTCGTCTATCCTTTAATCGAATCCAAGTCGGCGATGACGTATTGATTGCCCGTCAATCGGTGGTCGCGTTTCGTCAGGGCCACCCTACAATGAACGAATTGAGAGATCAATTAGGTCGCTTACCGTTGATTGGTACCATAATTCCTTCGGTATGCGCGGCCCACGTCCCATTTGTTGAACGGGTAGGAGAGATAGCAGGCTGCGGCGACGAACGCCAACGTGATGCCGCCCGAGTAGACCTGCTCGAACCACATGAGCCGCTGAAAACAAAGTATAGTGAAGAGAGAAGACGAAAAGGTTAGCAAACGGGCGAAAACAGGGCTATTTCAGAACCGAGCCACCATCGCAGGTTCCCGGGCCCTTTTTTGTGCGACTTCTGAAAAACGCTATCCCAGATGATAAATGATACTAACTTCGGTTAGGCTCTGGCTGGCATCGAAGCATATAGTAACTTTAATTTAGCCGTAATTTATCCTGATGGGATGAAAAACGTCAAGAGCCGTCGAGTTTACCCCATATGGCCATGCTAAGAGGCAAAAAAGGTTGCTCACGTTACATATACACATAAATTTTGGGCAGCCATAACTGGCCCGGATTTTGAAATAACGCCTCTAAAATCTCGCAACAAGCATTATATCAACTCTGGAAATATTTAGCAGGCTAACAAAGCGCTCCGAGCATTCACATATATGTTTAAATAATTTATCGAAGACACACAATTTCAAGGCATAAAGGAAAGGACAGTTAGAGTTGCATCGCGTCAGGTCCGCCAGCCGGAGGGGGAGGCGGCGGCTGCTGTCCGGCCGCCTGAGCAGCAGCGTGGGCGGCGGCTCCGGGAGCAACGGCACGGGGCGCGTCCTTGATTCGGTCGAGATGCGGGCGGACACGATCGCCTTCAATGACCTGAAAAAAACGAATCGGAAATAGGTTGTGACAAATACCTCGAATGCAGTTCCCTTTCCGACGAATGCGATAGACGTATTTTTGATCGACAAGTCTTCCTCGGCGGGCAGGGTGTCGCGGACGGCGACCAACGCGTGCTCGATCAGCTTATCCAGACTGGCTCCCTGGCAAAAGGTAATTGAATAATAAGATCAAAACTACTACCAGGTACGGCGATACCAGTAAAAAGCGTCAAGATAAGCGGGAAAACAATGATTCATGGTTTTGTTGGCGAGCCGCCAGCGGCGAATAGCGCAAATTACTACTTCGGGCACACGGTTAATGAAGTGGAAGACAAACCTCAAAGTCTTCCAGCTTTTTCTGCAAATATGTGCGGGCCGACTGGCTTCGAGATCCGATTGACGCAGCGTAGCAGGACACCACCTCAGCCGAGGGCTCTGCCTTGACAATATGCGGGCCGTCCTTGTCGAAACCGACGATGAGCAGCCCGACGCCGAATGGGCGCCGCCCGTAGTATTGCGTGTTCGCCTGCAGCTTCAGCTGGAGACGGTCAGCAAGCACGGTTAGCGGTACGGCAGACTGAAATTTCACAAATATCTAGTCACCGAGGGTTATAATACCTTGTAATCCCAACGCCAGCTCGAGCACTCGGTTTGAAGGAAACGGGTCAGGATGCGGCCATCCGAGAGGAGGCCTATAAACAACAACGTCAGGCACGGAAGACAAATTCGTTACCCGCAATGGAAGCACCCGTGTGCGTGTCGAGCTCGAAGATTTTCTTCTGATGCGAGCACAAGTCGGAGGTGGCACGCTAGAATCGTAATTTTCAGAAAGAAGAGAGGTCCAAACTTTCAATGCAACCACGACGGCATGCGTCTTGCTCTTGATGGCCACGGTGGCGCTACCCTGCTTCATCGCTTCCACGGCGTAGTCCACCTAAGATGATTTGTGATTCGCGCAACGATTCTAACCTGATGGAGACGGCCCTGCGGGGACCAGACGGTCACATCCGAGTCGTATTGGTTCCGGAACATCCCTAAAATGAAGAAATAGTTGCAGCTAAAGGTAAGATGACAAAGAAATGAGATTTCTACAAGTTCAGAGGAATTTTCGTAATCGCACGAAGAAACAGAGCGGTTTTTGAGCCCGTTGTATAAACGAGGGCGCGCTATTTTAGGCTCTCGGATAGATGCATTCGTTCTAAACGCGCAAAGATAAATATTTACAGAGATTTATGGTTATTTTAGAGTTCTTTCGCGAAGACAAGCAAAAAAGATCTCGGCTGGACGAGGGATTGGCCTATTGCCAGTCATCCTATCGTACCCAGCCGGGGCGCGATTTAGCAACCGCCCCTCGTTTTCATGCCGTAATGCCCCGCCGGTGTGATTTTGATTTTTCTAAAATTTGAACAAGCGGAAACGAAAATTACCAAATAAATTTATTTTTTTTTGTATAATTTGTATAGTTTGAGCATTCGAGGTGTTTTTGAGGTCATAACAGTCTTGTAAAGTAATTCTTTAAAGGTATACTCACGTAATAAGCCTTGTCCACGTAATGTAACTTATTAGATGGTCTAATAGGCAAAATAGCGATTATTTAACAGCTGAATATCATTGCTAATTTTCGAATTATTAAGCTAGGTATGCAATGCCTTATCAACGAGGTAAAAATAAGTATCTTTGTTGTTGTTTTACTTCAAAAATTGCTTTTGTAGCTACTAGAAACGTTATAATTTGCAAAGATGGAATTTTTCTGGGGACGTATGGCACACAATTTATCGACTTTGGCATATCACAAATGGCAATGACGAGAACCCGTAATGAATGACCTGTTTTTCATCACAACTGGCAGTGAAAGAGCAGAAAGGGAAAGACAAACACGGAAAGATTAGGGACAAGTGGTTCTAAATTACATAACTGGCTACAATGAGGCGATTAGTTCGGGTTTGACGGTGTCCGGTAATGGGCACTCAACGGGGTGGCTCGTGCCGATCGCGGGAGCACCGAGTGGCAACCGATTGTCACCTAGAAATCGGAGTTGAGAAGAGTTTCTGGATTCCATAGAATGGGTTGGTTTTCAAATTTTATTCATTGAAAGATGAATAGTTAATCTACCCCCTGAAATATCTAAATTGTCGAAAACTAGATTTTCACCCCCTCTCCCCAGGTGCAAATGACGTTTAAAAATCTTGTTTTTGCTATAACTATTGTATATTGCATTATTTTTAGCTAAAATGAAGACTCATAGTATATTTTTTGCTTCTCCATCGAATGGCACCTTCAAAAGGGCCGATAAACCTTTCAAAAAATGTGGTAAAAATTCACACTTTCCACCATTTCGTGTTTTTTTTTGTTTTTGTTGTAACTTTTCTATACTACAGGATTTTGGGGTGTCATTACAACACCTAGTATATTTTTCGATGCTCTATCGAATCACGTTAAAAATGCGAAAATAACGAAAATTTTCGGTGAAAACTTACCGGAACGGTAGAGCGGACATATTCCCATCTGCCGGTGGCCGGATCACAGTTGGTCCGCTTCAGAATGGGCACTTCGCGTTTGATCGGCAGGCAGAAGGCCACTGAAAAGCGCTTTTTGTAGCTGCTTCTAAAAGTTTGCTCTATTTTTATAATTTTTTATAGGTTGTATTTTTATAAGACTTGCTCGATGACTTACCCGACCCGCCGCGACTCCTCCGGCATATGCAGTGGGCCTCGGAGATGATCTTTGGCTCGCGCGCTTCATCGTAGTTCACCCTGCAAATGACTATTAGGTGACGGTGGTATTTGCGATTTCAGGGTAAAGGTTCCTTAACGGGGGGCAGTAATTAAGAATTGTCATTTTACGAAAAGTTCACTAGTTAGCTTATGTTTTTGCGTGTAAAGTATACCATTTTAAATTAAATTTTGAGTGCGAAAATCAGCTTTCTATTCTTTCTTTATGATTTATGCTTTCTTTCTACCCGATGACTGTTTTCAAAATAACTGGTTCTTTCGCATTATCGGGGGGAGGGGGCAACTTTTGTTTCTCGGATCTGCTTTTTCAAATATAGATAGTGGCATTGTTTCTAAACGGTTTTTTTTTTGTATTCCTACATGTGAGAACGTTAAAAATTTTATTAAAGTATATTAAAACATCGATTTTTGCCCCGAAATTCGGTATTTTCAAAACTTTTTAACGTTTTGAGATAGTTTTTCTAGTGATATATATTTCTAGTGATATTTTACTAAAAACACTATTAAAAATCATGCCAAATTTTTCTAGTTTATATATAGTTAAGTTTCTAGTTATATTCTAGTTTTTAAAAGTTCGGTCCCCCTTTTAAGCAACATGTACCGATGTCAGCGCTACTGTGGTTTTTTATAGCTTGTAACTCACCGCCATTGCCACGGACACAAGGATCTTTGCATGACGGAAGAGTCAGTGGATGTATCGGGCATTCCCTGACAGATCGGATCCTGATCTTGTGGAGGACTCCAGTCTTCATCCGAGATCTCTTCTCGAACACTGCCCTCCATCAACGACTCCCGCAACCACGCCGACATTTGTTCTTTCTGCAAAAATGTACATTTTCAAGGGTTACTGGTTATTGCCAAAACACCTTTTCGAGGGCTTTTGCATTATCGGGGGTGGCTAATTTTTTGTGTCATTCCAGAAATTCCTAGTAAGTATTTTAATAATGTTATTAACAAAGTTAACAAACTTTCAAGTGGAAAAATTATCAAATTCGACATTGTGGTTGAAAAATCGGTGTTTTTCTTGTATTTTTTAGTATTTTGTAAAGTGCTAGTGATTTAGAAATTTCTAGAAATATAAAAAGGTAGTAAGTTTATTAATAGGGTTTTTAGCACAATTAAACAAGATTCCAAGGTTCCATTTCCTAATTTGTAACGTTTTTGCGTTTAGCAATAATTTCAGAAACTCCTAGTAACGTGATGAATTTTTGGATTTTTTAACAGAATTTTTGGTACAATTTAACAAGATCCCAAATGGAAAACTATCTAAAACCCTTAAAAATTCGAAGGTTTTGTTAAAAACAGGTAATTTTGGTTGAAAAATCGATGTTTTTTGTATTTTTTAGCATTAATTTGCAAATTTTTGCCTTTTAGTAATTGGAGAAAAACGAAAATAGTTGATGTTTAAAGTGTATAATTGCTCATTTTAGCTTTTTAATCCTTTGATGATGTTCTACACCTTTTAGAGAAACGATAATCATCCGTTAAACTACAGCTTTCACCCCCTAATCACCTGCCGGGAACTGGCAGCTAACATGTGGTGCGCGCCAGAAAAAGCCCCGGTTTCGCCCCCCGGCGCCCGATGGCACACCACGGTCTCACTTTCGCCCCCGGTTTTGGCTTGGCACTTCCTTCATCCATCTCTCTCTCTCTCTCTCTCTCTCTCTCTCTCTTTCTCTCTCTCGCATTACGTATATTATGCCTCCTCTCTTTGATATGGCAAAACAAGAAATGGTGGTTGGAAAGTGACACGGTATAATGATTGATAGATACCCCGGCAGCGGGGTATTGTCGCGTCGCTGTCGTTGCGACCCGGTTATGGCATGGCTTCTCGCCGGCAGCTTGATCATCTACTTGGCAAAATGCATGAAAACCAGTGACAAAGAATTTAATAGCCTTTTTCTTCTAAAAAAACCGCGAACGATTGGCTTATTGGCACACTTCTTGCCTACCGAGCGGTGGGCCCAGGTTGGAGTCCGTGGCTCCGGAATTTTGTTTTTTTTTACAGCAAAAAGTCACGCTTTTGAATTAAAGGTTTTACAACTTTTTTTAGCAGATCAAGCTATAAAGAGCATTAAACGAATTTGCGATAAGTTTGTCGAAAATTTTTTTTTTAAGCATCAGTTTGTCGAAATTTCCATTCTTCGACACAATGAAAAATAGGGCCATTAAAAACTATGCAACCTGATAGAAACCGCGTTTTTTATGCAGAAAAACCTATTAAAACAACTAAAAAATTAAATTATTTTCGGCTTTTTTTAATCAATTCCCAGACCACAAAAGTAAAAATTTTAAAAACTTGCTAAAATAGCTTCCGATAAAATCCATAAACTAATGGAAAACGTCTAAATTTCCGTTTTCAATGATTTAAATATTATTTTTCTTTTGGATAACTAGATGCTAAATAGAGTTAAATTTAAGCCTAAAATACGTTAATTTTGTTATTAACAGGCTAGCCCATGTTTAATTGAAAACTTTTGGACATCTGCCAAAAGCTGTCTTTGCTAAACTTCGTCCCCGCCACCGTACACCCCGGCTAGCGCCCAATGATCATCATGACTGTGAAAGTGATGGATTGTCGTCTTCTTTCTTCTACCCGACCGTCAGAATCGGACCGTAACGCCCCGGCGGGGGGTGGAAGTACGGTTTTAAAGGGAATGGCAAGGGAAGGGGAAATGGGGGGGGGGGGGGGGATCAGCTGTCAGCAACCCCACTACTCACACTTTCACGTGGAAAGTTTCGAAAGGTAGCTAGCAGAGATTCTTTGGGAAAAGGATGAGGGGAGGCTGGCAGAGATTTTTTGAGAACTGACGATGTACAAAAGATTCTTTACATTTGAATCGAGGGCCAGCCAGCAGAGGCTCTTTGGGGGATGTTCAAGGGGCAGGCTAGCAGAGAATGTTTAGAAATTTATGGGTAACTAGCGTAAATTCTTTGAGAGATTGAGGGTTGCTTGCAGAGATTTTTTGCGCGAGGTAGCTGGCATGAATTCTTTGGGAATCGCAGAGCTAGCAGATTTTCATTCGGAAATTGCGGGTTGTTGGCAGCGATTTTTTGGCATGTTATAGCAGGGATTTTTCAGGAAATTACAAGCAGTCGGAGGTGTCAGTAATAATTCCTCAATGGTCGCTGCCGTTTGAATTTCACAAGAAAAATAATGACGTGGGATTGTTGGGTCTAGGAAAAGCCGAGGGTTGACCTTGAAGAGGTTTCTGTACTACGATAATACGTCAGTATCCCCCACCTCCACCAAAATGACATCATCATAGGGTGTTTCGAGTAGTGAGGAGGAATTTTGAAATGGGGTAAGTTTTTTCGGAAGCCCAAGCCGCCTAAGCTAAGACGAAGCCTACACCAGAACCTAAGCCGAAGCTAAGCCCATAGCGAAGCCTGAGTCCAAGCTTCAGCATAGGCTAAGTCAAGCACAATCATAAGACTAAGCCTAAGCTAAGCCTAAGCCTAAAGCTCAGTACCGCCAAATCTTAAAAACTGACCAAGTCATCGGGTTCGCGGCATTGCATTTGATGAGGTTTATGGATATGTCGTGTTCGATGCCTTCTCGGCTCAGAAATGGCACCAAATACCGAGCAAATAACTGCCAGCAGCCATTCAAATCGCATCTTCTGTAGTGATTTCTAAAAAAGTTGTTTTGAATCCGAAAAACACGCTGATAAGTTTAGCAAACCAGCAGAGAAAATTGAGGAACAAATGGCGGGCTAGCAGAGAATATGTGGGAAAACAAAAAGGCCGTTAGCAAGAAGAAGAACTTTTTGAAGAAACAGGCATGAGAGATTCGTTTGGAAAATCAGATCAAAATTGAACAGGTAGACCAACAGAGATTCTTTAGGAAAGGGCAGGCTAGCAGAGGTTCTTTGGGAACTTTAGAGGAAGAGGTTGCCGACAAAGAAGCTTTAGGAAGAAAGGCAGGCCAGCAGCGGCCTTTTGCGGAAAGTTAATTTTTGTAAAATGGTTTGGACGTGGTGATATGGGGCTGCCGGGGGGCGCTTTCACTGCCCCGCTTCGCCTCGCCTAATCTGGTGACCGCCAAAATTGCTAACTGAAGAAGAGAGAGAGAAAGAGAGAGAGAGAGAGAGAGAGCACGAGCAATCAGGGCACATTTTAGAAAACGGATCGTCCGCGACCTTTTCAGGAGAAACTACTGCCCTACTTCCAAAAAAACGGCACGGTTTTTTGTGGAAATCGAGGAGAAAGCTTATTTAATTGAACACTTGGCAAGCCAGCAAAGATCATTGAGGAAACATTTTTTTTAAATGACCAGGTAAGGTAGCAGATTCTTTGAGGACTCGGAAGCTCACCGCCAGCTAGCAGAGATGTGAGCTACCATGCTAGCGGAGATTTCCTGGGTATTTTCACAGCTAGTATAGGCAGGCTAGCAAAGACAATTGAGGAAGTGTCTGCCGTTGGTAGCAAGCTAGCAGAGGTCCTTAGGGAAATTTAGAACTTGGGCAGACCAGCAGGGCAGTTTTGTGGAATTTTTCAAGTCTTCTAGAATAAGCTAGCAAAGAACGTTGCGGAGACCCAGAATTGAGGCAGACTAGCAGGAATTCTTGCGGAAATCATGCCTCTCTCCGGCAGGCTAGCGGGAATTTTTTGGCAATTTTGGGCAAAGTGTGCTAGCAGAGATCTTTGGGGAAATTTAGAATTTGGGCAGACTAGCAGAGATTTTTTGTGGAATTGTTTTAATGGGTCTAGAGGCAAGCTAGCAGAGATTCTTTGCGGAAAATCACCCCGTCCGGTTGATTGCATGATCTCCAGTGGATCTGCCTGGCACAGATGACCCGGATTGCGCGACACCCGGCTGTCCCTTCATTGCACCACGGGAAAAATCGCCGGGCGAAAGCGATACGCTCCTATCGACGCCTTTTCATTCCACTACAATCCGATGACCTACGAATTTTTAGGTACCGTACATTACAGTACTGCGGTATAGAAATTTGTAGCTATTTTTTGGAAATCTAGCTGTACATTGGAAATCGGCAAAGAATCCCTGCTAGCTGGCCGCTTTCGGGAGAATGATAAAATATCGACATCCAAAATCTCGGGAGCCAGAATACCGACAAGCAAAAATGCCGACATGCAAAATAGCTGAGAAGGAAGTGATTGCAAGCTAGTGTCAAGGATAGGTCGGGCTTTTGGATGTCGGTATTTTGGCTATCGGTATTTTTATTTTCGGGATTACCGCTGTCGGTATTTTTGATTGTCGGGTTTTCGCGGTTTTCCACCGTTCCCTTAACTAAGCCCTGATATCCTAAATCATAAATTAACCAATTAACGCGAATTTCCCCAAATTGTCCCTGCTAGCTCGTTTTTAAGCCGATAATTTCAAACTCCCTATATTCTCTCTGCCAGCTTCCCTCAAAAATGTGTTTTTTAATTCCATAATTTTTTCTGCCAGCCTTCCCCTAGCGGTCCCAAATTTCCCCACAGAACCTCTGCTAGCCTGCCAGCCAACTGGCAATCCGGCAGTGACCCCTTGCGGAACGAAATCCACCCGAAAATGCCATTCTGTCTAGCCAATCTGCCAACCGCTGCCGTATGCAAATCCCAAAAAAAACCGGACCCCCGCCGGCTGTCCGCCATTTTTTGGGGGATGCAAATTAGGGGGCTGATAAGGGGCAGACGCTACGTAGGGCTACAAAAGACGGGAGGGGCGGATTGTAGCGTAGCGAGTATTAGGGTGGAAGGAATATTGTAGACATTCCGTTTTATGCTATGGCCGGAAGGTTGCGAGAGGCCAAAAAAGCGTATTTTTGCTATAACTTTTTTAGATTAGAATTATTTTGACTGAAATTTGACATGAATCTCGTTTTTAAACGACCGGGTTTTTTGCAAGAATTTCAAAGAAATTGGAAGTAAAATCAAAAAGTTATCGGGGTTTTTAACGCAAAACCTAGATTTTGGCAGCTTGCTTTTTTTTGCAATAACTTTTCCATATCATATTATTTTTATTTGAAATTTTTGTCAGATATACTTTTGAATAGCCAAAAATTATACAAAAAAATGTTAGGAAAATTTTTGTTAATATGAGGTTTTCAAGTAATTCATACCTCGAAGTCGCCAATTTTCGAAAAAGACCCAATTTTCAGGGCCAACTTTTAGCCTTTTGAAGGCTGGATTGACAGTGGCTGAAATGGGGGAAAGCCAGGAAATGCCATTGGCGATGAAGGGGCGATGAAAACGAGAATGAGAATGAGCATGAGGCACTCCTCCCTTCAATTGCCCCTCCCCCTACAGGGCTTTATGTCCGCAAAACATCCAAGCAACACCACTGCCAACCCCCTCAACCTCCATCCGCTTCGCTAATAAAGCGAAGGTCGACGGATAGAGCTGACACTTGGGGGAGTTAGCAGAGATTCTTTGGGAAAGGGCAGGCTAGCAGAGATTTTTTAGGAAATGTGAAGAAGCAGCTAGCAGAGATTCTTTGTGAAATTTGCAGGGCTGACAGCAGAGATCCCTAGGGAAAATAGGGCAACATATCGGAGATTCTTTGGGAATTTAGAAAAGGCCGGCTAGCTGAGGTTTGTGAGGAAATTCGAAGAAGCAGCTATTCTTTAGGAAATTCCAAGGCAGTGCAGCAGATATTCCTGGAGAAATTGGATGATGCAGCTCCTTTAGACAATTCGGGAAGGGGAAGCTAGCAGAGGTTACTTAGGAACTTTTTCCAGTGAAGGCACTCTAGCAGAGTTCTTTAGGGGAAATGGAGATTCAGGGCAGGCTAGCAGGGATCCTTTGGGAACACCTTCCGCTAGACAAGCTCATGATAATCTACACAGATCGTCGAAAATCCTTTTTTCCCCCAGAAATCTTTGCCAGCTTGCCCCAACGCATGGGTTTCGCTCGGTGCCCTCACTTTCACCCAACGAATCTTTGCCAGCCTGCCCTGCCAATTGACCGATCGGCTGCAATGGAAATGAGTCACAAAATTCCAGGAATCGACGGATAAGAGCAGCCACCGCCCTACGGTGTTTTCCCCTATCTCTCTCTCTCTCTCTCTCTCTCTCTCTCCTCTCTCTCTTCCTCTCTCTCTCTCTGCCATTCCCTCCCAAAGCCACCAGCTGATTTTCAGTCCGAAAAACGACTGTAGACTGTCCCTTTTCCAGAGTTTTTGCTAGCCCTTTAACGGAATCGCGACAGCAAAGGAGATTTTGTGCTTATTTTCACCTAGCTAGGCTAGCCTAGCGTAGATCGTTGAGGAAAATGAGGGCAAGCTGGCAGAGATTCTTCGGGAAAACAATGGCCCGGAAGTTCAATTGGCAGAGAGCCTTTGGGAAATCTGGGAGGGGTAGGCTAGCTGGGTTCCTTTAGGACAAGGCAGGCTAGCAGATATCCTTTAGGAAGGGGCAAACCAGCAAGGACTCTTTGGGTAGTGGCAGGCTAGCAGGGATTCTTTACAATCCCTAGCCCTCTGCCTTGTCAGTCCCTTTAAAAAACATGGTTCCTGGATTTCCCCAATCCATTAGGGCACTTATTTGCCCTCCATTCTCCTAATTGCCGTCTTGGTCTCTTCGAATTGACAGTGGCAAGTGGTGACAGTGTATCGTTGCGGACTGGAAATCCGCAAATCCGAACGGAGAGAGAGAACGAGGGAGAGAGAGAGAGAGAGAGAGAGAGAGAGAGAGAGATTGGATAGGGGAAGCGGGGGAAATGACACATGGCAAATGTTTCAAGTGAAATCGTGCCCTTTAGCCTTTTCAAGGGGGTTGGAAGAGGCTTGGAGGGACAGGCAAAAAATCTCTGCTAGCCTGCCCTCTCCCAAAGAACCCTGCTAGATTGCCCTTTCCTAAATTCTCTGCTAGCCCACCCCTCCCAAAGCATCTCTGCGAGCCTGTCTCTTCCCAAAGAATCTCTGCAAGCATTCTCATACCTGTAATTTGTACCCAGTATTCCGTTTGGTTTTCTGTCCGTCTGTCTGTCAATGTTGTCCCCCCATCCATATCCATTTCCGCGACTGTCCTCTTGACGCAACAGTTTCTGTCTGTCCGTCTGTCTTTCTGTCCATCTGTCTGCAATGGCTGGCTTTATCCGGCTGCCTCCAGCCTTCCATAATCACCCCCTTCAATTTGATTGGCATCAGCTTCTCCCCAGCTTTTCCCTGTGTCTCTCTGCCTCTCTCTCTCTCTCTCTCTCTCTCTCTCTCTCTCTCTCTTCTGGATGATCAACGGGCTGCCAGCCGGGTGCGCGAGGGGAGAAATTTTGGAAATCAGTCCATCCCTGTGGCGGTTTGTGGTTGCGGATCGGCAAAAAGGACTTTTTGGGGTCACGGACCCACTCAAGCTAGAGATTTGCTTAGGTTTAAGCTTGACATCGTTGGCTAGACTTAACTTGCAGCTTGGTCCAGCCAGGGGGAAAAAAGGGGCGGGGTGAAAAAAAGGGAAGGCCCCGGATGGGGAGGGGGGGGGCCGGCTCTTTAATTTATTTAAATCATCGCTATCGTTTCGCAGAAGTGGAAAGCGGGGTTTTTTTTGTTTTTTAAGCTGTTTTTGAGGTGGGTTGTGTTTTTTTTATGGGCCTAAAACGTTTTTTAAGTTAAACTAAGGCTTGGCTTAGCTTTAACTTGGGCTCACTAGGCGTAGGCGTAGGCTTGGGCTTGGGCTTAGCTTCAGCTTGGGCTTATGCGTAGGCTTCCGCTTAGCCTCGGTTTGGCTTGGGTTTTAGCTAGGCTTGGGCTTGGGCTTGGCTTAGGCTTGACTTAGGCTTGACTTAGGCTTGACTTAGGCTTGGCTCAGGCTTCGGCGTGGCATAATTCTGATTTAGGCTTAGCGTAGTCACTGATTTGATCGACCACAATATTATTTAATATTGGCCACCATATATACTTATATTCTAAAGCGATTGGCAATTGAGAAAAAGGTTTTGACCGATTCAACATATCCATACCATGCCAAACTGTCATTGATGCTGCCCATGCTTCCTCGATAACACAATCCGCCCGGATTTCCCCCAGCCCAAACAATGGATTCAAGCCAAACAACGGCTACTCCCAACCAGATTCCGCCGCATTAGCCCCCTCCATCGTTGTCTGGCGTGTTGTGTAGCGCTGTTAGGGCTGACATTAACAAACCAAAAGAAAAAGTGCCCGACTTTAGTGGGGAACTGATTTATCAAATTTGTTTATACGGTCACCTACCCAAAACCGAACTCTTGATATGTCAAAATGCTCAGCAGGACGAGCCGGTGCAAATTACGTTGAGAAACCGTTGCGGCAAATGTTCTATTTTTGACTTGGCCTGGCTTGAAGGCCCCTTGAAAATACACTTTCCAGCAAAAAGTTTTTTTGGTTGGAGAAAGAAAAAGATCGCACAAAGAAAAAAGAAAAGATCCGAACCCGAATTAGCATCACATGTATATTAATCTATTTCCGGTTCGAGGTAAGACTCCAGATAACCCCCCTCCCCAGCCGGCACCCACTTTGTATCTCGGCTCCCTGTTCATCTAAGATGCGTAAGTATACCAAAATGTTCGTCATGATGTGGCGGTATTTTCGTATACTTTCACACCTAGAGAACGGCGGGGGTCGGTGGGGGGTATCTGGAGTTTAGCCCCGGTTCGATGTTCCCTCATTTGAATTGTTTTGTTCCCAGGCCTGGATTTCTGGAATCAATCCGTCACGAGGGGATTTCTCTGCGCCTCGCCTGGGCGCGCTCTCTCCCCTATTGGCAATTTGCCAGCTATTGATCCCCCTCCCAGAAGGTGGATCAACAGATGCTTCGCGTACCCTTTAAAGGTTCAAATTAGTCCGGCGCGGGCTGCCGAAATCGTTGTAGAAGAAGCGATAGATGTAGCCGAGGCGACGCGTCTTCGCGATCGACAGGCAGCAGCGGCTTATCGGTACTAATTACTTTTTACAAAGTATCAGGCGAAATCTTTCTTTCAAGGTAAGCCGGCCGCTACGACAGCAAGTTGCGGGAACTGTGGCGCTTCTCGTCGCGCAGATGGTCGTCGATCTCAGATCACAACAACGCATCTTCTTTGAGCCGGCAAAAAACCACGAAAACTTCTTGAAGACGCCTCGAAAATAAACTTTCCAGCTGAAAGTTAATTCTTGACTTGGCCTCGCTTGGCTTGGCTTGGCTTGAAGTCTCCTCGAAAATAAGTTGGGGTGGTAGACTACCCGGTGTTTTAACCCGAATATTTTCATTTTTCGATGTTTGTTCGACTGAAGCCCAGAATTTGTTGCTGCATCGCTTGGGAATTGGTCTAGAGCTCTGTCTTTGCAATTTTTCCGCATAATTTTGGAAGGCTCTGTGCAAAAAAAACAAATTGATCAAAATGCTTTATGTACGGTGCAATACTGTTGACAGATTCGTGAGATCACAACGAGAAAAGAGCCATGGCGTATTGTGAGGGATATGGAAAGGACAGTGGATATGACAGTCTGGCCGCATTGAAGGAACCGAGTCTCGTAAACATTCGTATCTCGTAAAATTTGGTTTTAGATCGCTGTAGAATGTTAGAAAATCCATTTAAGGTTAATTTATGTTTTCTGAGATCCATTTTTTCGCATTTTTTTTAAACGGTACTTTGGCATTAACGGGGGGGGGCATTCCATAAAAGTCCAGAAATGGCTAAGAACTTAATCGTTAGTGTTTTAATTGTTTTTTAGTTAAATTTAAAGTAGAAAACTATCGAAAAACTTTTGAAAAATCCAAACCCGTCATTTTGATCGAAAAACCTTTATTTTTTCACTTATTACCAAAAATTTGTAACGTTTTTAGGCTTTTGCATAGTAAAAAAAGGTTTAGGAAAACTTACGCTATTTATATCAGAAAAATTAACGCTAGAGAAAAAGTTGCCCCCCCCCCGATAATGCAAAGGAACCAAAAAATCTAGTCTAAGCTAATTTCCTCGCTAAAATGGGCAATAAAAATCTCTAAAATATTTAAAAACACTTAAAAACTGTAAATATAGCTAATTCCGCATTGCTGGCGTCTATTTGTTGCGCGGATACAGTACGACGAGACAGCCGAGCAGCAACAATGAACATCCCGCGTACGGGGCAAATGCCGTCGTGAACCCGTAGCTACGCGACGCTCCCATGAACGTGCTCGTGCTGAAAAAACAGGCAATTCAGTACATTTAATTAATGTTAATAATATGCATAATAAATTGATGTTTTTAATTCATAAAAATACGTAAGAAAAAAATTCCAACTAAATTCCGACTAAAAAACGCCGACAAAACTTTCGGTATTGTCGCTATTGATCTCTAACCCGTCGATATTTCCTCCTTTCTCGAATTTCCGATTAGGGCCCTCGAAATTTCGGCATTTTCCCCAATCGATAGTTCGTTTGTCGGGATTTTGGTATTTTTGAATGATAATGCCGACTATTTCTATGATTCATCATTGTCGGCATTTCCCGCGTTGCCGATTTTTGGGCTTTTCGACGCTGAAAAGTCGGTTTTTTCTCGATGGATAATAGGTTGTCTGCATTATTTTTTCCCGTAATTATTTGCCATTGTCGGCATTTTGCGGGCTTGGATTGTCGGTATATGGCCTTTCGTTCGATCGTTATTCCGGTTGTCGGCATTCTACCGCTTGAGGATCCATTTTAGCCATATTTTCTTTTGGAAAACGCGTATTTTCTGATCCAATATTTCAATTGGTACCTAACAGCCGTTGCCAGCCACATCACCGCCCTTCCCGCACTTCCATATCGTAATCGATCCGTTGCTGACGTGTATTGCTCTAGAAATTAATTCATTATTTAAGTATCACGCTAAAATCACGTATAGTTAATCACGTGTATAATTTGTAAGGGCGAAAATCTAGCAAAACCATACCGGAAATGACGCATAGGGCCGTGTTGCAGGGCACGGCCGTCACCACCGCCAACACGAACAGCCAGAAGCACATGAACAACGATTTTTGCTGAACAAAAACCGATTAACACGAGTAAATATCCCTGAAAAATAATTTGAAAGTTTGAATAGTTTGAAAGTTTGAAGTAAAAAATTTGAAATTCCACTTTTCATAAGATTTAATAACTTTTTCGGGATTTTCGGCCCAAAAATCTTCCGAAAAATCGATCCCTAGCATTTTTACTATAGTTTTCTCTATTTAGAAAATTAGAAAAGTACTTAGCGTGTAGAAAGTACCTATTAAACGTGGAAAACACGTACAAAAATCTAAAATTCGGAATCTTCGCTTTTTTTCTGCCCAAAAATGTTTTAAAAATGCTTTTGTAAAATTCCTAAGGTCCTTCTTTGAAATTAATAAAATGATAAAAGTAGATACAAGTATATTAAATGTAGAAAACTACAAAGAATATAAAAAATAACCCACCTCAACGGGCAACAAATCGTAGGCGCTGGTGAGGAGCAGCAGAAATTGCACAAAAACCGAGATCCCGTATCCGCCCACCACCAAAAGACGCCTGGAAATTCCGCAAATGGTCTCTGCTCGCTACCCCACTCGAAATTCCAAAATGTCTTGAGTGTGGTTAGACTAAATTGTAACTACGTTTCAAGTGGAAAACTACGTAAAACCCAAATTTATAAAATTACGACATTTTGGCCGAAAAACGACCATTTCTGTGCTTTTTTAAACAGAACTTGTAAAGTTTTGTGTTTATTAATCGTAAAAACGTTTTTTATGCCCCCCCCGATAATGCAAAAAAACCCTAAATTATTACAAACCTGTCCAACGAATCAAAGTGATGCAACAGTCCGAGGACGACCATTTGGCAGATGGGAAATGCGATGCCAAGCGTGAATGATTGCTGCTCGTTTGCCCCAAATTCCCCAAACAATAGCACCGAATAGGCGAGGATCACCGGAACACCGATTGTCTGCAAATATACAATACAAAATATACAATATTTCACGCAAAAAACTATGGTTCTTACGTATTATCGGGGGGGGGGGGGGGGGATTTTGCCTCTTGCATCTTTCTCACATAAATAGAAATATCATAAACTGTTTTACTCCTCCTAAACCCAAAAACTGAAAAATATTTATCAACAAAATACAATAGTTGTTGATTTTCGACCAAAATCTCGAAATTTAAATTTTTGTAAGTGTTTACAAGGCTTTTTCACTTGAAACAGTTAGATTTTACTAAAAGAACTATTAAAAACCTATTATTATATTGGTAGACCCCTCCCCCCGATAATGCGGAAGAACCGCGATTTTTTGAGCTTGCGAATGGTGTAAAAATCATCACGATCCGACCATTCTACATCGAGAAAGAAAGGGCTTTCTCACCACGTTGAGCAACATCAGCACAGCAATGAGCACAAATGGTCTTCCACTACGGTGTCGTGATTGGAGTAGACGAATCGGTGAAGACGTCTCATCTTCTCCCATCAACGCTTCGTCGTTTTTCGGGCCCGGGCGAAGCCAGATATAGGCCGCTCCTAAAAAACGACACTACGCTCTCTATCGCTCTCTCTCTCTCTCTCTCTCTCTCTCTCTCTCGCTGAGTCACTCACGCTTTGTATCGGCTTTTGCTAGTTGTAACGCCCGCTAAGCCTATCCTTGTAGCGCCCCCTCACCCCCAGCCCACTCGCCCCCCACCTGGCCCACTGTCCGCACAGAAGATGCCCTTTCCCCCTGCTCTCGTATCTCTGGTTCGTGTGCATTTGACCGAGAAAATCTTTCGCCTTTTACTAAAGATTTCCGTGCACACGAACAATTATGAGTATTCAACAATTTTTGGAGCCCCCTCGCAAGAGCGGGGCAAAACTCGCTTTGTACCATGTTTTTTGCGTAACTTACCGGTGACGGCGCTAAAGATGCAGGTGCACAGCACGACGACGTACGCATCCGACTGGACGATCGGCAACAAATTCGAGATTAGCGTCGACGCGCAAAACGCGAGCCCGAGCACAAGGAAATGGCCGGGGCGTTGCCGGTAGGGCACCTGGAAATTCGGAGGTATTTGAAGCTTCAGCATTTTTGAATGATCTCCAAGATGGACAGTTAAAAAAGGTACGATAATTTATTTTCGATATTCCAAAGAATTTACGGATTTTAGCTCAAATGTCGTAAAGCTTCGTGCTTTGGCTAATTTTTATACTATGCTCTGCATAATTTTTCTAACAAATTTTCCTGCCTTTTTAGGGTGAAAATTACCAATTCGGTGAGCAGCACGGGTGCACAGACGAATCCCAGCCCCGCTCCGGCTCCCATGAAAAATCGAGCGACCGATAGGAAGAACCAGCTGCAAAATTAGCACTTTTTCATGATTCCAAAAGCGTCTTTGCAAACTCTTTTTCTCGTTTAATAGGCGTTTGGATAACTGGTTCGATACCTTGGGACGAGCCCGATGACGGCTGCCAGAATCAGGAGCGACGCGTCGATGACGAGCGCCGAACGGGGATCCGAAGCCGGGCGGGCCACCATCAGCAATGTTGTTAGCAGTTTTCCTGAAATCAAAAATATAATCGGATTAACAAGATATACAGTAACCACCGTGTTTTAGCCGAGAAAACGGCCTGATTTCGAATTTTTTTAGTGGAAATTCATTGCTGATACTATTTTATAGGCATCATTAATAGCACCTATAAAAATAACGCATACAATTATATTCGGTTATATTTTGTATGTTTTTAGAATAAAATTTTTATTAAGCTTTTATTGCGCGTTTGCGCTCCAGAGTCGATGAAAATAACGTTTTCAACTATATCTTACAGCCAAAACCTTTTAGAAGCTATACATAAAAAAGTTTTAATTGGGCTAGATTAAAAGAACTTTTGTTTTAAAAGCTCTAAAATCCGCAAAAAGACACCAACCGAACGGAAATGCGGCCCCGGCGGCGGCCAACTCGGATGTGGACAGGCTGTGCGACAGCGCGTGAAGCGCCGATTGTTGCGCCATTTGGAGGGAGGATACCAGAGAGAGCACAAGGCTAAATAAAAATAGAATTTTCGCTCTATAAATCAATTTCTTGCTGATCTCATTTTCTAGGGAGCATAACACAGATTTGGCGCTAACTAAACGCGCGTTTGTCGCGATGCGGCGTTAAAACCCGTGAAAACAGTTCGAGGGAAACAGTTTTTTTTAGCTTAAAATGTTAAATGATACTCACCCCTCCCGGATCCCGACCGCCATTTTTGACGACCTTCAAATCGCCGGCAACCAAACACGGATTTAACTAAATCAGCCCCTTTTTGTAATTTTAAAACCACCAAATAGCCTTGAAAATTTAAAACGAAATCCGTAATTCGTAGCCAAACCAAACGATTCCTCGCAAAATAACGCTAGCTGTTCGCTAGAAATTTGATATTGCGGCGGACCACAAGCCGAACCCCCTTTTAGCCTAGCCGGGGAAAATACGAAATTTGGCGCCGTAAATGCCGATTTTTCTCTCTTTCTAAATCAAATTAAAAATACACAATTTAGGCTTATATTTGCGAAGATTTGATGCAATCTAGAACAAAAAAATTTAGCTTTTTGACCAGCAATTTTTAATTAAAAGAAAATAATCAAAGCCAGTAACATTGATAAAAAATCGTGCGGTGCGGAAGTGCGGAAATCGACTAAATAATTATGGACCGTCAAAGCTGGCTAATTTTTATCCGGAATTTCGTAGTATTGGTAGGGTGCGTGCGGTGAATGTTGTGAAGAGTGGAGGAGGAGAAGGGCGGATCGTCCAGTGTCCGTCCATCGATCGCCCACACAGCCTTCAGCAAAGAGAAACACCAACAACACCCCCACCAGAGTCCGTTGACCTTCGCCAAACAAGCATAAACAATCGGAAAATCCAATCTAATCATGCCTAACGTCTATGCAAGAAAAAGCCGTTATCCGAAATGGAGCAGATCCCATTTGCCGAGGTGGGCCTGTGGGCGGGGATGAAGGGCCCCCAATAAATTCCGATGGCGTGAGAATGCAAGGGCCCACCCAGGGCTGGCGCTGACACATGCCTCGCACATCCATTGTAGATGTGAGACCCGCATGTCAAAATGCTTGTAATTACACGACGCGGACAGCCATCATTCATGGCAAAACGTGGTGCCAGAGTCCTCTTAAAATTGTTTATAACTTTGGCCAGATTCAGTCCAGGAGCATGGGTGGAACACTAGAAATCGAATAAATGAGCTGGAATTCGGTGGGAGAGAGGGGCCATGTGGGAGCGGCCGAGGCCAACTTGTTGTTGTTGATGGTGATGGGGGCATCATGGTTCAGTGGTGCGAATTTGAACAAGTATTAGGGCCACCGCTGTTAAGCCACTCAACAAGGAGCGGATGAGGAGGATGGAGGGGAGGAGGAAGGGGCGTATGCACTAAAAAATCGGAGCCGAAGAACATTGTGTATCACCGGTAGCAGAAGAGGGGGAGAGAGTATTGTTGGGGGTCCCGGACAAAAAGCCATACATACAACACAGTGACGACCGAGGATAAGTTAAGTAGATACAAACACATAATATAATATGGAAGGCTTGTCAACGGGATTCTTGATTCGAGCTCTTCTCGATGTGTTGTGCAAATGGCCCGATGAGAGAGAGAGAGGGACAGATTGCGGAAGAGAGAAAAAGAGTAGGGGAAACAGCAGTGGCGCGTAAGTGTTGAAAGGTGGATGTCGAGTTGCATGGGAAATTGGTATACTGTGGTGCACAAATCGGAATCCGACACAAAGCAATCAACGAGAGAAACCGGTGTATTCGGGGGGAGACTGATAGCGGATGGTTGTTTCTTTATTGGAAGGAGATGGAACGGGGCCCGCTCAGTGATCGCACGGCATGTTCTGCTCCGCCAACACCTGAAACGTCCATATTATACAAAAAATCCAAGGCAAATGTTGGAGATTTGCTATCATTGGATTTTTTGGGCGACTGGTTCATGGCAAAATTCGGCTTATCGAAATGTCCATTTTTTGAAAATAAGCCAGCAGCATACCTGAGCCGATATGGCGCGAAGACGATGAGGAGCCAATCCATTTTCAATGTCTTCCCCTCGGGCTGCCAGGCGACGAATCACCTAAAATAATGAAATAAAATCCGCTCACTAACTAGAAAAAACGAACCCAAGAAATTGACACCGGCTCCTCCTTCATCTCTTTTGCCGACTGCAGTTCCTCCTTGAGAATTTCTGAAAAAAAAAACAATTTTAGTAGCCAGGTCAGCCCCAAAACCGCATAGGTATTTCAGTCACGGCGCATAATTTCGCAAATTCACGCATTTTGATCTTTAACCAAAAAATGCGGTGAGGTAGTATCTGGCATTTGCCACAACTCAACGCGTGGGGGGTGGACCAGATTTCTTAGCCCCTTTAAAATAATAATAATAATATACCTTCAATTTTCTCCTTCGTCGCCGCGGCCCACGCCTCTTCGATGGCGCGCTTTTCCTCGTCCACCTTCGGAGCATTTGGGAACCGGATCTAGATCGATTCATTATAAAAAAACCTAATAAATACTAACCAAGATAATTGTCATGTTGTCGCGAGAGCCACGGTGCAGACAAGAGTCGAGAACCTGGCAAATTGTACCTCTATGCTTTTACAAAGATAGTCAATACCTGGTTGCACACATCGACAAGATCGTCCGAGACTTGGAGCCGGCCTTGCACAAAGTTGCACAGCTCCTCGTTCTCCATCACGTCATAGATGCCGTCGCAGGCGAGGACAAGGAATTGCTCGACCTCCTAAACAAAGTTTGAATTTCGAGGAGCAACTGGTATACCGTTTTTCGCTCGAGCACATAGATGTCGGGCTCGCAGCTGACGAGTTGTTTGGTGGGGCAAAGCCCGGGGACCGACTGGAAGAACGCAATATATTATCGCACCACATATTCCCCGTCTTTTTAGCTAATTTTCGGCTAATTCCAAAATTTTCATCGGTTACATGAAAGGAATTGGTACTGGAATGCCGAGGAAAGCCGTTATTCTAGCTTATTGCCTGGCTGAGAAACTGAGGCAATGCGAAAAAAAGCGAAACTGAAGGCCCAGCGACCTACAAAAAACAAAACAGCTTCGGAAATTTTAGGGCAGCAATAAGTAACGAAACGCCCACAAGAGCCAGTCACAGCGCGATTGTTTTCAAAAAAAGGAGCAGAACAATACCTTGTAGTCAAAGTCACCGAGTGCACGAGATACGGCCAGGCTGCCATTGATACGCTGGATCATCACCTAAAAAGCACGAGTTGCCGAGCGCGGAAGGGACCCACAGATCCACCGGCTTCAACGATGCGGTTTCGTTCTTTGTCTAGGTACGGCTTGTGGTCCTCGGTGCCGAACGAGGCCTCGCCGGCACGGGATAGCACGGCACGCGAGTCGCCTAAAAGATAAAAGTTAAAATTCGGACACAAAACCATCACAAGGCGCTGCATCGTTATCTAGTGACCAAAAGGGATGTTTGTTAGCGTATAGATGCCTAGTAGTCAAAAGCTAATGTGTTTTTATCATATCTTTTCCATTTCCAAGTTGGATTTTGCTGTAGGCTTAAGCCCCCCAGAAAACTATCCAGAACCGATGCAATAGTCAAAAAAAGGAAGGTGACGGAAATATGCAGCAACACCAACCCAGGTTGGCAATGATGATGTGAGTAGGCGTCAGAATGGCACAGACAGCCGTGCATCCCGAGCGGTCCGTGTCCCGCATCGCCAGACGCTCCTTGATGATCTGGTCGAGGGTCAGGAAACCCGTCTTCATTCCCTGCTCCAGCAGCCCCGTCGCCTTCTCGTTCAGCTTGCCACCGTTCTCGCCAACAATCGACACCACCTGCAAAAATAATATAACAGGGAAAACGGGCACCCATTTTAAAGCTAGGTAGGAGCGCAATCTATAAAATCCCCGATGGCCTAAAGGATAGTAAAATGCCCTAAGCTCGTTTTCTATGTAGAGAATACAACGTTTTAGTTAAAAAAAATATGCGAAGTTTAATACTCTTAACGGAGAATTTTTCACATAAAAACGGCTGATGCTGGAAGCTATAACAAAAGGTTCTTCTCGATCTGGCGAGTGTCTTGGTATAATTTACACCCGTGTAGCATAACGGGAATCCGATATAAAAATTGGAGTTCGCTGCGGGGGAAGCAGCACAGCCACAAGCTACAAGCAAAAACACACCTCCATGAACTCCTTCGTCTCCAATAGAGTCTTCAAGATGTGCTCTGCTGACTGTTCGGCCGCTACACAACCCGCATGCCCGTCGAAAACGGCGAAAAAGGCCCATTCCTTGAACGGTGCCTGGGTACCCATTGAAATCTAAAAACTAAAAGTTGTTTCTAGGAAACAAAAGAAACCTCCACAACATGAGCATCTTCCATATCAATTCGCCATCCCTGCATACTTGCGCCGGCATAGGTGATATCCTAGAAAAGGTTATCAAGGCAAATAACCGTCCAAACCTTGCCATCGCCAGAAAAATTTGTCTTCTGTGTTTTCGGCTTGTCCAAAAAGGCGCCCATGTTCCTTAGTTCAACCAGGCCCGAGTTGGTGACCTTCCAAGTGCGAAGCTAAACGAAAATATGTTTTCCGAACCGAACGCTTGAATTGACCTTCAGACCCTTGAGCTTGCTAATGGCGCTTGTCACAAAATCGTGCGAAACCGCGAAGATTTGCTTGCCGCCAAGGTACGAGACGGCAAGCACTTTATCGTAAAGTGCCATGCCATTTCGACCCAAGCGCGTAAGAGGGGAAGGCATGCTGATAAATGAAGGAAATTTCAGGGTTTTTCTTATGCGCGAATTTTATGCAAATTGCAAAATAGAATCCAAAAAATAAGGCTGACCTGTGTTTCTTCCCGATATGCGATGGGGAGGGGTTCGTCGTCGTCGGGACGTGGCTCTAGCTGAATGCAGCGACCGCGCGGCACTATCCGGTCTGAAGCGGCAACATTAGCAAGGAAAACCGGGTGAAAACGAAGAACGAAACGACATGACAGGACAAGCACAACATCCGGGGCAAAAAGCTTACGACAGTGAAGACGGCGTCAAAAGGCGCCTAAAACAGTAGTGAGCAGTCAGATGCACTAGCTAACGAAAGGCAGCGCCAGCCGGCGGAATCGACCGTGATAATTTGTATTTCTCACCAGAGATTGACTACGTCGGACAAAGAACAAATCGTATAATTTGAGTAGATGATCTCACTAGTGGTTTGCCAGGGAGACGATGAAAGTTAAGGTACCATCTGTCCAAACGGAATACGATAAATAACACAGTAAGAATCATGATGAATCTAACTATTGACAAGCAGTTAAACCGCACAGTCGAAATCAGTGTCGGATATCAAATCCGCTAACTATACCAAAAACTTGTGCAATCTATTCGAGGCTTTCTGAAACACTTTCGCAACTGCTTACTCAGCCTACAACCCTAACACGTTCAAACGGATCGCCACACAATGCATCTCAAACACTAGGTAAATCAGGAATGCCAAAACTGACCCACAGAAAGCAAGAACGCACACTGAACCCTTACCGTTCGAGGTGAGTCCCGTCTGAACGGTAATTGGGGCAGTATTATTATCGATCGAAGACTGGCTTGAAGTGATCACCGAGTGCATTCCATCCTGTAAAATCCCACTGATTGCTGTTTATCCGCCATGCAAATGAAAGCGACGAGGTGCTGGGGCATCGACACCCCCCGAGGGGAGTCCAAACATCCCAGACATTTTTTTGAGCAAGGTAAACAGGCAAAGGTCGGGGTGGGCCGCGCTGTGGCGCGCGCGTGCTGTCGCTTTCGTAATGGACGACACGCCAATACACACAACGACTTGGCCCGCCCGCCAAACTGGCCAAACGGCGGCTACGGTCGCTTATCCAAGGCAGGTGTGACCATGGGGCCACTCGGTGAAGCCCAGGCAATCCCCGGGGCCAAATACTGCCCGGCAAAGAAGTAGGTAGCGATAGAACTGGAAGATCTGAAGATGATTAGTTTGGGTGGCTCCAAGGGTGCTCAAAAAGCGTGCCTATTCAGCCCAATAGCAATTTTGCTGGACTTATTCTGTCTGCCGAGTTCGAATTTGAGCCTTTTAAACCTAAAAGTTCACTTAGACAGCAAGAAATTAAGTAGAAACTACAAACTAGACAGAGTAAAGCGTCACCAAAACGCGGAAAATGACTCCGGCTTCGCTTTCTGATATCTCGTAGTTCAAAATTAAATTTTTGGTAGTCTAAAACTGTAGAATCCGAACTCGGCACACAAAACTATCCCAGAAACTACTCGCCGATCGAAAAAGGAATCGAAATCGGAAATCGAACCCTCGGGGCCACCCAACTAAATAGCCTCAAAGATTTCGCGAAAATACAACTCGTCATGACTGGAGGGGGGAGTGCGTGACAGCGCCTCCCGGACACTTGATAAAACTTATCAGTTGGCGATCGATTGGTGGTCCTCTCGGAAAGTTGGCTTATCCTACTCAAAATAAAAAAAATGGGGAGGTATGGCTGACGAAATCAGGGCGGAAATTTGTTGCTGGAAAAATTAGCAAAATCAGTTGAAGAAAAAAGACAACAGCTGTTTCTGAGTTCCGTGCCATTCCTTTTGACAACTCTACGTCAGTTGGAATGCCGTGGAATTGGCTGGGCTACAAACTAAAAATAAAAAATTAAATTTGAAAAATCTTACAAATTCAAAAGATCAAGGATTTTTGCTTAGATTTTTTTTCTTTTCGATGACAAAAAAAGTCTAATAGACTTTCTTATATACTGTTTTAGATTACTGTTTACATTAGCATCACCCTGTTTTTGCGATTCCGAAGCATACAACTTCACATATCTTTGTTAAAAACAATAAAAATATCGATTTTTCTGACCGAAAATGGCCGATTAGTCAATGGCCAAAATTATGAAAGTTTTTAAGTAAGTTTTTCCTCTTGAAATATAGTTAAAGGGTACTAGAACACTATTAAAATACTCCCTATGACGTCACAGAATCTATCTAGAGTTGTAGGAAACCCCCGATAACCCGAACGGAGCGAAAAATCGATAAATACATGAAATTAGCCAACTTCACGATTACGGGGGATCAAAGGAAGAAGGCTTCACTCGAAGCAACGATATTCCATAGAAACAAGGGCTGAACAATGGGCGCGTCATGTTGCCGAAAGACCAACCGGCCACCTTTCGACACACTTCCTCCCCTCCAGAAAGCACACTTTATTACGGAACGATAAGCGTCGATACGGGGGGGAACCCTGGCTTCTCTCCCGCTCTCCCTCAGCCCCCTTGCTTTCAAAATAGTAAAATGTTTCACTCGCTCTCTGATTCAGGCTGCTCGTCTGGCGACGCTCGATTGCAGCGCTTTGATGATAGTGAGAAGTCGACGGGCGAAGCTAGTGTGTCTGGTCGGCGTGCTGATTGTGTATTGCTACCTCAGCTATCGGAATGCTTCGATACCGGCCGAGTTTTTGGAGCTACAGGTGAGTTGTGTGGTACTACGGGTCAGCCGGCTGTCGTAGCGTTATGTCTGTTAATAACTAACTTTTTTTTTGTCGGCCCTGGTGGGGATAGTAATCAAATATAAAGTGTTTTCACACAGTTTTTAGCAAAATTTAAGCCTATTTGAATCGGAAAAACTTTTTAAAAAGACTGTTTTAAAACGTTTAGGATTTATAAAAAACAGTGAGAAACGCTTTCGTTATTTATAGTTGAAAAATTGGATCATTTTAAAAAAGCTAGGACCCCCTCTAATGAACCAGCAACTAACGTTGGTGCCAGCCGACTGACAGGGGTCACCCGGTTGTCATAAAAAAACCGGTCGCGAGAGCCGTCCGTATTTTATGGGAATTATGAGGCCGATTTTTACTAGCAAACTAATTTTTCTGACTTGTTCTTTTTTAGCAACTAGCTGCGAAAGGGCAATCCGGCGTCTGTCGAATAAAAGCGCTCGACCCGTTTGATCCGTCGATTGCCAAATACATTGATGTCAGCCCGAAGACGCTCCGCTGCCGCGCCGTGCAGGTTCATTTTTTATCAAGTGCAGCCCTGTAAGCGGAAATAAAACGACGGTATGTTTCAGGAGCAATGCGTGACGTTTGGCAACAAGACACTGACCATCGTGAAGCCGGTCAGCAGCTGCCGCTATCGCAGCGTCGCGCACAACTCGGGCGTCGACGATTTTCAGCCAAAATACGGGCCGTGGCTGGTTATTAAAGGTATTGAGCCAAATTTTTTTGTTTTCGAAAAACCTGTTTAGGAGCTACCTCTGATCCCATTGAAGATGAATTTGTGCAGGTCGAATGCTACAAACAAACTTTTGGCATGGAGCGATGCATCTACAGGAACACATTTTTCCAAGTGGTACCAAGGGAGACGAGTACGGAAACTGGAAAGTTGGTTGTTAGCTTAAGCTAGATATGATCCGCTGATCAGGACGCGTTCTCTAGAATCTGTGAACGGACCATATTTGGCAAGTTACGTAGCATTGAAGCGTGAAAAATTCGCAAAATGCCCAGTTTTTGCCATTTTTCGCCTTTAAATTTTGGTCTTTCAAACATGGTCGTTTCGTAGATGCTGCAAAGTACGTTTTGATTAGCGAAAATATCTACACAAAATAGACTTTAATATTTTCCTTATAGACCGTTTTCCAAAGAAGCGAAAGACCGGCCGAGCGTCTTGTTTCTCGGCATCGATGGCGTGTCGCGGAGTAATTTTATACGGCAATTACCTCAGGTAACTTTTGTGTTTTTTTTTGCGTCATAATCTCCTTGAATTTAGACAATGGAAGTGATGGAGCGTCAGGGGTTCGTAACCTTGGATGACTACGCAAAATTGGGCGACAATAGCTTTCCCAATCTTTGCGCCATACTGCTCGGCAAGCGCGGATACGATGCAGCGGTTGTTTGAGCTTTTTTAGTTTATTCTATTTTTTCAGGGTTTCCCCAGCGAAGTACCAACCGAATGGGGCATTAATTACGACAACTGGACGGATTTCGTGTGGCGTAGGTGATGATCTAGCTTTTTTCAGCTGTGCAGCATCATTTGTCGCGTTCTCTCTCTCTCTCTCTCTCTCTCTCTCTCGCTCTCTCTCTTCTCGACTCTAGGAAACAATTAATTACAGATTCGGTCGGGCCGGCTACGCGACAATGTTCTCCGAGGATCGCCCCGAATGGAGCACGTTCAGCTATAAGAAGCACAGCCATGGATTCGTGAAACGACCGCCGACCGATCATTACCAGAGGTAGACACGCTACCGCAGAAAAAAACGCCATCTAGCGCTGCTGAGTAGTGCCTGATTTTTCATGATCTAGGTGTCAATCGAGAGCTCTTGACAAGACAAGGGGATATGTTTTCTCCGAATTTGAAAAGCCTGAATTTTTGTTCGATTTACCGCGAGTTCTGCGAAGCAGCTTCATCTTTTTATGTTAGTTCTGATGTTTCCTTTACAACCAATTTTTGGGACTTTTAGGCTTTTTTTGCAACCCAACGGCATCTTTTTCGAGGCCAGTTGAAAACAAATCAGTTTAAAAGGTGCTTAAACCTGTTAAATAGAAATTTCGAAGTTCGAGGTGAATTTTGCTTCGCCGAGAGCTTTCGATTGATGCCTAAACCATAAAAATCGAAGGCAAAAGCCTCTTTTAGGCCCTACTTCACGACCCTCTACGACTCGAAAGAAATGCTGCAGAGCACGCCGCAATGCTTCGACAGGTCGCCGCTCCACAATCTGCAGTTGGACTACGTCAAGGAGTAACTTACTAGCCTTTTTCTTATCTTATTGAATTAGATTCCTGACAGCGTACCACGGCCGTGGCATACCGACTTTTACGTTTTTCTGGAACGTCGATCTGGCACATGAATATCTGAATACTCTGAAAGTGGCGGACAGCGATTTGGCGGGTGCGTGGCTGTTTGCTGCTCTTTATTCTCATTGTGTCGTAATTTCAATGCGTTCACCTCATATATCCCTCTCAAACAGTTCGCAAATCGATATTTCCGCGCATTGAAAGGTCGACAAAATGATAGTAAATCGTGTGCTGCCTTGTTTATGCAGTCATTCATCATTTTCAGGTTTTCTGCAGGACAACCAGGAACTACTCGAGAACACGATAGTCCTCATGATATCTGACCATGGTAACCGCTACGACGCGATTCGAGAAACGGTATTTTGCCTTTTTGTTCTAGTTCGTTAGCGGGGTGTGTGTTTACTGGTTATTTCCAGATTTTTCAGTTTTTTTTTTGCTATTTTTCGGGACTATTTCCACGCGATCCGATGAAGCGTCCAAAAATATACTAAGTATGCCAGCTCAATATAATCGATTCTCAAATAGTTATAGCAAAAACAAAATAACCTTTAAAATGAGGTTGGTAAGTTAGTTTTGGATGTTTCTGAAATATTTTGGCATTCTGTTAACGCTGTTTCATAAACCATATAAATACGATAGGTTTTAATTTACGGCGAAAAATAATGTGGTTCGAAATAAGAGAAATTATTGACGTAAAATGTTTGCTCCGGACCCCCCACTAACGAACCAGAACCTATCTTTCTTACCCATTTAACTATTTATACTATAGATTGTCGGTCGTCTTGAATCCCGAATGCCGATGCTGTCCATTAAACTACCAAAGGTTTCCCCGATTAGCAGTATAGTTTAATTTTTATCCTTTCAGAAAATGATCACCAAACATCCACACCTCCTCGCCAACCTCAAGCACAACGCCAAGGTGTTCACCACCCATTTCGATACGCACGAACTTTTCAACGACGTGTTGCTGGTATTTTTGTGCCACCCTATTTGGACCAAGTCGTTGCAGAACAACTACGCCTACGCGTCCAACAGCTCGAGGAGCTTTTCGTTGCTCGGAGAAGTGCCGGCGAATCGCACGTGCAAGCAGCTGAACGTGCCGGATTCGTGCGTTTTTCTCGTTGTTTTTTTTTTCTTGAGGGTGTCCCAAACCTGCCTCACAGCCTAGCTGCCCGTAGGCTGTCCGATTTTTACGATTTAGGCATCTATCGAGTCGTCGGAAAGGCAAGTCCAGCACGGTTTTTGGATTTCCGAAATTCCGGAATTTTTATTTGCTCGATTATTGCCATTTTTCATGCAAGAAGGACAAGCATTTTTGTCGAAAGCTCAATTTAGCCGGTTTTAAGCGCCATCTAGGCTGTGTCTCTTACATAGCTTTCAAATGCTCGGGTGCGCCAAACTTCTATTTTTTTTTAAAACACTGTTCGGAAAGCACAAGAAAACCGTTAGTAAGTACGACAAAGATTCCGGGATGTCATAAATCGGGATTACCGTCATTTCCAGAGCTTTTAATTGATGCCTAGATCCTAGAAATCGGACACACCTCCGGCCCGCTAGAAGGGGGTACCTTTACGTACTCTGTACGTTTTTATATTGCTGTTCAGCTTCTGCCCATGCTACGAGGAGCTCGAGCTCGAGCCAGCGAGGGGGCAAGAGGTAGCCGATTATCTACTCTCGGAAGTGAATCGGCTTCTCGCCGATGGTCCCGATAAAGTATGCCTTTTTGGTAGCCCTCAAATTCTCCTGTTTTAGGGTAAATGCGCGGTGATGAAACTGGCCGAGATCCAGTCTGTGTCGGTGAGACTACCGCCTAAGGCTGTTATGGAAGAAAAGTAGAGGTTTTTTGTGCTTAGAAATACTTTTTCTAGTTCGATGGGAAAGCAGCCGCCGTCGGGCGCGATAACGATTATCTACAGGTACTTGACTGTTAGCGGGGGGGTGGGATTTTTGTTTTCCGCACGTCTTGAGGATATATAAGGTATTTTGAGAGCGTTTAGCGTTTTGAGAGTGTTTTTATTGGTTTTTCATTGCTAGAAAGTTATACGAAAAAATTTAATTTCGAAAACTTTGGCCTTTTGCCCGGTTTTATGATTTTTATGAACTTTTTATATCTGGGCTATGTAAAATTTCATAAAAATTGGTTAGAAATTTGAAATTTGGATGTGGGGCCGTACAGAAATGACCGAAAGTTTGCTTTCCGTCTAAGAATCCCCCCTGCTAACCGTCCAGTACCTGAGCTTATTAGGATCGCGTTGCGTGTAGCGCAACCATCAAACGCCCTGCTCGAGGCCGTCGTCTTCCGCGATTTGACGAAAAAGACCTGGAAAATCGATGGGGACATTGAGCGGAACAACAAGTAATGATCACTCTTGATTATTGCATTTTTTTCCCGTAATTCCAGATATGGCAACACTTCGGCGTGTGTCGTCGAGAAGCAGCTGCTCAAACTGTGCCACTGCATTAACTGACCCTTCTAGACGTAGATATCTATTTTTTTGGGTGCTGGATCGTTATCGGGGGGACCAAGGGCAAAATTCAGTGCGGGATTCATGTAATCGCCTAGTATAATAAAATATAACGTATTTTTGTTGTTTTTGCTGTTTTGACATCTTTACAAACAAAGGCCTTTTTAAAAATTTAATCTTAGAAATTTTTCACGAATTTTCACATTTTTCTAATGCGTGTTATTTCACTATAATAATTAGCATCATTTAGATTCTACGGGTTGTCGAATAAAACACCCCCCGATAACGATCTAGATCCCTCATTGATAGACTAACTTTTTTGTAGTTGTGATTGTGTGCTTTCAAGAAATCGCGTGGTGCTCGTGCTGTAGGGTAAATTGATTTCCCCTCTTTTTCGATTTGCATACCCGCTGCAATGCATTCCGGAAGTGGCCCTGATTTGCCTGGGAAAGCTACTATAAAATAAAGTCGATCCGAGGGCCGAAGTATTTCTCAACGCCTCGCAGACGTTCAGTCATACGAGCTCTTCCGCTCCACAGCTTTCTTCCGACGACTTACTGATCGGTGAGCTTTTTTCGGATTTAAATACGTTTCGCCGAATTTTATTTTTGCATGCTAATTTCATCTCTGTGGGATTTGAACTTTGGCAATTTACGAAATTTTTTGCAAGATAATCTTTACCTTGCCAATTCATTTTTAGTATCATTTTTCAGCCAGTCGTGACAATGACTTCTCGCTTGAGCATCATCCTGCTCGTCGGCCTGCTCGCCATGGCCACCGCCAGGCTGCACCCCGACCACGTGGTATCCCCTATCCGCCTTTGATAGGCCTGTCATTTCCAGGACGACAAGACTGTCGCGGAGCGGCTGGCCGCTGGGGTCGACAAGGTCATGGAGCGTATCCGGCGTCAGGAGCCCCCGAATGATGCCCCCAAGCCTGATGCCCCTAAGCCTGATGCCCCCCCGAACGACGCCCCCAAGCCTGACGCCCCAAAGCCTGATGCCCCAAAGCCTGATGCCCCAAAGCCTGATGCCCCAAAGCCTGATGCCCCAAAGCCTGATGCCCCCCCGAACGATCCCCCCAAGCCGGATGCTCCCAAGCCTGATGCTCCCCCGAAGGATGGCCCCCCGAAGGATGGCCCCCCGAAGGATGGCCCCCCGAAGGATGGCCCCCCGAAGGATGGCGCCGAGGGTGATCCAGTCGTCGCCGCCTGGAAGAAGGTATCCTTTTACGTAATGAAAACATCAAATAAACCCTGGCCACTTCTAACCGCTTTTAACAAAATTCTGCAAAAATATACACTTTCATTGGCTAAAAGTTCTCGTCTACTTTCTCGTCCGTCATTTGAACGGATTTTCTCGCTCCGATCAAGGAGAATCATAGCTTACGGGATTTCAGGAAATCTGAAATCAAATAAGTCAACCGGATAGCTAACTAATTTCTACCGGTGAAATTATCCATCAGTTGTTTTAAAGCCCTCTTTTGTTAGGCGTAATTATTCTGTTGCAGATCATCGAGAAGACGCAGCACGTGATGGGTGGTGCTGGCGCCGGCGCCCTGCCGACGATTGCCCCGGATTTTGTCGAGTTCGACAACTAGTTGCGGCTCCTCTTCTCTCCACATCCACCGCCACCTATGGGCCATCCGCCCCTGTTCCCCGTTTTTTGGGCCCGTGTGCCAAATAAAATTTTTGTGGATGCGTTGCATGTGTCTTGTTTCGTCGCGTATTTTGGCATCGTGTATCTTGCCCACGGCCAATCAAACAGGCCAAAAACGGCAATGTGCCGGGAGGGGCAAAACCGTCGATAGGAGCGGAACGTAGCGGGCGCCAAGAAGTTTAAGCTCTTATAACTTTTTCAAACCGACTTAATAATGAAAACCCAATATCAATTATTGCAGAGTAGAATTTTACGGTTCGAATGATACCAAATACAGCCGGTTAGCCCTCCGAAATACCACTTTTCACAAAATCGCCAACCAAAACCGCCTTCGTTAGCATACTTTCTAAATTCAGTTTTGTTAGTGCTTAGTATCATTAGAATCGCCATGTTCCCTTCTACAAGACTGGAATTCGCGTTTTTTAAGATCGGCCTTATCTTTCAAGATATAAGCCTTCAAAGTTTTAGCCCCATACATTTTTGAGTCGATAGGAGCGCCGCGTTGCCTAGCCCTTAGACCGCCGCGATTTCGGGGCGTGTGCCGACGGGGGATCTGTCATTCGCATTCGGGCAAGCTTTCTCGTTTATAAAATCAAGGTTCGCGATTCCGTAAACGGGTCTTGTTCGAAATTGAACCCTCTATCGAAAGACTCAAAAAGGACCCGTGCTTTTCATCAATCCTGGGTACAATTTTATGCCATGAGAAGAACGCATTTTTTTCAATATAACGCTGTTTACGTGATGTGTGCCATCAATATGAATATCTATTGGAATCATCGCAATAAGGGACGGCCACGAATCAACAAACCATTTCAAACCTAGAATCGTAAAAGTTGTTTTTTGGGGGGAAAGCCGGCGATTTGGAATCTCTTTGTTGAAAGACAACCCATAGAACATATAGTATATAACGACGAATCCGTAGGACTCATAGGGCATAATCAGTAGAATACAACTCGGGGGATAAGTAGAAATCTGTGCGCACAACGATCAACAACAATGATATTGGGACCTGTTTTTCTCAGTTTTTGGAGGGAGGAATGCACTGAACATGATTGAATAGAGGAAATAAGGGAGTGAATTTCACTTTACGGTTAGATTTTAGGATTATAACTACGCCGAAAATGTTTTGTGAAGCCAAAAAAGAACATTTTCAAACTTTCGCTTTCAAGGAGACAATAAAACTGCGTATTGGGGTTAGTTTAGATTTTTCCATTACCGTAACGTGAAATTTATCCTGTACCTGCCGAAGACTTTTGAAATCGAGAAGCCCGCACTAAACGGTACTAACGGGTGAGACGGGCCTCGCCTTAAATTTAAGCTACGCATTGGCCAGGGGCTCATTCTAGAATGGTGTTCGGGGTGGCGGATCGTATCCCGTGTGTCTCTTTGACCAGCGAATTGAGCGTGAACAGGTTGAAAAGGTCGATGATTTGCAGTGACTCGTTCTTCTTGGCGGCCACTTTCTGAAAAGTCGGTGTTCGCTTTGTAAATTAAGGGCTCTAAAGGGGTTTTGCTGGTTTGCCGGGATGCTTTCGCCTTTGGGCACTGGTCTGTTAGCGGGGGGGGGGGGCTAATTTTTATTTTCCTAATCTGCCATATAGGATTTTATCTGTCGACTGATAGAAAGTTATATTTTTTGGCAAAATTTTGATTTTGTTGACGTTGGTATTTTTAATAGGCGATCTAGGAGAGCATTGTAAACAGTTAGCCACCCCACCCCCCCGCTAGTGAACCAGCGCCGAAATTCCCCCAATGTCCTTTTGCGTTTTGCCCGATATTTTCCTTTTAGTTATGATTTTCTGTACGCACCCGTATCGTTGGTATCCGCAACAGAATACTCGTGAACCGCTCCTGGGCCGCGTCGTCGACATTATAATTCTGGGTGACGTATCGGTGCAGGGCGGCGATCAACTTCTGCTGCTCGGCGCTGACGTTGCGCTGTGAGGCCGAGTCAAGGCCTTCCGTGTCTAAAGTTAGTTATTTCTCGGATGTATCAATGAAAGGCAGACTAGCAGAAAACCTTTAGAATTTCTTACCTGGGTCGAAAAACATGATGGCCTGTAGTAGGGAGAATTCTGTAGTTGATATGTTCAGCTGGCGAAAGGGGCGCATCACGTAGTCGATCACGCACGCCATCACTGGCGTTAGGCCGGAGAGGCTGTAACGGTCTTTGATTAGGTTTCTTGGAGTAGGGCTGGCTAGCAGAGAATCTTTGGGATTGAGGAGCGCGACAGGCTTTTAGAGTTTTTAGATGGTCTGCTAGCGACGATTAGCAAATATTTCAATAGCTTTTTATTAAAGCAGTTAAATTTCAAGTGGAATTATAAATTTCAAATTTTGGTCCAAAAAACCATATTTTTGTTTTTTTAATAATCTTTTGTAAGATTTAGGAACACCAAAAAATCTGTAAAATAAGGAAGAGTTAAAACCCGGCTAAGGGCAGCCAGCGCGGCTTCTTTGGGAAAATAAGGTATGAATGTTTAGAAATTAAAAAAGCCGGCCAACAAAATCGCTAATTCGGGATGAAAGTCCCGCTAGGCAAGCCAGCAGAAACGCCTTGCCTCGGGGCACATACCTTCCAGCAATGGGATAATTGCTGTTGGGTGCCTCTCCCATCTTTGTCTCTTTCGGCCACTCTTCTTCGCCAACTTTTTGCCGTTCGACGAGCAGCAACGGGTCGAAGAACGCGTGCATCGTCGATCGACCCTCCGTGCCCGTTGAGGGACGGCCTAAATGATGTGGGTTCGTAACGAATAGATAAACGGCGAGCGCCCCAAAGTATGCGTTTAAAATGTAACGTGTGAGAACGAGGATTCGCTAATTTGCTTTTCGTTGACGCACCGTAGTCAGCCGGCAGCCATCCACCATAGTCGGCGGGAAGACTCCCATATTCTGTCGGCAATCGTATCATCTCGGAACCATTTTGCGTCAGCTCTATCGTCGCCATCGGGTTTCTAAAAAAATTTCGTCTGTTATGCTTTTCTTTCCTTTATAAATTGGTGGTACTTTTGCATTATCGGGGGGGGGGTGACATTTCTTGTAGAGCGCCATAAACGCCTAGTAACTTAAAATTCAATGTTCCGATCGTAGTTTAGTAAAGTAGAACTACATTTTAAGTAAAAAACTACCTACAATCCTTTTAAAAAATTGCAAAAATGCCAAATCTTGGTTGAAAAATCGAGGATTTTTTTGTGAAAATTTCTGAAGATTTTGCGTTTATGAATAGTAAAAAACGGTTTAGAAACAGCCTCTTCTATTTATACGAGAAAGGTTGGTTTTCTGGCTTAGAAAGCCGATTTTGAGCATAGTTCAAAAAGATAAAAACCGTCGTATTCTTACGTGATTTCTAGAACTTACCCTAGTGCCGTCTCACGCAATATCCGATTCGTCACTTCCTGCTCATCCGTATGATCAGGGGTGCGAAACGCCTCGCACATGATCATATACGAGGAGGCATGGTTTGTTATTAGGGCTATCTGAAAGAATTATACCGTACTCTTGTAAGCAGAAGTGATATTCAGAAAGTACTAAAACGCACCTTATCGGAGTGGGGCAACCCGCGAAATGTGGAGAACGTCTTCACCCAATCCACGTAAAGGGCAATAATCCGCGATCGCCAAAAGGGCATCTTCTTCTGTTCATCGTCGCCGGATTCTGGGGTCACGATCGGGTCCGTCACCTGTAGCATTGATGCTTTTATTTTTTATGAATTAAATAAATTCTGAATAAACTATAATAATTATAGAGATCCATATTTTTTAACTTATTTTACAAACTGTTTAAAAATATTCATTTTTGAAAAAAAAGAGGAAAAGGTTTCTAAACTCGTTTTTCTACTATTCCGAAGCGCAAAAACTTGTAACTTTTTTGAAACACAATAAAGATATAGATTTCTCGCGCAAAAACTGACCGATTTAGAACATATTTCAAATTTTCTACGTTGTTTAGATGGTTTTCCTCATTGAAATATGTCTAAATTTGACTAAAAACACTATTAAAATACCTATTACATAGTTATTAGGCATTTCTGAACTCAGGAAAAATATAGCCTTAAAAACCTCACCTTCACATCAATGGGCTGATGAAATCTAGAAGCAGCGGCCAGGGCCTCGTCCAATGTCTTGTAGGGCTCGATGTGGCCACGGGAGAGCAGCAGCGTGAAGTTGTTCTCCAGCGCCGTCAGCCGCTCCATCAACGGGTCCAACGTATTCTGAAAGCTCTTTTTCAGAGCTTCAATTTAAGAACCAGTCAAAAAAAACTAAAGTAGTTCTGGGCCGTTAGCGGGGGGGGGGGTGGGGGGAGTTCCAGGGAAACCAAATTTTTTAATATAAAACAGATCAAGGGTTTCTAATGTTATATACTATTCTCAAACGTCAAACTTTACAAATTTCGATGAAAAAACACACAAAAACATCGATTTATCGGCCAAAATGCCAACTTTTTAAGCCTGTTTTAAAGTTTTTAGATAGCTTCTCAGGTTAAATTTTACTAACAACACTATTAAAATACTTACCATTACCTTATTAGGCATTTCTGGACTTATAAAAATGACAGCCCCTCCTGATAATGCGAAAGTACCGTTTTTTAGTAATTTTAATTTAGCAAAAATTTACGGGATCATGTGAAAAATTTATCCACCCGCTAACGCACCAGCACCGAAATTGGCTAAAATCTCCTACTCCAAATTTACAAACTCCTAACCGCGTTGTGTTCCGTTTGCCCGGGGCTGTGCGAGTGCTCATTTTGATCTGATGTCGAGGCCTCGCAGTCAAGGTCCGGGCTAAAATGGTAAATTAAAAATAGAAACTATAAACCAACTGACCTCAACTCTTTCTTGATGATCTTGTCGATCTTCCGTGTCCGTTTCGTGTACCCGATGCGGTCGCGGTCATTTTGAATCGCTGAATGAATAGATAAATACTGATGTTTTAAATATTTCTCACCATTGGTGTCCATGCCAGCCAGAAGACATTTTTTTCAATCGACAATGCCGACAAGCGCATCTGACACCTGGAGAAAGGAGGGTTTCGGAGTGCTATCGACACTCTTTTTTCGCAACAGATTTTTAGGTTATTTTGCATTACCGGGGCGGGGGGGGGAGGAAGGATTTTTTATAATCCCAGAAATGCATAATAACGTAATAACAAGTGTTTTAATAGTTTTTTTAGTAAAATTTAGGCAAATTACACCGGAAAAACCATTTAGAAAACCTTTAAAAATTTTGGTCCAAACATAGATATTTTTCCTATTTGTAAAGTTTTGACGCTTACTCGTGTCGTTGATCAAATTCAAAATCAGTTTTGAAACACTTCCTCTATTTAGCTTAGAAAAATTGGTTCCTCAGGAAAAGCCCCTCCCCCCAATAACGCAAAAGCAGCCTCTTTCATTAAAATTGGAGTACACAAAATCAAACATTATTTGAAAAATTTTTCAGTTAAAATGTAAATTTCCGTAAAACATCTAACTGCCAAAAAATAAAAACGACAAAACTCCGTACCTTTATTAACCGCACAATTGCCATCACCCATACAAACAAAGTTGCGCTTGTTCTAAAATTCAAATTTTTTTAACTACAATAGGCTTCGATTATTTCGCAAAATTACCCACCACAATGGCGCGACGGAAGAACGTTTTGCACCCGTTGCACGACGCCACATTATAGTGGTTACCCGTTGCCACGTCTTCGCACACTGCGCATAGTGTACCTGCAAAAATGGTTGAATGGCAATATGAAAATTATTAAAATGCTAAAAATGACAATTTCATTGAATGATTTTCTTAATTTAACTTTAGCCCTAAGACAATTTTCTCGGCCCTTTGACGGCATTTTTTAAAACGGGTACTGGGCTGCTAACGGGGGGGGGGGACTGTCAAGGGAGCTCTATGTCGCCTTACTTTACCGCATTTTTAATATATTTTTATATCGTTTTTAGTAGCTTTAATTACTAAAGAGTCGTCAAAAGATTTTCACCCTTCCCAAAAACGTCAAAATACAATAATGCTATAAATATGGTTACTCGGGTCTTTAGGGGACAAGCCATATTCCGCCTCCCCCGCTAACAGTGTAGTACCTGAAAATCCCATAAAAACAACTCTCACCTGGCGGCAATTTTTCAGACATTATTGGCGATAGAGAGATTGCGGAGGCATAGGGGAGGGATACTGTAGAAGGGCCGCGCCGCGGGACGCCGTGAGATCTGCCCTGGAATTTTACTGATGAATGTGTACTTGATGGACCGGATGCGGAATTGGAATTTGGTGCCTGGGAAAACAAGAGAGAGAGAGAGAGAGAGAGGAGAGAGAGAGAGAGAGAGAGAGAGAGAGAGAGAGAGAGGGAGAGAGAGAGCAGAGCTAGATCGAGATAGAGAGAGGCAAACTAGCATTGATTAGTTGTCGAAATACATTCCGAAGATCAGAATAATACCAAAAAAAACTTCCGAAGAATGGGCGGGTCGAAAAGGTGCTTGACGTATTGGCGGGGAGGATGTTTTGGCTGGGACCGAGAGAGAGGGAGAGAGAGCGAGAGAGCGAGAGAGAGTGAGAGGGAGAGAATAGGTGGGCAGAATTCCCAGAAGTGTACTTACTTCTCGGAATCGACGGCCAAATACCAGCTAAAGTTTATTCGCTAGCTACGAATTTATTTGAATTCCGGCGGGTACTGAACTGTTAGCGGGGGGGGGGCATTTCTTTCAATACAGAAAGTTGCAAAATATCTTGGGTTGGGTCAAAAATGTCTGAAAATGATCAGAACTTTGTTATTTTTATTTTTAAAGGTTTGTTAGGATTTCTTTTAATAAGCAAAAACTTCTAAAACTATTATAAAACGTACTATAAAATACAAAAGCGTGGTAGGGAAGTAAAGGATAGATCGCTTTCCACCCCCCGCTAACAGTCCAGTGCCTCCCGATTAGGTTCAAAAAGACAGCAACAGGAAGGGAAAAACCGAGCCCGAGGAGCCCAAAAAAGGAGCGTCAGAATGGGAAAAGAGCGAAAATATAGAACCACTAAATTCCTAAAAGGATTACAACCGTCCATGAAAAACAAAAAGTACAATCGCACCTAGATCGAGCACCAAGATTAATATTGGAGGACGAGAGAGCGATTTTCGTAGAGAGACTCAGAGAAACAGAGTCCTACGAAGTGGACGTACCCAGAAGCCGTATCAAAATCTACACCCCAAAAGTGCCCAATTCGCACGTGTACCATCTGCGAAAATCGCTCGTCAAGATACCGGGAAACAGTGAAGAGCGCTGGCAAAATCCAGGTGAAATAAGGTGCAAAACTTGGAAGTTTATAGGTATTTTGCTAAAAATAAAAAGCGCAGGCTTTTAAACGAGGATCTAGCTAAATTCCAACAAAAAGAAACAGCTTAAAACGGTTCTGAATCGACAATAAAACTTTATAAATCCAAAACCAAAAAAATCGAACTGAAAAAATAAATGTTTCTTGCCAACAAACAACGAAAAAGGGGGTAAAGAGCTCAATTCATCCCAAAAAGGCTCCAAATAACAGCTTCAAACCGTTCTAAACCGAAGATAAAACTGTACAAATTTGCTTGTAACCAAGCAATACTCAAAAAAGGAGGTGAAAAGCGGAATCTAGCTGAGAGGACTTCTAAAAAAAGCTTGAAACGCAACGAAACGATGTGTCCAATGAAATTTTCGGTAAGAAAGCTCTAGATAAAAATTTCAAACAGTTCTAAATAGCAAATTAAACTTTAGAAGCCAAAAACTCAGTTTTAAATCTGGTTTTCACCAAGAAATACTCAAAAAGCTGATGAAACATATAATCTACCAGAAAAAGTTATCGATAAAAGCCTCAAACGCTTCTAAATCGCGGTTAAAACATTATAAAACGGAAACAGAATCGTGTTTCTGGTAATAAAGCTCTAAAGAAAAGCCTCAAACCGTTCCAAATCGAAGATAAAACATGTCAATCGAAAACTAAAAAGTTTTAACCTAATCCCCAGAAATTATTACGCAAAACCCTGGGAAAACAGGGCGGCCGATGGGTGGGTGGAGAGAGAAAGAGAAAGAAAGAAAGAGGACGGCAAGCAAATCAATACGTGCACTTGGCCGTGGAATGGGCGAGAGAGAGAGAGAGAGGAGCGAGTAGAGAGACAGAGACAAGGCGAGAGAGAGCGATAGAATGAGAGGATAGAGATCTCTCGGAGGGGGAAGGTAGGCAACACATACATACCACATTCACACTAAATAATTAGGTATCGCGGGGCAGCTGCGGGGGATTGGAAATGGAGAAATGAGGGCCACCAGAATTCTACTTCCCCGTTTAGAACAGGGAAGTGAGGGGGAGGGGACTGGCAGAGATCATTTGGGAGAATCTCGAACTTCTAGAGCTTTCTAGGCGTTTTAAGCTTGAGGAAAACTGACAGAGATGATTTCGGGAATATTTAGTTTTAGAGTCGTATAGGTCCGATTTTAAGCGCCTAGCAATCTGGCAGAGATCATTTAGGAAATTTCAGTGACGTACGAGCAAAAACGCTTTGGGAATTTATCCCGCTGCAGCCGGGCTGCTAGCAGAAATTTTTGAGGAAAATTCATAAAGCTTGTGGCAAGCTAGCAGAGGTACTTTGAGAATTGAGAACATGTATGAAAAATGGCAGTAATTTCTAGATCTACATCGCCAATTTATTTTGCCAGGCAAGCCAGCAGAGATTTTTCAAGAACTTATCAAAAATTGGCCAATATTGGTCGCGAGATAGCCGAGATTCTTTGGGAAAGCTGGAGGCAATCGAGCATAGATCATTTGGGGAGAGCATCAAGCTAATTAAAAAATCTGGAAGCGGTCAGCTTGCCGAGATTCTTTGAGGAAAAAGAACAAACAAAAAAACGCATCGGCAAAAGAATAATAAAATTTCCAAACCTGGAAACGGGAAGTTAGCAAATTTCGTTGGAGAAAACTGGACAATCGAGCAGAGATCACTTGGGAAAAACTCAGCGTTTGAAATAAAGAACGGGCCGGCTAGCAGAGATTCTTAGGGAAACCAGGCAATCTAGCAGGGTTGCTTTAGGACACTAAATCCAAGTCCCTAACGCGCATTTCCCAAAAGCTCTCTGCAAGCCGCCCCTGATTGTTCGCCCCGTGCGCAGAAAAGGACTATTTGCTCTGACAGGCCAAAAAACTGTCAGTTGCAGCTAGTGGGGGGAGGCAGGAAGAAACATGGGAATGCTGAGGAAACGTGCATTCGGGGTGCAGAGAGAGATTCTTGCATTTCCTGACCCAACCCACAAAGATCCGCGCTATAAGATATGAAAAATGGGGAGAAGCTGAAAAGCGGGGGTTGCCGAAATGATAGATAAGAAGATGGTAAAATGGAACGGGCTAGCGAAAGATCGGTATTTTATCAAAGGTCCGGAAACGTTTTAAAAACATACTCTGACTCGGGAAATGATAGCTACAATTTTTATACAATTCGAGGTACTTTTGTATTGACGGGGGGAGGGGGTTATCGAGGGAAAACCAAGTTTTTTCTCTTCTTATTATCCAAATTTTTCAATATAAATAGAGAAAGTTTTTCTAAACAGTTTTTTTTAGTCCAAACCCTAAAAACTGTACAAATTTTTATTAAAAAATACAAAAATATCGATTTTTCGACCAAAAATGGCCGATTTTCGACGAAAATTTCGAATTTTGAAGTTTTTTAGAAAGTTTTTCGATACTAAAGCTATCAAAACTCTTATTATTACGTTATTAGCCAATTTACGACCACCCCTCCCCCCCGATAATGCAAAAGTACCCATGGTAGCTTTTTGATTTTGTTGCGGTCAAAAATAATTTGATCGCCAAAAATCTTCAGAAAATGTTGATTTTTCTGCCTTAAAAATTTAGAAAATGCCAACGTTTATAAATCGCAAAGAATAAAAGCTTTTGATGAATTGGTACAGCAGAAAAAGCTGAGAAAAATCTAGGTAAAAATCATATTAAAAAGTTATTAAAATCTATCCAAGTTCCGCCCAAAAGCATTTCTGACCCGAACTAAGGATAGTATTGATAGCATCAGGCCACAACTTATGAGAGGGACAGGGGAGGGCGAGATAGTGGAAAGTGAGAGAGCGCCGAGAAACAGAGCCGATCTCTGCCCACACGGGCCTATAGCCCAGACATCATCACGACCAGGGTCTAGTCCCGCTCCTTCTCCTTCTCCCCACCCACAAAAAGAGCAGCTCCTCTTGACAGGGCCCTCCCCCCGACGTCCTCGACCCTCCTTTTCACTCCCCCATTCCATTCTTTCCGTTAGCCGGAAACGAGGAAATAGTTGCGCCTCGGAAATGCCCTCTAAAGAGTTTTTCGGGTTTCGAGGGTTTAGAAAATTCCGGTTCTGGAAATTGCGATTATAAAAGGTTTAGAAAAATACAAAATAACAGAAAAGCGAAAAAATCTCACTCTCACGCATCGGCAAGTATTTCAATACTTTTTTAGTAAATTTTAGCTCGATTTTAAGTGGAAAACTATCTAGAAGAAAACGAGAAAAAATATATTCGTCGATTCTTGCTTGAAACAAGTCATATTTTTGCAAGTTTAAGTTTAAATTTGTAACGTTTTGACGTCTAGGAAGAGACAAAACAGTTTAGAAACCTTACAAATGTTAACTCTAAATTAATTTTAGAAAGAAGTTTAGAAATTCTAAGGAAAAAGGAAAAAGTATGCAAAAGCGCCAAAATTTGTAAAACTCGAAAGTAAGAGAATGGGTTTCGCAGGCGAACGTCAGTATAACCTCATGTCCGTCCCGTTCAGCCTCCATCCACCGGAAATGGGCATTAGTGGTCGAGAGGTGGATGATGGACATCCTCCACCGTTTCCTGGGGGGACGAAAAAGGGATGTCTACCCAAGAAGGCATCATCATAATTCGATGCCGAGTTGGCACGAGGTATTAACGGGTACTTTCGCATTATCGGGGGGGATGGGCAAATTTTTTAAGGATTGAAAGAGCATAATTTTTCAGGAAAAAGTGGGAATAGATGTGTTTCATTCCCCGGATCGGATGCGTTTTTCCAGGATTTTTTAATAAAGTATTTTCTCAGTGCGCATGCAAAATTCGACACCTAAAACATGACACTTACGTTTTTTAATAGACTTCCGCCCCTAATTCTGCTCCCTCAAACTCGACGCAACTCCTGACTTATGAGTCGGTTTTTGATAAAGATAAAGCTCGATTAAATGATGAAGAAAAAAAGGCACTGCCTTGGAAAAAGAAACACCAATTTTCAATTGTAAATCAACATTAGCAAATTTCGCACGGTTCGCATGCTTATACTACTGCCCATAAGTTACTAACGGCCAATAATAGCCCATAATGGGCCTTGCTGCCAGGAAAGAAGGAAAATGAAGAAACCTGGGAATGACAAAACGAAATCAAGCCATAAGCATGCAGAATAAACGATTCATCGCAATCTTTTTCGGCCCTGACGGCGAAACACATCTCCGGTATTTGGTAGAAACATTTTCCAAAAATGCTCGGCCGAAGCACGAGCTGGAGAAACATCTTGCATCTCACTTTAAGCGTCAAAAAAAGCCAAGAATACTTTAAAAGAGCCCAACCTATCACACACACAGTTGTCGTAAAAACCAGATTTTTAAAAGGCTTTATTCGCAGCGAGGGTGGGGGCGTAAAAATACACGACATTGATAACTACCGTATCTGAATCGGGGAAGGGGGAGGGCTGAAGGGGAAGCGAATTTGTATCCCTATCACAGCACCAGTCGAGACGAGCCAAGCGAGAGAGTGGTGGGATGAGAGAGAGACGGAAAATGAGAGAGAGGGATTAAGAAAAAGCACAGAGACGCAGAGAAAAGGAGTGGCAAATGAGCCGAGACTTGTTGAAGATGTTGGTGATGTCGTCGAGTCGCCTGCTGCATCCACCCTCTCACTCGTCGTTGTCGCTGCCGCCGGCGGGTTTGACGAGGGGCTGGCCGCCGCACGTCGCCCACACCTTCTCAAAGTCATGCTCCAGGATCTCGGCGCCCTGCAAAATAAAGTTTTGGTGAGCAGCAGCCAAGCTCCGACCTTCATCCACGGCAGGGCCGTCTGGTCGAGGCGCTGCGGGCACATCTCCAGATCGTCACGGCCTGAAATACCGTGCATTAATACAAGGTCAACCTCTCCAAAACGTACCGGCAATGAGCAGCACCGCTTCTCCGGTGTTGCGCACCTCAATCTGGCGCTGGACCCACTGGCCGTTGAAGTGGGCGTACCACATTCCCTTCGGCGGTCCGAAGCTGCGCACGACAGCGGTAGCTAGAAGAGCCTCGGTTTCGTTGGTATTTCCAGAGAAACAAACTTTTCTTTAGAATCCATTTTTCTAAAATGTAAAAAGGAAATGTTATTAACTTTATTGATTTTATTGACTTTTTTTGTTCACTCCTAGCAGTTCAAAAATATTCTAATTTTAGTTAAAGGGCTGCCGACGGCATGTGTCGATCCCCCCCCCATCAACAAATTGGCAAGTAGCCAACAGGGGAGAGAGCGCGCCCAGGGGAGAGGCGCAGAGACATTTTCTTTTCAGCGCGTAACCGATTGACTATGCCGTCGGCATCCCTTTAAAGGGCTAGTTCAGCGAATAAAACAAAAGAATTTCCGCGGCCAGGAGTCGAACCCTCTCTGTGTTTTTGTGTCTGCGCCTCTCTCATTTCCCCGATCTCTAATAGCTGTCGTAATGGGGGACGGTTCGGGCGCACTGTGCCTACGTCCATAGTTTCCCAAGGTACCAGCCCAAGCTCTAAAAGTTGAACGAGCCCTTTAAGAACACAAAAAATAATAGCGATTTTCGACAAAAAAAGGCAATTTTCCAAGAAAAATTTGAAAATTTTACACTTTTCTAAATAGTTTTCCACTTGCAAAATATGTTTAAAGTGTTAAAATGATTAGATTCATTCGAAAATTAAAAATAAAGAATTTTGATAGAAAACCGTACGGTTGCTGGACTGCATCATGGCGAGCGGCACCTCGAGCGGGGTCTTGAAGTAGCGCTGCTGGGTGGAGACGAGGTTGGCGATGGGCTGGGCGCCGACGAGCGTCCTCTTCGGCTGCTCCGTCTTCTGCAGGGCTAACGGGACGTGGCGGGTCGCCTCGGTCTTCTTCTCCTTGTCGGTCTGGTTCTTCGTCTTCCATTCGCTGAACGTGCGGAGACGGCGGTGGAACTCCTCCTTGCACGCCACCACCAGCTCGGCGTCTAGAATATTTTGGGTTCAATTAAATTTTTAATTATTTTTACAGGTTTTTTGCTCAAAAAGTTAAAAACAGTGGAAAAACGCTTCCGGAACTTATATAAAAAAATCTAGAAAAAAATTGGTTTAGGAATAGGAAAATTTTTGTCCCCCCCCCACCGATGTTGCAAAAGTACCATGAACCCAAAACCCCACAGCCTTACCGTCAGAGGTGTTGATCTGCTCCCGGAGCGCGGCGTATTTCCACGTGGCCAGGTCGTACTTGGCGCGCTTGGCGGCGCTGGGGCCACCCGAGGCCACCGGCGACGACGATGCGGTCGGGGGCGGGGCGACAGCGGTTGGCGGGGGCTCGACAAGGGTGGCCTGGCCACGCTCCTCGGCGGCCAGGCGGGCGGCCAGCTGGGCGTCGAGCTGTTCTTGCTGGGCGATGCGGGTGGCGAGCATGGCGTCCTGGCGCACTTGTTCGGCGCGGGCCAGCAGCTCCTCCCTCTGCTGCTCGAGGCGGGCCAGGTGGACGCGTTCCGCACGCTCGCGCTCCTCCTCCAGCTCGCGGCGCCTAGAAAGCGATGCAAAAATTAAAAAAGCTGGGTACTGGGCTTTTAGCGGGCGGGGGCTTTTGCCTACAATAACGGAATATCGCCATTCTATTAAAATTTACGCTGCGCTACGTTCATAAAAAAAGCAACCTCCAAAATTCAAAGTACTTCAATTTCTTAGATTTTAACATTATGAAATTTTTTTAATGATTTTCTCACTTCCGCTCGTTCTCCTCGCGCAGCTGGGCAGCGGCCAGCTGCTCAGCGTGGGCGGCCTCCTCGCGCTCGCGCTCCAGCTGCATCTGGCGCTCGATGGCGGCCAGGCGCTCCGCCTCGTCGGTGGCCATTTGGCCTCTGAAAAACGACGTTTTTTTCGCGTGGAGCAAGAAACACCAACTTGAGGGCGGAGATGATCTTGTCAACGCGGCGCACGCATTCCTCGTAGGCGTCCGTGTTGGCGGCCAGGTCGGATTCCTGGTCCTGAAACGGGCCTTTTAAACTTTTTCCTGCGGGGCGGGTTGGTCAAACCCATGAAATAAAAGTGTTTTCTATTATTTGAGACCAGTTTTAACGATATTTTAAGCCGAAAACTTGAAAAATGTTTGGAAAGCCGAAAATTTTGTGATTTTGGGAGCAAAAAAGTCAAATTCGCAGCTTTTTGCGATACTTTCCTACATTTTTGCACGGTTTGCTGCTTGATATAATAGAAGCAACAATGCTCGTGCTCAGAAATAGTTATAAACAATCTACAAACCGATTCGCTATGTATCTAAAAAACTAAATCCAATTTCCTATTAGAAAAAATCCAGATTATTAGAATCTAGATAAATCTATAGTTTTTCCACTTTTCTTTCCACAAAATATACCTTGCACTCCCCGAGAAGTGCGACGAGCGCCTTCTGCGTGCCATCCACTTCCGGTTCCCATTCGTCCTTCGAGGCCCGCGCCAGCTGCTCGACAATCCCTTGCATTTCGGTGCCGCGGCGTGTCAGCGCCTCAACCTTCTTGAAGAGGGCCAGGCGGGGGAGGGTGCGACGGCGGGCGAGGAAGCCGCGCACGAGGCGCTGGATGGTGCGCAGGCGCTCGGCGCGGTATTCGATCTTGTTCTTGAGTTTGATGACGCTCCACACGCCGTATTGGGCCTTGCGCCAGCGGACGTTGAGCAGCCACTGCTTCACCTTCGCCACCAACAGGGCCATCGCCGACGGGTCTTGGCGGAGAAGCTGAAAAAGTGGTTGAGGTGCAACAAGGCGAGCAGGGGCTACCTGGTCAAATTCGGCAAACTTGGCCGGGCGGAAGAACACCTTGGTGAGCCCAAACTTGAAGTCGGTGGTGTCGAGCCCGAGCACGCGGAACAGGCACTAAAAATGGTGTAAAAACGGGCGAAAAAACTGACCTTGCAGAAGAGGCGCGGGTCGAGGCGGGCCAACTCGGGCGGCAACACGGACGCGTACATGTCGTAGAGCTCCTTGAAGCCGGTGCGCGACGGGTAGCCGGCGTGCATCAGGCGCAGCACCGAGCCCATGCCCGCGCATCGCAGCTGCCCCAGCACGGCGGCCCCCTCGAACTTCCACGGCGACATCGACGAGTTCGGCTTGACGCACCGGACAAAGTGCGTGCCCTAAAAATATACATAAAACCAGATACGCAAAAACTTGCCGTGAGCGCCAACTTGTCGATGAGTTGGGCGAGCTGGGTGCGGAACTTGGAGCCGACGGAGGGGACGACGAGACGGCTGCGGCCAGGGGTCGACGGCGCTGCGGCAGCGGCCTCCGAGGTGTCGAAGAGCAGCTTCATCAGGGGCATTCTAAAACAAAAGAATAATGTCGACGATGAGAATACATACGTGCTCGTCTCCATGATCGCTTCGAGGGAGGCGTGCAGGGCGTCGTTGTTCTTCTCCAAGAAGCCGGCCGTCTGGTAGCAGACCGTGCCGGCAAAGTGGCGGACGAGCAGGCCGTCCTCGTCGCGCATGCCGCGGTGCTCCTTCAGCATCGATTTGCGGGGCGCCTACAAGCAGTTTTAATCAAGCACATTAAAAATCTCGAAAAATTTTGATTTTGGATCAAAAATATGTGAAAAACGACCAAAAAAAGCTTTTCAAAGCGTTTTAAAACATTTTTAATTTTCTAACTAATAAAAACTATAAAATGCTGCTATAAATAAAGCAGGTAAAGATGGAAAAACAGCATTTAGTTATCTCGCCCCAGCCAATAGCTCAGAACAAAATGCTTACATCCAGCCGGAAGTGTTTCTGGTTGGCCCGGTGGACGCCCTGGGTGAAATTCGCGGCGGACGGCTTGGGAAGGCGCATCTCCTCGTCGAGCAGGTCGAGCATGCCGGTGCCCTTCTTCTCGAAAAGTTCTAAAAACAAAGTCTTCGTTAAAAAAGGAGGAAGCGCACCAATGCAATCCTGGTTGTCGGCGTACTCGATCTTGGCCACGCCCAGCCCCTCGGCCTCGTACAGCTCCTGCTCTTGCTTGAGGATGCGCTCGTTGAAGAAGTGCTGCAGCTTCTCGTTGCAGTAGTTGATGCAGAACTGCTCGAACGAGTTGACCGTGAAGTATTCTGAAAGAAAAGTAGCGAAAAACTTTAGCAAATCGTACCAAAGCCAGCAATATCCAGGACGCCAATGTAGTTGTGGCTGTTGGTGAACGGGATGCTCCTAAAGACAAGAAAACTCCTCAAAAGGCAATAGTGTGAATACTTGTTGATGGTGGCGACGATCCAGTCGAACAGGCGCGAGTAGATGGCCTTGGCGAGGGCGTCGCGGGCGGCGGCCGCTTCAGCAGGCTTCAACGGGACCCTGGAAAAAGGATAGTCATTTGGGTAGAGATAAAATAGCAGAGAAAGATCGATCAAAGCACTAAAAGTATCGTCGAAATCATTATGACAATATAAAGGTATTGAATATGGGTTTTCCGGGCTGCTAGTAAGTTTTTGCGCGTTTGGTTCAAATTCGCTTTGCCAAGATACTTTTTGACGCTCTATCAGTTAGAGCGATTGCCCGGCTGGACTTTATGCACCCCGTCACTCTATGCGGACCGGTGCGGATTTTTTGGTAATTTTGTGGCTTTTCGTAACCCAAAAACGCACAAAATGAGGGTGCCCTTGACGCCTCCACGGGTGGGCTGCATGGCGCGGGTGGTGAGCGACATTCGCAGCTGCTGCCCGTCAATTCCCAGCATTCCGGCGGCCCTCACGGCGGCCAGATCACCATCGCCCGGCGCGACGCGGCTTCCGTCTAAAATGCGACAAATTAAAAAGGTAATATTGGGCCGTGGGATAAAGGGCTTTGTATCATCTAGGCGTTTTTACATCCAAATAAGCCGCACAGTTGTAGAAATCAAAAACTCCACATTTTTAAAGTTCGCTCGCCAGCTGTCAGTCCAATACCACGAAAACCCTCACCTTTTCCGCCCTCATCATTCGCGACAAACTCGACGTTGCCAAGGTGAAGCACGCCGGCGACGGTGCTGAGCAGCTGCTTGCGGGTCGTCTCGTCGAGGCCGCACTGCTCCAGGCAGGCGAGCAGGCGCTTGAAGTCGCCGGCATCGTCGACGACCGGATCGATGCACGTCTTTCCCTGAAAAAGACAGAATTTAAAGCTCGGCTCGCATTTTCATACCTCGGCGGCCAATCGGTCCTGACTGATGGCGTTCTCGCTGTCGGCGCGGGCGAAGAAGTCGACGCTACCACGGCGGAGGTACTAAACGAAAAGTATAAAATTTTTAATTTTTTTAAATAAAAATAAGGGAACACGGAAAAATAATAAAAATACCAATAAAACAAAAAGAAAAAGGATAAGATTAGAAGAATTCTAGAAAAGCAAATTTTGCCTTGAGTCATCATGTGAAGCCTAGCCTATCGAGCGTAGCCATGAGAACCATAAGAATTTTACAAAAAACTTTTTACTTTTTTACTTTTACAAAAAAGGCGACTCCGTGACACTCCTTTAGCCGTCGATTGGAAAGTTGCGTACTAAATGGGCGTGTTTTCCGTCAAATTTGTTTTAGGTTCAAAAATTCGATAAATTATTTCTAAAAAACAATATAAAATGTCGAAATTCATTTTTCGGCTTGTTTTTTTTGCGTAAAAACCTACATGGAAGCGATCAGGCGGCGCGAGGCTGTACAGCTTGTACATGTCGGCATCGGCGCCGGCGATCAGCTGGTAGAAGATGTGGTAGTTGCGCTCCCCATCCGACTGGCCGACGATGCGCGACTTCTCGAGCAGGTAGTGCGACACGTGGCCGCCAGTCACCGCATTCTAAATAGCATACTTTTAGGTGTTGCTCGGGCCGGGAACCTTATTGTCAAAGTGGATCTCGACGAATTTGCCGAAGCGCGAGCTGTTGTTGTTGCGGCTCGTTTTGGCGTTGCCGAACGCCTCGAGGATCGGGTTGGCTGTAATCGTAAAGGTATCGGTTTTTATTAAAATTCAATGATTTTAAGGCTAGAGGTTCTAGACTTTTGACGTACTTTGAAAAATTGACTATTTTAAGTTGTTTCGTAATATCCGGTGAAGCCGCGGGGAGGGGGGGGAGGCTTTTTCTTAGCATCCAGTTTTTGCATTTAGATAGTGGAAGCGTTTTTGGCAGACAAAAACGCACTCTCGAGCAGCCGCTGCTGGATGGGCCCGGCGGTCTGGCCCCAATTCTCGCACAAATACTTGAGGACGGCCTTCTGGCTCTCCGTCTTGCCGGCGCCGGATTCGCCGGAGACGAGGATCGACTGTGAGCGGCCCTGGCGGCGCATGTCACGGAACGCCATGTCGGCTGGAAAAGACCAGGTAAATTAATTACTTCCTTGAACCGGCTAACCAATGGCATAGACATGAGGGGGCTGTTGGCCGATGGATTTGCCGCTGTAGGAGGCCATCGTCTCCGTCGAGTACAGGCCGGGCACCTCGGCGTACGGGTTGATCGAGATCAGCATGTTGGCCACGTACGTCTGAAGCAAATGTGGTTTATTTGGTACTAGGCTGATAGCGTGGGGGTACCCGATTTTGGCCTACGTCTTCCCCCCCCCCCCGTTAATAGCTCAGTACTAAATCCTCTCAATTCCCAAAAAAGTTACATAGATCTGGTTTTCATTGGCAAAGCGACGGCGGCAATTCTCGAGGAGACTGCCCTCATTGAGGTACATCAAGGCACAGTTGTCATCGTACGTCGTCCCATCCGTCGTCTCTTCAGCAGGAAGGACGTCGTCGGCTTTCACGTCCACCTAGAAAGTAGAGGCTACAAAAAGCAGATTCGCTGTGCTATCGAGGTAAGTCCGCTGATATCATCCCCAGCCGGGCCTCCTACGTTTCTATCTTGGCTCCCCGTTTGGCTAAAAGTGTGTAAAGTATGCCGAAATGTTCGTCTTGGTTTTGCGAGTATTTTGACATACTTTACCCCCCCTCAACGACAAAGTTGAGCCGGGATACAGTAGGTGAGGCACAGTTTTGTAACTTTTGTAACTGTAAATTTCTGCTACACGACTAAGATGCTCTCTGTGTTGTATAGCTGCCTAGTAACAAAGCATAGTGTCTTTCTTAGCTGTAATAAAAAGACATATGAAAAAATCTACAGAAGTTTTCGAAATTTTGAGTTTAGCTATTTTCCTACATTTTCATGAAAAATGCCATACTTTTGAACGTACTTTACTTATACTTCTTTTCTATAGTAAGCCGTGTCGAAAATCGAAAACCGAAATAAAATAGAATTTCCAACGAGAAAAATGTATGTTTTTATAATAATAATTTAGTCTAGGGATCACACCTCCTTTCCATCGACGCGGCGCTTGACGGAGAGGGCGTTGGCGCGGATGTCGGTGATGTCGCCGAGGACGTAGCTGAAATTCGTATGTTTCAAAGAATACAAACTGCATATTTGGCGCAAAAATCAAATTTCTCACCCATTGGCCGGATCGGGAACCCAGACGACGCGCTCGAAGCCGATGCCCTCGGAGCCTTGGCGGGTGATTTCCATCTTGGTGAAGCTGTTGAAAAGCTGCAGTCGGAAAAATATGGGGTCAAGCGGCAGGTTTTTCTTTTTATACCGAGTGGTAAATGCAAATTTTGCACAGCTTCCGGTCGGCGGTTTTATGTAAATTGTTTCTAGATTCCGCTTCGCGACTCTCCCCCGCTGGACCATGTCAAGGCACCCTGAATTGGGCGCCTTTCCAAATCACACTACCCGGACTTTCTTCGGTCTCTTTCTACTCATAATCACTTCTTAAATAAAACAATTTGAGGAATACCGATATATCTGATACACTAAAAAAAATACGCTAAAATAAAAAAAATTGAAGCATACCTGGTACTTTTGGCCTGCGGCGCTAGCTTATGCGGCTAGCTTCCTTCCTAAGCTCGCGGCGCTAGTTTGAGTGGCCAACTCTGTATTTAAGCCTGCGGCGCTAGCTTGTGAGGCTACCTTAATTCTTTAGCCTGCGGCGCAAGTTTGAGCGGCTAGCTTTGTTTCAAAGCCTGTGGCGCAAGCTTGGCAGGCTAGCTTCATTTTTTAAGCCTGCAGCGCTAGCTTATGCGGCTAGCTTCGTTCTAAAGCCTGCGGCGCTAGCTTCAGAGGCTAGCTTGATTCTTTAGCCTGCGGCGCAAGTTTGGGCGGCTAGCTTCGTTTTTAAGCCTGCGCCGCAAGCTCGTGCTTCGACGCCATTCGTTAGCCTGCGGCGCAAGTTTGAGCGGCTAGCTCGTTCTAAGGCCTACGGCGCCAGCTCGAGCGGCTGACTTCGTTCTAAAGCCCGCGGCGCTAGCTTGAGCGGCTGGCTTCGTTCTAAAGCCTGCGGCGCTAGCTTGAGCGGCTGGCTTCGTTCTAAAGCCTGCGGCGCTAGCTTGAGCGGCTAGCTTCATTCTAAAGCCTGCGGCGTTAGCTTGAGCCGGCTAGCTCGTTCTTAAGCCTGTGGCGCTAGCTTCAGAGGCTAACTTGATTCTTTAGCCTGCGGCGCTAGATTGTGCGGCTAGCTTCGTTCTAAAGCCTGCGGCGCTAGCTTGAGATCATTGCTTCATTCCCAAGCCCGCGGCGCTAGCTTCAGCGGCTAGCTTCGTTCTAAAGCCTGCGGCGCTAGCTTCCCCGGCTAACTACGTTCTAAAGCCTGCGGCGCAAAATACAACGGGCTTCTTTTTTCATAAGTCTGCGGCGCTAGTTTCAGCGCCTGACTGGATTCGTTAGCCTGCGGCGCAGGTTTGAGCAACTACCTTCGTAATAACGCCCCCTACACGGACATGCACTCCGAAACGCACTCAATCAAGTAAAAAGCAAAACAACCGCGATGGGCGGGGGTCGAACCTCTGATGGATGGATTGGCACGCCCGACGTTCTAAACACTACACCATGAAAGGCTTGGGAGCACGCGCGAAACACCCATTTTATACCTTTGTGCATTCCGAAGCATTGACCATTTATTCACTATCAACGAATTTCGATATTCTCCTCCGTACGATACACGCCAATAAACAGTGGCTATTCGGCCTTCACTTCCGACGATTGGCTTGTCTTCTTTGCCGGCGTCTTCTCGGTGCTGATCGGCTTCTTCTCGGCGGGCGGGCAGATCGTCAGCACCGTCTCCAGCCGGTCCAGGTTACGCTGAAAGGTTGGGGACTGGACGGTTAGCGGGGGGGAGGGTGTTAGTATTGGCGGCAGAGCCGGCTAGCTGCAATTTTTTGCGTTTTATACTATTTTTGATCGCTAAAAATCATAAAAACATTTCAAAAAATGAATCGAAAAATCAAAACCAAATCAAAATCAATCAAATAAGTCAAAAGATCAAAAGATCAAAATTTTAGATTTAACTAATTCTTATGAGCTTTTGATAGTCAAAAAGGCGTAAAACGCTATAAAAATATGTCTGTTTCCTTACCATATGTACGCCGGTGTAGTAGAGCGTGTGACCGTAGATGATCGTGCCCACCGTCAAGATCCAGCCGACCACACTTTCCGGGATGTGATTCATCAAGCCTGAATTGATAGAAAATTGGCTTCGATCCCCAAGAATCTCTGCCAGCACGCCCACTTAAAATTTTCAAAATTCGATTTGAGTTTTTACTATCTTGGTTTCCTGAAGAATCTCGGCTAGCCTGCCCTCTACAAAAAGTCGCGTCTGGATAATTTTGGAATAACGGCGCATTTTGTGAAAAAATTCCCGAAACATCTCGGCTAGTTTTCCCGCGCCAATCCTAACGATTCTTACCGCCATTGCACGTCCCCAGCGGCCGGTAGTTGAGCGTGAAGGTGAGCGTGGCCGCGTCGGCGGCGAACATGATCGTCTGCAGAAGTAAAATCGGACTCGAAATCGGCAAACCGAAGCCACGACGCTGGCCAGCTTAAAGGCGCGGCCGCAGCCGTGTGGTTGGATCGACATTTGGAGCTGAAAGAGAATCGTTGAAATGGATCTAACGTTATAACGGTAATGGAGTGTTAGCGGGGGGGGGGGGCTAATATTGGCTGTTCCCAATAATAAAAAAAACGTTATCTACATAGCTGGTTACGCAATTTTCAAGCGGAGAAACTTCATAAAATACAAATTCACTTTTTGCTAGTTTTTAGGACTTTAGATTAGCCAAAACTCCCAAAAAAAACTATAAAATACAATACAAAATGGTATAATTTTTCCGAGCCAAGTATAGGCTCAATACCCCCCCCCCCTGCTAACAGCTTAGTACCAGATCGATGCTCTAAAGTTACCAGCGCGTAGATGAGGACGAGCAGCGCGACAAGGGCCAACTGGTGCACAAAAACAAAAGTGGTCATCTCCTCACCGCATGCTGATCGTGAACAATTCGGGGTAAACGCTCAAAACGTGCAGCTACCCTCGCCGGTGCTGCTCGCAAAGTTGCGCGAGTACACGTATGAACGGATCAGAAACACGGCGCACAGCCCGATCATCGCCAGAACCCGGGCGGCCAACGCGAATTTTGCCAAAACACCGCTAAAATAGGGTACCAGAGGCCATTAGGGAATTGCAACGCACCGTTGCCGGGAATAAGCCTCCAGAAGCCCTCCCATTCTTGGAAATACCCGATTTTCAGGTACTTTCTCCCGCTGTGAATTTCGCATTAACATAAATTTTAAAATTTTATTATAAAACACGTCGATTGAAAGAGGGGAGAGGCCGGGCCAAACGGGGTGTAATAAAAGGGTAGGGTATCGGAGATCTAGAGCAAGTTCTCGAGGAGGAGGAAACAGCAGGAAAGGGGAAAGAAGCGGACCCATTGCGCGGAATCCAAGCCAAAAATCACAAAAGCTAGAGTCATATCATGACTTAGATTAACAAATGGACCGGAAGGGAATTTTAAATTGTTGAATCGTCTACGACTGGGCGCACTGCACGCCCGGGTGTCCGCCGTGGCCGCCTTCGTCCTGAAAAATGAGATGTTGGTGGCATCTAGTCAAATTCTTTCGTGCGCGTCTATTAATAAAATACAGGTCGTTATTATAGAATTTTATCCTGCCTTTTGCTGTTTAAAACGTTACAAAAACCGGGCTTTTTGTCGAAATTGTATGAAAAATGCGCAAAAATTAAAAAAGCTTTACCTTTAAAATTGCTCAACAACTTTTTTATATTTTAGCTATCAGAAAATACTAAAATACATTACATTTGATTACTAGGCAGGAATAGGCCAACCAAAGCTACGTTATTTACAGACTCCCCCAAAAACCTGCACCCACAATCGCCGAAATTCTAAAACTTCAAATTATAAAAACATTCAATTAATGTTTTTACAATTTTCGGTTGTCAGAAACTGCTAAAATACACCAGATTTATTACTAAGAAGGTGGAGGTTTTAACTGTTGTTTAAAAGCAAAGGAAGTCTAGCCACACACCCCGATAAGGAAAAGCACCGGAAGAGCTACTAACTTCATTTTTATTAATAGCGAAATCACAAACCGAATCGCTCTCCTCGGCATAGGCCTCGCCACGTCCTCGTCCTCCACCATACTTCTTCTCGTCATATTCGTAGAGGGACACTTCTTCAAAGTCACCCGTCGGCGGTGGCTGCTTCTTCGGGGCCGGGAAGCACTGGGCGAGCAGCTGGTATTTCTTCTCGTCGTCAAGGAAGTGAGGTGCGGGGAACTAGAGGAAATTTAAAGAAAAACAAAGTCATCCATACCTTCACTTCAAACTTCACGAACAGCGTGCCCTTGATTTCGTGGTGGCGTCGTTTCGGCATACCCTCACCAATCACCCCACGCACGTCATCTAGGTGGGTTTATAGAATTCATCCGGAATTCTGTACCTGGACGGATAATTTCTCCTGCACGCGACTTGAGCACAATCTTGCGACCGTCGAGGTGGGTGATCGGGATCGAGTAGCCGGCCAACGCCTCGTTCAGCGTGATTTCTCTGGAAAAATGATGAATTGAGGGGCAAGCATCTAATTTATCGCGAAGCACTCGGATTGAAATAAAATTTCATTTTTGATATTTTAGGGTCCTTTCTACTTTCAGCGAGCGCTATCACGCGACGCTCGTATATACGGGGCTTAACAGAACCGTGCGAACCGTGCGCATTCAATAGCTGCCTCAAAAAAATTCCGGTTTGAAAAAATCATTTGAGGTAGACCTATCACGGAAAAACGTACTTTGTCATGTACAAATTGTCGCCGTTACGACGGAAGTTGGCATGATCCTTGACGTTGAGCACAATGACCACATCACCCGGCTCGACATCGGGCTGAAGCACGAAAAGTTTTTATCGCTCAAAAAACTACTTACATCAACCTGGTCACCCTGGCCGTGGAAGACGATTTGCTCGCCATGGCGCATGCCCTTCTCCACGTGCACCTAAAAAAACATTGTTAGAAGAAGCATGGCCGAATTATACCTCCAGCACTTTCTGAATCTTCTGGTACTTCTCACCGCTGCACGGGCCACACTTTTCGCTTGCCGGAACCTTGGAGCCTAAAAAGGGGGATAAGGAAGCCGAGGAAAGTCGAAACCTTCTCCTCCACATTCGTCGCAGGCCACCTGCATCT